GTCTAGAGAATATCTACTTTAATATTTTAAAGATACTTTAATTATTCTTTATTATCTTAAAGGGGCTACTCTTTTTCCCCTTTATTATTCTCTTTAATATATTACTTAATAGGGTAGTAATCTTAAAATATTAGTAAATAAATTTTTAAAAATATCTTATAAATTTTAAGAATACTTAAATATTATAGAATAAGTATAATTCTAGCTAGTTATCTATAATATATACTTACTTAAGATCTATTTAGATTTCTTTAATTTCTATAATAAAGCTAAGAAAATATACTTCCTCCTAATAAAAGCTATACTTTAATAATTTTATATAGAGATTATACTTCTAGAGATATAATAATACTTTATTAATATAGTATTTATATTTTTCCTCTATTTATAAATAAATTAAAATATTATCTAAATATATTATATAAAATTTATCTAGGATTCTCTTTATTACTTTATTAATATATATTTAAAAAGTAGCTAGGGTATTATATAATTTAAAAGGTATAACTAGATATTTATAATATTTATATCTTATATAAAATATTATCTTCTACTTATTACCTTAATAAATATAAATCTAGTAATAGGTATCTTATAAATCTAGTTTAATAAATTATTTAATTTTAACTAGTTAATTTATTAGTTTATTAATTTATAGGAGAGGATATTAGTTCTTAATAATAATTATATTTAGGCCCTTATAATTTATATAAAGCTATAGTAATTTATTAGCCTTTTATATAAAAAGTACTAGCATGCCTATTATACTTATTAAGAGCTAGATCTATTTTTTTTCTAATATTTAATTAATATACTTCCTTAAAATTACTAATTCTATCCTTAATATACTATATAGTCAGCCTATTAATAATATTATATTAGTAACTAATAATATATTATAACTAGCTTTTTTAAAAGGAAGTACTTTTATCTCTTTCTCTAAAAATATTAATTTTTATTTTTTATAATATTTAGGAAGAGCCTTTATTATATTACTATTATTATATAGTTAGCTTAAGACTAGTATAGTAAGTCCTTATCTTATTATACTCTTAAATTACTTAAGTAATTTAATTTTAATCTTTAATTTTTTTTCTTAATAGTACCAGGTATTTACTACTAAGAAGATATTAGGATTAATTAGACTTAGCTAGCTATATCTTAAGATTAGTTAATATTCTTTTTTTTCTAAATTTACTATATAGTATTCTATATTAAATTCTCTAATTTTATTAAGACTATCTATAATTTAATTTTTTATTTAAAATCTTGCATAATATAGTACTATTAAGCTATTAATAAAATATATAGATTACTTTATTTTTATCTTATTAAAATTTATTCCTTTTTTAACTAAGAAGTAATAAAAAATAAAGTCCTTATTTACTCTAGTATCTATAAATATCTTTATTATAACCTATTTCTTATTTACTAGGATAACTATAGTAGCTAGGAGGAATCCTACTAGTATCTCTTTATTTTATTAGAGTACTAGGAATTCTAGAGTATTTAACTATTATTAGTCTTAGTCTTTTAATTCTTCTACCCCCTTAATACCTTCTCTATACTAGGGGCATTTCCTTGTAATATAATTAATTTAATTATATTAATAATATTAGCCTTTTTTTTATTAATTCTAGTAATTCTACTACTCCTCCTTTAACTTTTTTTACTAGAATTTAATTAGTTAGAGATTTATTACTTTACTATTATCTTTCTTTCTCTTTCTTAAGTTATCCTTTAATATATAAGACTCTAGAGATTAGTTTAGTTATATTTTATTTAACCTTTCCTACTTCTTTTATTTCTGAAGTTTCTTATACCTTGCCCCTAGTTTAGTAACTTTAGCTAGACTTTATAGTATTATTATATCCTACTAGATTTTCTTGCATAATTTAGGCCAGATTATTTAAATAGTTAACTAGTAAAGGAATTCTTTAAGATTAGTTTTAATTATTAAGATAAACTTCTTTATCTAGATTATTAGGGTTTATATACTCTATTATAGTCCTTATCTTATATATAAGAGCTAGTAAGCTACTATCTACCTATAATCTCTTTTTAATTCTAGAAAATTTTATAGAAATTTAGTAAATTCTATATAAATAAGTTCTTTAGAATTTACTCTATACTTAAAGTACTATACTTACTTTATATTATCTTTTAGGTAACCTATAATATAGCAGACTTTAATTATATTATTCTTATAAAATTTCCCCTATAACCTAAAGTAGTCTTAAAAGTCTTCTAGAAAGATATTAAGTTCCTTTAGGTTTTATATCTTAAAGAACTTAGATTTAGATACCTTCTCCCTACCTATCTACATGACTTATACTATATATTAGGCTATATACTATAGCTTATTATCTTCTATTAATTTAATAGATTAATACTAAAGAGTTACTAGTACTATTAAACCTTCCTTAATAATAATTTCTAGTACTATAGTTATAGATTCTATAAAGTTTAGATTTACTATTTCTTAGAAGGAGGAGTAGGTAATCCTTCTTATACTTATTATATTACTTTACTTAGTTAAGGAAGTACTTTAAATTATAAGTATCTTACTAATAAGGTACTTAAGTATAAGTAGTATTAATAAAGGAAATAAAGCTATATAAAATATAAGAATAATAAGAAGATATTAAAAATAATAAAATAAAGTACTTATCTCTTAATACTTTAAGAGTTATTATATTACTATTTATATTACCTAGTTAAGTTACTAGCATGGTACAGATAACTTGAATATTGCTGTTCTCCTAATTACCCTTGGTTACTGGGTATGTGGTTCAGCATGTGGTTCGGCATGTGGTTGCATGTCATGTGGTCGCCGTGACAATAGTATAAAATTATTAATATCTAGAATAGTATTAGCTTATATAACTAGGGTAATAGCTTAATTTTAGATTAAATTATTCTTATTCTTTAACTTATATAGCTTAAAGTACTAAAGTATTAAAATTAGTCTCTACCCTTCCTTCTACTTATTAATTACTAAATATAGGTAGTCCTTAGTATCATGTTTTTCCTCCTTATAAAATAGGTATAGTATTCCAGGTTTTCTAGATTACTTTAACTAATAATTAATATAGCTTATAACTATTATATTCTATAGTAGTATATATTTCTATTATTGCTGCTGTCTTCTTCTATTTATTAATTAAGAACTTAGTATATTTATGGCAGGCATAATAGTATTAGATATAATATTTAATAGTAAATTCTCCTAAATTTTGTCCTTTACTATATTATATATAGTATAAAAATACTTCTATATTATTATTTTAATAAGATTATTATTTAAATTATTTAAAATTAAATTTATAAAACTTATATTATTTCTTTTAAATTTCTAAAATATTATAATAACTATTTAATAAAGTATAATAATTATTTTTAATTTATTAGAAATATTTATTTTCTAGATAAAATTTAATATAAATTTATTAATAATTATATAATTCTTATACTTAATCTTAATAATTTTTTTCTAGATCTAGTATATATATTTTTAATTATTATTAATAATTATTTTTTATAACTTTTATATAAAATTATTTATAAAAATATATAAAATAATATTTATTAATAATTTTTTTACTAATTTCTTACTTATTAAATATAATATTTAACTAGTTATTATTTATAAAAAAAGTTCCTATAATTTATATTTAAAATTATTAAATTATAGTCTAGAAATATTATTTTTAAAAAGCTTATTTATCTTATAAAGTCTTAACTTTATTTATATAAATAAAGCCTAAATTTTAAATTTTAAATTATTTTCTAATATTATTATCAGGCTTAAGTTAAATATATTATTCTTTAGCTTTATTACTTGATTTTAGCTATTAGTAAATGGAGTAGTAGCTATTAAAGGTAGATATAGTAAATTAGGGATATTAGGATATCTACTAGGGATAGATTTAGTTACTATTTTAATTAAATTATAGAAATTTTTTATATACTATTACCTAGGTAGAGTAATATAATAGTAGTAAATAATATTTTTACTAGAATCTCTATCTAATTAGGGAGTAGATCTCTAGTATAGGGGTATAATAAGAGTTTTTAGAGGTCTATAAAGTATAAAATAGAATCTTAAGGAGGGCTTATAACCTGATAAAGGTTGTTAAACTATAATGGTAGAAAGTTGACCAAAATGAATTTAATTAGGTCTAACTAGGAAATAGAGAGAAGGAGAGATACTTGGAAGAAGCATAGAGATCTGGAAGGAAATAGTGGCCTAAATATATAGAGTAGTCACGTGTCGCTATCTTCTTCTTTATAGTGATGCTGCTTTATGGTGGTGCTGGTTACATTCACTGAGTGCAGCACTCCAACATAAACTAACCTACGATGGAGTAAATCACTGGTTAATCACTAGTTAACTAACTATGGAGTAACTCACTAGTAAAAAGGGGTCAAATTCCCAAGAAGGCTCTCTGCCAGGTAACTATCCTGGATATACGGAGTATACGTGAAGCACTGATATCATCAGGTCATACTGGTTCAGGACTTTTGCCGGCACCCGAATACAGGCTATTGATAAGTATAGAGTACACTTGGAACCTCCTAATCTAGGAGTATACTGTAACTGTTACCCCAAATATAAAATCCCCTGGGTATTAGTTGGCTTCCTGATTTATTTTTAATCCTAGTTTGGCCCCAATGAGTCAGGACGGCTACTCCATACGAAACAGCCATTTCAACCTCTCCGGACTAATTTTGGCGCTAGGCTGATGGGAAGATCCCTCAAATTTTCACAACATTCAAAGGGATTGTCTTCAGCAAACAGGGCAGTGTACGGAGTAGTCCCGGGGTTTAAGCGGAAATCGCCCTAACCGTATATACATCAAGGCTGGGAAATAACGAGGAGCTATCATAAACCGAGTTTCTCTTTCCATTCCCTCCCACCGCTTCGCATCTCCTCTCTCACTTCTCAGTTGTGTCGCCTCCTTGCCTTGCAACAACGAATCATTCCCAAGGCAGCTAATATGGGGTTGCTTGTCAAACTTGTGGGCTCGGGTCTAGGGCTTGGTTCTGAAGCGATCCACGCCGCCCGTGAACATTCGTCCTCGAGTCGAGCTGCTACCGCCGTACCTCCTGGCTCCTCTGCGCCAAATGGCCCTGAGCATGCTGAGCTTGTGGATGACTCCACTGCCCACCGGCTGGTAGCGAATGGACAGGCGGAGTATGTGGTCGGCCAGAGTGGTCAAGCGCAGCAGAGCAATCCACTAGAGGGCGCCCCAGCCCTGGACTATTCCGATCGCTTTGATCATGATGAGGCTGCGTGGGAGCTTGACGATATGGTCGAGCACACCAGACCGCCCGTGTACGAAGAAGAGCCAATGGCCGCATCAGGTGCCGACTCAGATGATGCAAAGATGAAAATGAGGGAAGCGATGGTCCGCAAGCTGGTCACCATGGCGGGACCAGCCCCCCAGCCACAGCGGCGGCTTGCTTGTCCTGTTATCATTCCTCAGCGGCGGCCAAGAAAGAAGGAGCGCGGATTTGTGCGTGCCTACGCGCCCATCCTCGCGGACTGTGGTATCAGCGAAGAGGTGTTTGTACAATTCCTAGAGGATTTGGATAGGGCTAATAAGGTTCGGATCCATAACATGCCTGACCTTTGCGCCGTTAAGACCCCTTCACGTCGTTGACCGTAAACACAGGCTTCCCAATGGATCGAAGTTGTCTTCGTCGCCGCTGGCATTCTCGGCCTTGTTCCGGAACCCACAACTCAGATACTAAGCGCCGTAGTGCAGTTAATCGCAGGAACGGCCCGTGAGCTACAGACGCGTCGTCGCGAGAACACATTTCTCGACTGTGTTAACAAGGATCTGCTCATGCCACGCGGCCTATATGCCATGATCATGACCTTCAAGGATCAAGTTCCTGGACAACAGCAAGGCGTACTAAGCCCGCTCTCTAGTAAGCTGGGGCAGACTCTGTTCTCGAAGGAGAAACTTGATCTCAACCAGACAGTTGCGAAGTACAGCAACCCTGATCCAAACATTTCGCAATTCAACAAGGCCTTGCAGAGTATAAGACTTTCGAGTGGCAAGACTTGCGGGGAACTTGAGCTACCCGAGGCCGCAGAGCTGGTGTATCCCGATTTGGACCGGGTAGTCGCACAGGCTGTAGAGGGCAAAGGCTCCAGAGACCAACCCGCATCGACAGGAGGATTGAACAAGTTCAAGGGAGCTGGCAAATGGGTCCAAGACTATATGGATAGACGCGCGCATGCTTTCTATGTAATTAACGCATCCCCCCTTTCGTTCCAACACAACTAACAGTGAAATAGGAGGCAGAACATCCAGGGACGACCCTGACCGTACCTTCTACACATCGGGAACCCATGAAATCGCGGTTCAACGACCCTAATCACCCAGCAAACAGTGGTTCATTAACAGCGCTGCTGACTGGCGGCTTAGTTCCTGTCCCGGGAATTGAAACGATCGCCGCCACCAGGCGAGAGCAATTTGGGGTTAGGCGTTTGGCTCGAGGTCGGTCTGCTTCAAAGTCACGCGGTGGTCAGATAGCACGAGGCAGAGGAGAGCGCATAATTAAAAGAATAGTGCAGCAAGATGTCCTATATCTTTTGATAGTGAACTTGCCAAGTGAGGAAGAGGTCCAGGAGTCCATTTCCCAGCTTGAACATATGATGAATCCAGCTGGGCCTCCCGCTGCTTCGTTCTAGCCGCAGGTTTATGGTGCTGATGTTTATTTTGTCTCCCTTTCTATTAGCGGCGGGATTTACCAGGCTGTTTTGGCCGGCACGTGGCACTAGGTTATCTCTAGAATCGGAATGTATGATTCTGTTATTAGCAGTATTGAACCAAGCATTCTCGAGTGCTGTGACCGAGTAAGATAAGTCCGCAACGGTTTGTAGCAATACGTGCTAATGTAACTAGTTATCTGTTCCTTCTCTGCGTTAATAATCATTGCCTTTCGACCCCTACGGTCGAACTTGCGCCCTCTTAAATTAATACACAGACGCACTTTGAAAACTGGGAAGCCAGGACCTTATCGAAAAACCAAGGGGGTTAGCTACGGAGTACTCCGTACGACTGACAAGGATCCATGTAGAATCACTATTTCATCTCATTTGCTGCTCTCGAACACAGCCTCAAACCCGTTACCGAATTAGGACAATAGCGTCGCCCAGACGGTCAGGATAATCCGATTGGGTGGAGGTAAGCGTCTGCTTGTTCTATATATAACTTTAATATGCTATAGTATTAGTAGCTATCGAGTAGGTTCATTAACAGGGAAGTGTCAATTCCCCAGACAGTGCGTTCTATCTGGGGGTATCTTCAAGGCAGCGGTCTCCCGCAGGCCACCAACAGAAGAGGTTCTTGATATAAAAATTGATGTCAGTACCCAGACCTTTTCACTGCCTTCATGGAGGTGTTGCTGGTGCATACAGTGTTGTGATATCGGCAAATATAAAGCTCTGCCCTCCATAGCCAGTCCTTATGTATTTACTGCATGTTCTCCCGCCATAAAACCTATCTCTACTAGGGATTATTACTCCTGGGACAAGCCCGAAAAGGAAGACATAACAAACTAAAGAGATTTAATCCGAAGACGCCTAAGCCTAAATTTATTTTCCAACCCGCAAGAGGCATTGAATATCGCTGTCCTCTAGTCAATGATGCATGTCCGGCGGTTTCCAAAATTTCACGCCGACAGCCATGGATCTCACGGGTCGAAAGGCAGTAAAGGTACATTCCTAGACCTGTGCTATTATTGGCTATCATAGAATTCAGACAGGAAACAGATATCCCACCCATTCATGAATCCTCCGTGCTTATTTGACAAGCCAAGGACAGAGGGGGCAGAGGGTTAGGGATGGTAGACACCGGCTCTTCGCCAACAGTATTATAATCTCTCTTAATTAAATGGAAACCCTGTCTCGACTAGCACCTTTATTGGCTCCCAGTCTTCGTCTCCTCCAACGGGTTTCTCCGTTGGGGTAGTCTATACTATATTGATATACTCCGTACCTTACTTCTCACAAAACTGAAAAGGTTGGCTCGGCGGATCTTGGTTTATCTAAACGCGGATGGTTGACTCGAGTTCTCGGCTGCGAAGTGATTTAGTCAGAAACAATAGGATGATTTAAGCAACTAGCATTGCCTTACGATGCTATCCGATGTATTTCAACATGAGCCTCCTCCAGTGTGGTCATGCAAGGCCCCCCATCGATGCCGTACAACCTGCTATACTATTGGAGGACTTGTTCGGCCCCAACCACTTTGGCTGACGAGAGCGTGTGTACCCTATCTCTATTTGCTAGCGGACATGTCTAGCTACAGATGAACCGCTGAGCTTTAGATTATTTTTCTCCTGGAATATTTGTCGTGCGCCGATGCAAATTGATCGGCAGTTGCCTACGCGGCTGAATTCCCAGTTGATCTCTCGGTCATGAGATATATATGTAGATGGCTCCAAATTCACTTAATATGCTACAAGATTGACTTTGCGAGAATCTTTTAGTAGTTCTTATATCACTACCACCTGGCTCCACAGGATTCAAGCTTAATGCCAAATACGGGGAAACCGAGCCGTGCTTGCCACGCTTGTCGAGAGCGACGCGCTAAGGTGCTGACACCTAGGAGGATTATGTTCTGATGATTATATCGTGCCTGAGCTGTACAAGAAGTAACTAACCCACACGGGAAAATTGCAGTGCGACTTTGCGAGACCCGGATGTAGCCGCTGTCTACGAAGAGGTCATCCGTGCCCTGGTTATCGCGACGAGTTTGATCTTCGCTTTCGCACGGTAGCATTTGTAGATCGCGGTGCGAAGAAACCCCAAAAATCTCGGTTAAGCCGTGGCAAAGGGCATGGTCCCAGAGCCTCATCGCTGGCGCAGCATCGTCCCGAAGGCTCTCGATATCTCCCTCCATCGGAACCGCCTGTCCTGGCGAGGAGTCTGGTTCGAGAACCCTGGGATGCTCATTTCGTGCCTTTTGCCGTCTCGCAGTTTTCATTCGATCAGGTAAACAACATTTTCGGCTTCATTCCTCGATGCATTGCCACCACTGGAGAGGATTCCGCTCTCTTTCTGGCCTGCAGCGCTGTAGGCTGCGCTCATTTAGCACACCTGAGCGGGAGTGCTGGCTCAGTGTTCTATTCGGCAAGGATGTATGGTAGGGCAATCAGGGCCATCAACTCAGCCCTGGAAGATGCGGACGAGAGGATTAGCGATAGCACTTTATTGGGCGTCTGGCTGTTGGGGCTCTACGAGGTAGGTTGGACTCCCTCCTTGTCTCTCCAACGCGCATTGATGCCGTTGTCTAGTTTCTCTGGGGCCCCCAAGTTGACGTCCTTTCCGGGTCAGTCGCAGCTGCTTGGGACGTTCACTGTAATGGCATGCTGGAACTGATTCGACTCCGGGGCCCCCAGCAATTTACGACCCACGCCGGTCGTAGCCTGTTCTGGGTGGTATTCAATACTGTGGTAAGCTCTCGAGGGGAAGCTATTGTTTGGCTGTCCAGTAACATAAGCTCAAGCAATATCGAGACATAATTTGTCACCGGCCAAGTGACCGGGAAACACTCACCTGGTTCGATCAGCTTTTACAGCAGTCCAAGCCGTCAGAGTTAACTATTTTGCGGACGGCCATCTTTTCCTACCACTGTATACAGCTGAGCAGCCACATTCAAGGTCTTCTGAACAAAGATGATCCGGACAAACTGATAATGGTTGCGGGTTCACTCATGAAGGAAATGAACAAGATAGAGATGCTTCACCCGTACCCCCCGGAGCATCCTATTGCCAGGTTCAAGATCCAGGAACCCCTGATGCCATACTCCAACGCGGAAAATCCGAACACTCTTCAGATCGGAATTCGGAACTTTCAATGTTTTTTCCGCATGGGCGTGTGTAAAAGCATGCTACAACTATTGTTTCATGCACGCCGCTCGCCGCATTGTTCGTCCAAGCACAGAGAGACCTTTCTCGAATACCGCGAGAAGTGTATCCAGGAGCTGGAGGCCTTAGGGTACAAAATCATGTTCATGTTTGCCAAGTGGCTCGGCTTAGGGACGGACACCTGTGTCACTCAACTGAAGGGGTTTCGGCAGGGTAATACTTCTTCATCAGACTTTCATTGGAGTGATGCCGTCCGATTTATGTTACCACTGCGCTCTATCGCCGTTTGTCCATTTGCACAAGAGTGCCATAGACAGGCTGCGGGGAGAGTTCTTGGCTTGGTGAAGGAGGAGCTTGGATTTTTGCGAGAAATGGCTTTGTAATACAGGATAGTGAAAGCAATATAAGTCTTCTCGGAGCATGGGACCTTTGAAGCTTTATCTGTTGCGGTGGTGTCGTAATACTGATCGGACTTTGTCGTCATGGATACCTTATGATAAGAGGTCGTCAAACTATGACGGTAGAAAGTTGACCAAAATAAATTTAATTTGGTCTAACTAGGAAATAGAGAGATGCTTAGAGGAAGCATGGAGTTCTAGAAGGAAATAGTGGCCTTAAATACATAGAGTAGTCATGTATTACTATCTTCTTCTTTATAGTAATGCTACTTTATAGTAGTACTGGTTATATTTACTAAGTATAGCACTTTAATACACCCCCCTTAGTAACATATCTATTTCATGAAGCTATTTAGAGTCCATCTCTAACCTACTAAAACCTAATCTTTTAATAAATTTATTAAATTTTGTAATTAGTAATATCTTAATTAACCTATTAGCAATATTATCCTCTTCACTAACTATTTATAACTAAATTTTACTATTTTTAATTACCTCTTTAATAAAGAAGTAGTAAATATCTATCTAGTAAAGTATAGATATATAATTTAGCTTCTTTACTAAAGTAATAATATTTATAGAATTAGTATATAAAGGTATAGTACCTTTTATAGATTTTTCTAGTCTAATAGTTATATATAGTTTTTATAGCTATATAACTAGCTTTATTACTATATTCCATGTAATAAATTTAGTAATAATTAAATTTAAAGTAACTAGTAATTACTTTACTAATCTCTATATAATTAATACTCTAAATATAAAAAATATAAAGCCTTCTATTAATTTCTTATCTTTATAATCTATATAGGAGGCATTAATATATATATATAATAGATTATTTAAATAACCTAAAACTATTATATAGTCTAAAATCTTCTTTAAATATTAGAAAACTTATTTAACTATATTATAGTCTAACTTACTAGGATTATAATTCTTCTATAATAGTTATATTATTATATATTAAATATCTAGTTAGGTCTAAATAGTAATCTAATTTAATAATCTAGTTAGCTTTTAATAATAAGTAATATTATCTTCATCTATAGAGGCATATATAGTATCTAGAATAATATTACTAGTATCTAGTATCTCTCTAGTTAATTTCTATCCTAGAGTTATTAGTATATAATATAATTAAAAATTATAAAAATTCTATTTATAGAGTATCTTTTAGATATATATATATTAGAATATTAATATTAAATTACTAAGTAGTCTATAAATATTATATCCTAAGAATTATATAGGTTTACTTAATTACTTTAATTTAAAATATTTTTCTAGCTTATCCATAAATTATTAAATATTTACTTTATTAGGGCCAGTAATTATTATATTATTAATATAAATAATAAGTATTAGCTACTAATCTAGATTATAATAAAAGCATGGGTCTTTATTAATTATCTTTATACTAATTTTTACTAGAATATCATGGAATTCCTTATATTAAAGAAATACTAACTATTATAATCTATATAGGGCTTGGAGTAGTAGATATACTATATTATCTTACTTATTAAAACTAGTTAATTAGTATATATAGATCTTTTAATCCTTAATTATTATATTAAAATAGGTAATCACTATATTAAATTATACTTATTTTAAATTAAAACAAGCAACTATACTTAAAAATAGCTTTACTAAAGTATCTACTACTACTAGAAAGTAGACTTAGTTAAAATCTATATCTAGTTTTTAGAAATTTCTATATATAACCTATCTTATATAGAATTATAATATATTATTATTTATATTTAATTTTAAATTATATACTTATTTTCCTAGTAAGACCTTTATATCTTTTAATAATAATATAAATTTATAAGTTTAAATAGCTTTAAGCTTACTAATTTAACTTTATATTACTTATATCTAGTAATCCTTTTATAATAACTTTATTACTTAGATATAGGTCTATAAGATTCTAACTTTATAAGTCTTTATAAGCTTAATCTCTAGTATAAAATTACCAGAATCTAGTAATACTATAGTAATTATATTAGATAATTCTTCTAGCTTTAAATAGGATTCTAGTAGATAAGATATTTCTAGAAGTATTTTTAAAGGTAATATAGATTAAGATTAAGATTATTATTCTTATTTTATCTTCTCTTCCTATAATTACTTTGCCTACTTATCTTTAAAGTAAATACTTTAGTATTAATCCTTTATAAATCTTAAAAATCTTTATAGAGTAGTAATACTACTACTAATATTATTACTAGCAGGATTCTATACTTTTACCAGGTTAATTATTTCTATATTCTTAATATTAAATTTAACCTACTTTCTAGTCTTTAAATACTTCCTTTTTAGTATATCTAGAGTTATTAAAGTATAGTTATTTTTAAAAAGTTCTAAAACTAATAAGATCTCCCTATATTAAGTAAATAACTCTAGAAGCCTTTATATTAGTTATAATACTAGTATCCTTTTAAAAATAGGTTAACCAGTATATAGATTATTTATAATAAAATAATTAATTATCTCTTTATATCCACCCTACCTAGATTATTCCTCTATACTAGATCTTACTATCTCCTCCATATCCTTGCTAATCGCTCGATTATTTCACTTAGCAATAGTTTTAAAAACAGCCCCAGAAACAGGCCTAGAGGCAGGTATCCACTCTAGTATAATAAGCTCGGTAGTCTTGGAGATAGCCCTAGGAGCAGCCCCAGAGGCAGGTAGCCACTCTAGTATAATAAGTTCAATACCTGCCTCTAGGTCAGGTAAGCTTAGTTCAGGTAGGGCTAGATCAGGTATCAACATTTAAATTCTTCCTATAATAACCTTATTATCATTTACTAATAGTAAGGTTTAGTAAAATATACTATTATAGGTTATTCTTCCCCTTTTAGTATTAATAAATATAGTTACTCTAGATAGACTATTATTATTTAGTTTTAATCTATTAAGAAGTCATGGTTATATTCTATCTATTCTATTAATATTACCTTTATCAAATATTACATCTCTTAACCAAATTATTTTCCCTATATCTAGATACCACATCTTGTAGATATAATCTCTATTATATCTAACTAGTTAACTAATTTTTATTCTAGGCAATATTTTCATACTTTTAACCCTATCTTTATATAGGATATTCACAAATACCTTATATCCCTATATATAAATATATTATAGATTAATATCTCTAATTAAGATATTTAATTCTTTATAAAAAAGTTATATAAGTAGCTTTCTTTTATTATTACCTTCCCTAACTAACCTATTCAAAATATAGACCACTGTATCCACACTATATAGCCATATAATTAGCTCTATTTTTACTTGTATGCATATTATACAGGCAGTCTAGATCATATAGCTACTAAACTATTTAATAGCACTATTTTCCTCAGGGGTTTGTAGTAGTATTAATTTATATATAGTACTAAAATCCTTGCTCTACCTAGCATACTTATTAAATTTAAGAGCAGAGTTAAATCTAACCCTTCTAATATAAATACTAGTTATATTCAGCCAACTATTATATATTTCCTTTAATACCTTTAAAGATTCACTTTTTGCCTTCAAATATTATACAAAAAGGTATCTAGAATAATTATCTAAAATTAGTAAAATATACCTAATACTATCTCTTTTAATTAGTTTAATTTCTTAGAAATCTATATATATAAATTATAATAGTTTTATTATATATAATTATAATTTTTAGGATATCTTTTTCTTTAATTTTAATAATTAACATACTTTATAGTATAATTTAGTATTCTAATTAATAGCAGGCAAGTTATTAATAACTAAATTATTACTTTTATTATAAAGCATTACCTTGTTACACTTTAATTATTTAATAGATAGATAACCTAATTATTAATATAATAAGTCTATTAGTATAGTAGGCATGATCACCACCTTATTTAGAACTAAAAATAGGACATTATTATCCAAGATAATATATCTAATTACCTTATCTATTACTATCTTATAAATATATTAATTTTTTAAATTAAAATAGATTCCTAATTCTATCTTTATTCTTTCTACTAGTATTAGGTTATATAATATATTTAGATTCCAAAGATATTCTATTTAGTATAATATTAAAGTACTATTATCTAATTTAAATTAAATTATTACTTTTCCATAATCTTAGGAATATACTACCTTATTATTAGAGGTAATAAAACTATAATTCTTAAAGCTATTTAAATCTTTAATTAAGTTATTAAAGAGATTATAATTATTATATACTATATAACCTGCTCTAGAGTCATATAGTTACCTATTTCTAAAAATAATTAATATTAAAGCTATTAGTATATTAACTTTAGATAGTATAAAATTATTAGTATTTAGAATAGTATTAGCTTATATAGCTAGAGTAATAGCTTAATTTTAAATTAAATTATTCTTATTCTTTAACTTATATAACTTAAAGTACTAAAGTATTAAAGTTAGTCTTTACCCTTCCTTCTACTTATTAATTACTAAATATAAGTAGTTCTTAGTATTATATTTTTCCTTCTTATAAAATAGGTATAGTATTCCAGGTTTCTTAGATTACTTTAACTAATAGTTAATATAGCTAGTAATTATTATATTCTATAGTAATATATATTTCTACTATTACTATTACCTTCTTCTATTATTTATTATTTATTAAGAATTTAGTATATTTATAGCTAGCATTACAGTATTAGATATAATATTAGATAATAGATTCTCCTAAATCTTATCCTTCACTATATTATATATAGTATAAAAATACTTTTATATAATTATTTTAATAGAATTATTATCTAGATTATTTAAGATTAAATTTATAAAACTTATATTATTCCTTTTAAGCTCCTGAAGTATTATAATAACTACTTAATAGAATATAATAATTATTTTTAATCTATTAGAAGTATTTATCTTCTAGATAAAGTCTAATATAAACTTATTAATAATTATATAATTCTTATACTTAATTTTAATAACTTCTCTCTATATCTAGTATATATATCTTTAACTACTATTAATAACTATTCTTTATAATTTCTATATAAAATTATCTATAAAGATATATAGGGTAGTATTTATTAGTAGTTCCTCTACTAGTTTCTTACTTATTAAATATAGTATCTAACTAGCTACTATTTATAAAAGAAATTTCTATAATTTATACTTAAAATTATTAAGTTATAGTCTAGGAATATTACTTTTAAGAAGCTTATCTATCTTATAAAGTCTTAACTCTATTTATATAAATAATATCTAGATTTTAAATTTTAAATTATTTTCTAATACTATTATCAGGCTCAAGTTAAATATACTATTCTTCAGCTTTATTACTTAATTTTAGCTATTAGTAAATGGGGTAGTAGCTATTAAAGATAGGTATAGTAAGTTAAGAATATTAGGATATCTACTAGGAGTAGATTTAGTTACTATTTTAGTTAAATTATAGAGATTTTCCACATACTATTACCCAGGTAGAGTAATATAATAGCAGTACAGGTAGTATAATATAATAATAGTAAGTAATATTTCTACTAAGATCTCTTTCTAATTAGGGAGCAGATTACTATATAGGAATATAAGAGTATAATAAGAGTTTTAGAAATCTATAAAATATAAAATAGAATCTTAAGAAGGGCTCATAACCTAATAAAAGGTCATTAAACTATAATAGTAGAAAGTTAACTAAAATAAATTTAATTTAATCTAACTAAAAAATAAAGAGATACTTAGAGGAAGCATGGAGTTCTAGAAGAAAATAATAGCCTTAAATACACAGAGTAGTCACATGTCACTATCTTCTTCTTTATAGTGATGCTACTTTATGGTGGTGCTGGTTGCATTCACTGAGTGCAGCACTCCAACACCTTATACTCAGGAACTCTATGCTCATACCCTAGTATCATCACTCCTCTTTCTCTTGCATCAACGAATCCAACCTTGTCAGGCCTCACTCACGTCTAGGGATTTCTTCTTCCCCACTTAAACTCGATGAAGATAAAATGACGACCACCAGTTTGGTATCGAGCGCAGGAAAGCGTAAAAGCCCATGCTACACCGCGCCCACCACGCGCTCCAAAGTTACCAAGAAAGATATTCGGCACGATCCTTTGGCTTATTTCCACCTGGACGTTGTTAGTATCGTTCTCCAACATCTGGACCCTGCAGATTTAATCCGCTGTGAGCGCGTATCAACATCATGGCACGGCTTTCTGAAACTGTGGATGGTGAAAGTTGTGCGCTTCCCATACGTGGATTCAGAGCGCCCTAAATTGCACATGGCAAAATGGGATTATAGACAATTGAAGCAAGATGGTAGGCAGCAATTCGAGCCTCCATATTGGGAGACTATGACTCCCCTCGCCTCGGTTTCTGCTGACATGGCCTAACTAGCTCGTGAGCGGTATTTAATAAACACTGGTAGAGCAACCTCAGTGCGACGATACTCCAATACGGCTTATCTGTCGGTTGCGGGGAGGTTCGTTTCCTGGGCCTCGCCAATCCAGAGAAAACCCACCGTCGTCGCAAGGAGTACTAGTAGTACTAGTAGAGAGCCGACTGTAATTTCCTTGTACGAGCATCGCTTGTGTGACCGTGTGCATTGGCAGTGTATTGGCGGAAACGACACTCGTAGTAGCATGCCAGTCACCATCAAAGCAACGAGGCTTTGTAAGTCAGATGGGTATGAGATCCTCTGCGCAGGTATCTCAATGAACAGGAACGGAGATTTACTGCTGGTAGTCTTTCACTGGGGGACTGCATCAGGGGGGTAAGTTGTCAGGCGTATCGCACCGTGAGCAGGATCTGACACAATTAGGTTTGTTGTATACTCACCCTGTGAGAGCAAAATCCGCTGGCGACGTCGTTATCAAAGAATAGACGATCTTGATCTGCTTCCTTTGGCTATTGGGGAGTCTATGGTGTACTGCGGCGTTCGAAATCACCCTGACGACGGTTATGACTTGGCTGCCTTCGATCTTAAAAGTGGTAAAAAGCTGTATCGCTCTTCGGCGCTGGCCTCGAGCTGGCTTAGAGGATATGAGGCCATCCAAACTGAGAACACGTGGAGGAGATCACATAACCAATATGCTAAAGTCATTCGCACCGACCAAGGAGAAGAGTTACTTCTACAGCTTTCTGGCCGGAGTGGTGTCCTACCACGTACATGGGCCATGTCTGGTATCCAAATTATCCGCGGCAGCAATGGACACCTGATACAGACAATCGAATGCCCAAAGTCTCCGGTAGAGAACTTGATATACTACCCCCTCACTAATCAGGGCGTCCTTGTCCTTGAGGCTATTTTACCCATGACATTCTGGGACCAGCACGAGCAAATGTCACGATACCGAATCTTCTTAATGCGGTACTATCACTCCCAAACCGATGGCAGCTATGCTCTGGAATACACAGATGTCCTCCTCGTCGATGACAAAGATCCTGATCGCCTGAATCATGGCCCGCATTTATCTATACTTGTATCTCCCTTTCAGCAGGTTGCCCTACTAGCACCGGTCCAAAGCGATCCTGGCCCTGACCAGTGTAGTTGGAACATACTCGCTTGCTCTTTCGATTACAGGTGCCCCCCTTCCTTTTATGACCTCGCCTCCAAGGTCTTAAAACATGTATTCCCGAGAGAACCTCCACGGCTGCGTGAGTGTTTCTTGATTGGATCAGCAAATAAGGTAAGCTTGGCTCCCAATAGGAGCGGAAAGCAAAAAAGCGGACCATTCGGACTGCCCGCATCATGCCCGCGTGGGGGGACACAGCTGCTGGAGGGCTCTCGCGTTTTTATACATTGCATGGGCGAAAGCTATCTATTTGACTTTGCTTGAGGTTGTATTCATCTCCCTCTTTCGAAGACACCTGTCTCTTAAAGTGGTTTATCGGTGGCAGTTATTCTGCTTAGTGATTTCCCTCAGGATCGAGAGTGCAGTACTTGGAGCACACCCCAGAAGAAAGTGGAAAAGGTAACCGAGTTAGAGAGAACTTTCAGCTGCGCATGCCATATATTCATTCTCCGGTTATTACAGCGGACGCAAGCCGAAGAATGGACGTTCCAGGATACTTCCCCGCGAGTAATACTACACGTCAAAGAGAGGTGGTTAGGGAGATATACTCTGTGAAGACATGAACTTATACATGTTCAAAAGTTTCATAATTATATGTAATGAATCTCTAGCCTCGAAAGCCAGTCATTACAATATCCTTTTTAGCGAGGCGGTAGGCAGAAACCAGGCAACAATCCAGCAACAACCCGATCCAACCCCTAAAAATCCCATGCAAGAGAGCTTTAAAAACCGCCGTTTGGCACTTGCTTGCAGTACAGAGACATACATGCAAAGAGATTGCGAAGGAAAAAAAAAAAATGCCGCCAGTCAGGCGATCACGGCGAACTTTGCCATCTAACTCTGGGATAACCTCCAAAAACTCTTCCCTGACTACCCGCACAAGGGCCCTTCGCAGCAGTGCCCGCCTGGATCCGCAGCCCTCGATTTCAAACCCAGAGAAACCGGCTTCTACGCAAAGAAAAAAGAAGTCTCTGCCGTCATATTTTCAGCGACCACAGCGTGAAATCGCTCAGGATCCTAATCGATGCCTGCGTCTTTTCAGCCTGCCGCGTGAGATCTTTGATGAGATCGTCAGCCATCTGCCCCCTGATGCTGAGGCGTGTTTCACGTTGACCTGCAAAGAAGCTCTCAATTCCATTGGAACTGGATCTTGGGCCCATTTCCGGGGGAGAGCGCGCAGATATGGCTCTCATGGCTCGCTAGGCGAATTGCTCCAGCGGGACCTACCGGGCTATGAATACTGTCCTCGATGCGAGACACTCCACCCACCGATTAAGCCGCCATATGCCCACCGCGTGACCAGATTAACGAAGTTATGTCTTGGACAGGATGGAGTATTGGATATCTGGCCGCAATCTCAATCCGGAGGCTATAGTATTGTGTTTGCACATATTCGAGAAGCCTTTGCATCACAGCCTGCTTCAACGGCGACCAGTCCGCCAATAGACATATTTAGTGGCGAGTTTACACACCACACCGGCTCGATCAACTATATGCTCCGTTCCCAAGCACACTGGATTGACAAAAACCTGGTTATTATCCAAGAACATCGTTTACGCAGTGCAAAGCCGCAAGCTCTAGCGGCCGGAGATGTGATATCGCTTCCCTTTCGGGTTTGCGCGCATCTCTCGACGACCACAGATCCTCCGCCAAACCCCCATCGAGCACGGAAACCTAGCGTGGCAGCAAACGGACCACTCCTTCCTCATGCGATCACCACAGCGTTTCCGGCAGCACTGCGAAAAGGCATTCCGCGTGGAGGGATATTTCGAACCGCCTCACCGGCAGAGCAGGCCCAGATGAAAGCCGCGGACGCGGGTGAAGATGTTACGTGGCGCTGTCGGAGCTGTCCAACCAAATTTCGCATCACATACCAGCAATCCAATGGGGGGGAATGTATCGTGAAAGCATGGCATTGTTTCGGACGGGCGTTGTATAAAGCGGTGGATTTCTGGAAATTCTCCGTCAGACGTGAGGGGCCAACTTTAGGACACACAAAACGTAACAGTGAGTATTTAAGCCCCGTTCGGAGTCTACCGGACTTCAAAATCACATAGCCTATTATATCATAGACTATATATCATAGTCTTTATATGAACTAGAAATACGGAGGATGGCAAGCTGCCAGCGACATTTCGTTCCTCGGCAGATTGCTCGTGCTCTTCCGGTAGTTCTTCAAGCATCTTGCGTGAAATATGTCCTTCCATCCAGCCAAATCCTATCTCGGTATTCCTCAAACAACCCCGCATCGACGACGTGCATTAGTGCTATTACCCTGCAGAGTCATATTCCGGTGCAACAATCAGCGAATCTCTCGGGGATATCGGATGGATTCTATTCTATGGGGGGAGTTTGGGGTCTCTACTCCTCTATTGCACACGAATCGGATGTTGTCGTCCACAGTTTACCCCAGACTCCACATCTCGGTGTAATTCGACCGGATGCTAAGATTCGGAATGAGATTACTGATTCTGCGGGGGATCCAGCGTCTCCTTCAGTCTGTCGGTCAGGTTTAAATAGTAGACAGTAGACTCATGATTTCAGCCACCAGACCACGAATCAACCAAAACAAGTATCCAAATGAAGCTCACGGCGGTATTAATCAGTCTTATCCCCCAGTTGCTCTCCGCAGCCGCTCTCCATGCTCCCTTCAGTGTCTCCGGAAGGTGGATTCTGGACGCCAAAGGCTCCCCCGTTACGTATGCCGGCGTGAACTGGCCTGGGGCTGGGGAAGTCATGATCCCCGAAGGGATGCAGTACGCCTCAATCCAACACACGGTGTCCAAGATCAAGAGCCTAGGGATGAACGTGATCCGTCTTACCTTTCCCATCGAACTCATCGACGATATCATCGACAACCGCAGGGACACAACCGTCCAGGATTCCTTAATCAACGCCCTCGGGCAGACGAATGGAACGGCAGTGTTTAACCAAATCCAATCCGTCAACCCCCAAATCACACGCCACACCACAAGACTCCAGATTTACGACATGGTCGCCCAAGAGTGCAACAGACAGGGAATCTACGTCCATCTCGACAACCACATCTCCAAGGCAATGTGGTGCTGTTCAACCACGGACGGAAACGCCTGGTTCGGCGATACCTATTTCGACGTGGCCAAATGGAAGCGCGGTCTGGAATACATGGCTTCGCACGCAAAGGCGTGGCCGAATTTCGTTAGCATCGGTCTTCGAAACGAGCTGCGTCAACCCGCAACATCGACCCCGGAGTATCCCTATGGGTTCGAAACTTGGTATGCGGAGATGACCTCGGCCGCGAGGGCCGTCAACGCCGCGAACCCGGAGGCTTTGGTTTTCCTCTCCGGGCTGAACTACGATACTGAGCTTGGTCCTATTGCGACCGCGTCGGACCTGGGCCATGGAACGCGCTTTTATTTATCGGATTTCGACTTTGCGGATAGGCTTGTTCTGGAGCTGCACGACTACAACACCGGAGCTACCAGCTGCGACTCTTTGTCCGCGAGCCTGCGCAGTACCGGATTCGACGCGTTGGATGCTTCCGACTCCTCCATCGTGAACGTTATGCCCGTGGTCCTTAGCGAGTTTGGATTCAACCAAGACAACACGACATGGGAGGGTGTGTATGCAAGTTGTATTCGCCAGTGGATTCCCGAGCAGCACGTCGGTTGGATGGTTTGGACGATATCTGGAAGCTACTATATTCGGCAAGGCACTCAGGATATGGACGACACATGGGGTATGTTTCAATCCGTGTTTTTTTTTTTTTTTTTTGTTTTCTTCTTCTTCCTCTTCTTGGGGTAGACGGTTAATGACTGATTTAGGTATCTTGGATCATACATGGTCTGACTGGAGATCTCCCGAGGCTATTGATCAAGGACTCAAGAAGATGGTAGAGGCCTCGAGTTAACCATATATGACTGTCGAAAGTGAAACGATATGTATATATGCGCTTGCAGCAATCTCACATGAGGTATTTTGAATCTGTTTAAAGGGTAGCGAAAGCACAATTCATGAAATCCTAATTACTGCAACAAATAATCGCGCCCAGAGACAGAAAACGAAGACAGCATATGATCCGAACAAACTGGTGAAGATCATGAAACCATCAAATGTAGTGACATTTAGCTTGTATAGCTGATGAACAAGAAAAGCCATCTGTGTACAAAACAAGGCACATTCTTTTTGGAACGCCTTTAACGAGGATCTGCCAATGCCATGAGGCCCGCGACTCAGGCTTCGACTGCGAGCCCTAGCCGCCGGCGTCGATGGTTGCGCACTGCAGCTATAGCTTGCTCCACAGGTGTATCAAGCCGTATACCTACTGAACGCATATCACGCTCTCCAATGGTAATCCACGGAGTAGGTGGAGGGGTGACCTGTACAAAGTCTTGCGGCAGCGTGAGCTCCGGACGAGGCTTGGACCAGTCCACCTCAGGGCGCGAGTCAAGATGCCAGGTTACACTCGCGATGTAATAATCTAGCTGACCCGGGCGCGCCTCATACTTGATCCAGCGCGCTGAGCCCAACATGGAACTCCCCGTCCAGGTGGAAATTTTTATATCCGACCGCTTCGCCGTCAGCACGGCGCCATCGTCCCGCTGAAAGAACCACGATTCGGCTGCCAAAGTAGAAATTATATCAACTTCTGCCTTTCGGCGCTCCAGACTCTCAAAGTCCACCGTAAAGCTCGTCACACTATCAGGTAGGCGCATCACATTGACCCATTTGGAATCCACATAAAGTGGCGCATTTTCCTCCCAGTGCCAGAAGTCGGTATACCTCAAAGTCACAGTAATGCTTCTCGGGTGAAAATGCTTCATGTTCATGATATCGCCGATCTCTCCCCCAGGTTCCAGCACATAAAGCTGCGCAAAGATGCGAATACGTCCCGTCTCTACCTCGCCGTGATTATCATGGATGATCTTGAGGAACTGGGCAAAGCGGTCACGGGGCAGCTGTCCCGGCGCTCGATCGCGGGCCGTCAAATAAAAAGCATGTTCCGCGCAGGCGAAAGGCATAAACCATGATTCAAGATACACGCGTTTACAGGTGCGAAGAAGATCGGTGCAGGTTCTATGGGGAGCAGAATAGCCTGGCCTCGTCCAGTAGGTTTCCCGACTGTACAAGCGGCCGGTGTCCTCGAAGCCTGACAGGGCGTAGGTAAAGATTTCGCTGCGGATTTCCGCCGGAAGAATGGAGAATAAAGGACTTTGGGATTGATCCAGATACGAGGAGAAATCCGGAGGGTGGAGAGTTGGTTCTGCCATGATGAATGAAGAGATGCTGTGCTGTGGTTATGTAGGGTAGTGGTATATTTACTGATCTGGTCATTCGCGAGAGAGAAGTTCGGCTACTTATGTATAGAGGGGAAACATCCCGCGGTTGCCTGATTCCTGCCTAGATCGATCTCAGCCACACACATCTGAACAATAGACGCTCGCGAATCCATCTACAGGGTTATGATCTGAAGGGTAAGATGGGAATGATTGCATTGTGGAGACTTGGGTGCGCTTATTCACATTGCATGTCCATGAACATTCAAAAGATAGAGCAAACAAAAGAAAATACGATATCTATCAAGAGACACTTAGGACAAGAAGTGTGGAGCGTTGATGAAGAGACCCATCAGAATTCCTCCCAAGGTTCCAGCGATGGGGATGGTCATGAACCAGGCAAGGAGCAGCAGAGAGACTCGCTGCCAGTTCACAGCCTTGATGGTGCCGTTGCAGAGACCGACTCCGACCGTAGCGCCTGTGATGCACATCGAGGTCGACACGGGAAGGGAGAACTGAGAGAACACCAGCACGGTGATTGCAGCGCCCATCTCCATAGAGCAACCACGGCTAGGGGAGTGGTAGGTGATCTTGTTACCCATGACTGTTGCCGGAATCAGTATCGTTGTTCAAGAAAAGGATTAGGGATGGGGGTTATCTGACCTTTCATGATGTTGTAACCGTAGGTGATGAGACCAATCGAGATCATAGCAGAGAGAACCGCGAGTTGCCAGACTGGAACAGGGGCCTTGGAAGCAGCGGCATCCCCGGTGGACCAGGCAGAGTACAGCACAGCCCACGGACCCACAGAGTTACCGATATCATTAGCACCGTGAGCGAATGAGGCAGTGCAAGCCGTGAGAACCTGGATGAAGGAATAAGTGTGCTCGACCTCGTTGGGGTACTTCGTTGCATGGGAATAGACGCGGTCCATGCGATCTCCTTCAGGGGTACCGTGGATACCGCTCTGGGCGGCGTGGATATCGTAATGAAGACCGTAGAGCAGACCAGCGACGATGATGGCCGGGATGCGCTTGAGCATGATTTTGATGTTCCGAAACTCGTAGATCTCACCAGCCCCCATGGGGTTTTCGTGCAGTGTGCGCATCGCCCAGGCAAGAGGACCCCGTCCCTTGCGGAGCTTAGCATGGAAGCGGGCCTCGCCCTCCGCCATGAGCTTCTTGTAGTCAACCTGGGCCTCGACGACCTCGATTCCTTTCTCGTTGGCTTCCACAGCCTTGGGAAGGGGCTCTTCGGGGTCCACGCGGATGGTATCAGGGGAACCAAGGGGGGACATGTCGGAATCGTGCTGGATAACGGAGTAGTCGGGAACATTGGAAATATCGGAATCCGCAGGGGCAGGCCGTTTGAACAGGAGGGGACCCATAAAGACGTGGTACCACTTGATGGTATGGTCATTCTTAATCACCTTGGCGTGGGCCCAGGGGACAAAAAAGAGCGCGGAGAGGAGACAGACACCAGCACCAGTGCCCACTGTAACGGCAGCAATGTACCAGGAGGGCTTCTTGTTCAAACCAAGGCTGGGAGACCCCTTGTAAACGATGGACAAGGTACAGATGGTAGCCGCGACAAGGAAGAAGAAGGGGGCCGACCAAACAGCCCAGGGAACAGGATTCTTACGCATGTGGACCACAACCTTGATGAGCATGTAGATGATCGCTGCAAAGGCACCTGAGATCGCAGGCGCCATTCCCAGACCTGCAAAGATAGCCCCAAGACCCTTTCCGTCATTCCATCCCCACTGAACTTTGGAGGCTCCAACAGTGGCCACACCAACGCCAGCAACCGCCGAGATCAGAGAGTAAGTGGAAGAGACGTGAGCGGAGTGTCGGGTACACCACATCACCCAGGAAGAGGCAGCTGCGAGAGCACAGGTGAAGGCAAGCATTTGCACACCCGCATTGCCCTGGAAGGCTGAGTTGGGGATAATGCCGTTCTTGATGGTATCAGCAGTACGGGCGCCGACGGTGATGGCACCCAGCATCTCGAAGATTGTACCGAAGATCATAGCCTGTCTGTAGGAGATGGATCGAGATGACACACTAGTTGCCCAGGAGTTGGCCACATCATCTTATCGCCGCCATCCGTCAGCGTCTATGCTCGATTGCGAGGGTTGGGTTACGGGGGGAGGGAGAGAGAGAGGGAGAGAGAACTCACTTGCACCGTTGTTGTAGGCATCCAGCATGGCAAACAGAGTGCCAATGGCAAAGATGTAGTCGTACTGGTGGAGCGTCATCTTGACAAACTGTTGATCGGACACCAGAATCAGTCAATGATGATGGTAATGGTGATGGCCGAGGATGGCTCAGGGGTTGAAGATGAAACAGAGAAAAGGGAGGTTCTAGGAGCGAGAAAAGCGGCTTTTATGTGCGTTGCATTCTCCCATAATCTCCAGCAGCAAATATACAGCTGTACCCCACGTGCTTGATTGTCTTGCATCTGCTGGCCACCAGTGAATAGACGAGATTACCGAACAGCGGAGGGGGCGAGGGCTGTCGTGTCGCGTGCCAGAAGGAATAGTGGCGTTTGTGCACTTGCGTTAGTTCCAGATCAGCTGCGTATTTTGCTGATTTACTCCGAAGACGGCCGTGGCGTAGGCAAGGCTTCTGTTTTCTAGAATAATCCCCGAAGGCCCAGCCCAATCCAGCGCGCGTGTGTGATGCTGAGGATCTGCGTCTTGACTGCCATACCATGTCGTACACAGGCTGCATGTATGAGAGCCCATTCTCAATCCCTACAAAACCCCCGCCCTACAATAGTATCCCAGACATAAGGGCTCCCAGACAAAGCTTTCCGAAGTCGTCAAACGCCCACTCATATCCCTCATCTCGAGCAGCCATCATTCGACAATCCAACCTGTTTCTGTAAAGCGGTTCGGGAACCCGTGACTCGAGCACGAAAAGGCCAATACGAGCAAAGCCTAGGTAGCGCTGCAACAACATCGGGGCAATGTAATTCTCTTGAGATCAACAACACTGCACGTTTCCGCCCAGCTACTAGCCATTGGCCCTCTGGACACTCGACCCGAATTGCGTGGTTCACAGCTTGATTGAGCCCAGGCCTTTGCTCAGACCAGTCAACTTGGCACCCTTGGCGGCGCCTGGGCATGGGCACGTCGTTGCCTTTATACCTCTTCCCAAGAGTGATGCTCTCGTGTTGATTCGACGCTAGCCCGTTTGGGCGCATCTTGGCGGGACCTTGGCGGGACCTTGGCAGTCTTGGCTTCCTGGCCAATGGGAATAGAGATTTTCTTCACGTGTGTCTCTCTCCCCGTCTTTTTGGTGCCAGCCGTGCCAAGACTTTCCGCGAAAAATATCCGGATTCAGTCCAAGATGAAGTCGTGGGATGCACGCCGTATCTCACCACGCTCAGTCGCTGTTCCTATACGTGATTTAGCTTGACTAATAACAAGCATCCAAATCCTTCTCCGGGCAGGCACATTCATTCTGGGCAGACTCTTGGTACACTAGGCACAGTTATATCCCATGGTGGTCAGATGTCTCTGTCCCTGTCGGAGTGAATATCCTTATTCACCATGTAGATTTATTCCTTCGCCGCGTACTGCGTCCCTCGCTTTCTTACTTGGCAAATAATGTGTTACACTTATGCATCCAATGACAGTCCAACAATGTTCGCGTGGTGTAGTGGCAATATATTGCTTTCCTTTTTCCAAGCTGTGCCTCAACGACTCTCCTAAAGCTTGAACTCTGTGAAGGGAGACAGAATCCGGTACGGCATCTACGGAGCATCTATGCCGATGGTAGTTTACCATTACTATGTAAGGACGACAGCATATATGAATTCTCTGCATAAAGCAAAGTGTGAGTACCAGGATATATTTTCCCATTTTATTAACAAGGGACAAATCCAATCAGAGTCGATTGGGGTATTTGCTCACAGCTCAGGCACTTTAGATATGACTAAAGGATACGGATGGCTTATGTTCACCAGCGACTTAGGAACTCAGCATCATCATTCATTTCAATTAGGGATATTAAAGCTTTCTGAGCCAGTAGTATAACGCTCATCAGAAAGTGTGCGACCGCAATTAAATCGCCTTCGACGGACTAATAATTCCTTGCATATTCTTATTGTAGAAGTGGGACCGGATGTGTCGAACAATACCACGATTCGATTCGCTATGCGAATACCACGCATACCTCACTGGGATGTGAGATCGAGCTGGAGGGTCGACGCATTGGTAATTCTGCATGAAAATACCGAGTAGGATGGGGAGTGATTAATGCTTGAATGCGCTAACTATGTGGCTTTTCCTGGGATTTGGACCTTTCCAGACCATCGATGTCAAGTATAATCCTTACATAAGAGATGAAATTATGCAATACCTAAATACTTGCTATGTAGTGCGGTTTCAAATCGATTCTGGGTTTAATTGAACTGCGTCATCATGCCCCCATTCATCTGAATATACACCATATTCTCAGGAGAGGTGGCCCATCCGTACCTGGCCTAACTTAACCTACTGGAGATTCTGTCAAACCCCTGCAAGTCTCGAGGACAGGGAATCGAATATCCACCTGCAAAATAAGCCCAGGTCAGAGTTGGTACTATATCATCCATCCCCCAGCACTAACGTTGCCCCTGTTACCTTAAATCGACCAGATGTCTACAATGCAATTTACACTACTATTCCGCCGGGAATACATACAGCCGTGGAACAAGCAGATATCGACTGATGTTTCCATTGTATGATTCTTCAGGAAAATAGTAATGGATCCCTCGAAGATTACTACATGATAAAGCGTTCCTGGAATACTATTTAGACCTTTTCCACAGCCACAGACCAGCCGTTGCGCAGGTTCACAGAGCCCCATTACTAGAGCTAGCCACATGGCACTTGTATGTGATTTTGTTGTGACGGCTGAGAATGCGAAGATCTGCTATGCTCCGAGTCGAGGTTAGGATTGTAATACAACTGCTATGTGGGCGTACTGTGTCAAGGCAGAGAAGTGAAGATTACGGAGGAGGAGATGGTTCATTACAGGCCTGAACTGATGCCCCACGGATGTTCCCCTAGTATTGTACACAAATCGAGTTTAACGCGGAATAGCAATGAAGATTGAAGCTCCGTTGGTACCATGTTAGCCGTTTACGCCATATTTGACGCGGAAGAGTAGAAAGCACATTGGGGAACTCATTAATTTTACTCTGGATTGGGGAAAATCTCGTCCGGATATTGTATTCGTTGACCTCAATAATTCATGGATACTGTACACCAAAATTGTACGTTATGCTGTCAGATATTTGAGCTGGCAACGATTCTCCTAAAACCCCTCACTGGCGCATGTTAAACACGCACCGTTCATTCAAAAAAAAAGATCAATTTCTAGGACATGGCTCAAAGTGATAAGCCTCTGCTGTTTGATTTGTTGCATGGTAACCTGAAACATGTCTAAGACTGCAGCTAAAGTTCAGCTCAATTTAGGCGTCAACGATGTGGCTATTAAATCTCAGTAGTTAAAGGGAGACATATAGCCCTATACAAATTTCGCTATCAGGAGTAGACGGGCCGCGATACATGAAATACTCTCTGACATTATTCAAATGTGTATGTTTCGTACTCAACTGCCCCCGATGCTGGTGCTGTTATGCTTCTCGAGCAAGCCCTATATGTATGGGTCAAACGAAACAACTCACAGTACGATGGAAGATGCCGATCACACTCGGCATGCGGGTCTTGCGGGACAAGGGCAACCATGATTCTGGTAGATATAGCAAGGAGAAGCGTATCTAGCCTGAATTTTGTCTTCTGTGCGGGTCAGTCAAGTATGACCTTAGCGCTTTATTATTTGTTAGTCAAAACAAAGAGTGTAACTCTACTATCCACCTTACCCTAAAGACATAAGACAAGATATACATTAGTGGATTCGGACCAAGATAACATCTTCATTGTCCATTACTTGGCTTCCACAATAGCCTCCTTTCTGGCCCAATAGTGAAATCCTTGCGCCGTTCTTTTGCAGATTTTTCGTCCATCTTACTGGGCACCTAGCTCACTTCGGTGCGCCTAAGCAATGCCAGTAAGTTAACCCCTGAGCATGTGATTATCTAGGGACGTTGGACTAATAATATAAGCACAGCGCAGTCAGTTCTTTCTCTATCAATCTCTCCTCCGAAATCCTGGTGAAAAACCTTGCAATCCTAAATGTAACCCGCGGGAGCAGGGCTCTTCACCACAAAATTCCCTGGTCAGGCGAACAAATTATCAGTACATGTCTGCACAATGACAGACCCAACTCATGAACTTCGCACTCAAGATGAAAACACACCGCTGTTGAGCTCTGGAGATACCCCTCCGGCTTCTATATTAGGGCCCAAAAAACCTGGGAAGCTGCGGGTGCTGGTCATCACTTCGATCCTAGTGCTAGCGGTCGATTTTGGCTTATATTTGACAATCGTACCACAGACAGATATTTTCGAAAACATTATATGCCGTAATTACCTGGCTAATACCAATCAGCCCACCCCTGCGGTTCCTCCTGTGAATCTGTGCAAGTCCGAGCCGGTCCAGAGCGAACTAGCGTTGGTTAATGGATGGAAGGAGACTTTCGATGTGCTACCTGGTATGTTGAAGAGGGTCAAGCTAAAAATTGCAACTGTCACGGGCTGATCGCGAGTCGCTTTAAGGGATTGTTTTGTCAGTTCCCTACGGGATTTTGGCAGACAAATGGGGCCGTAAGCCCGTTATTACTCTTGGAATGCTAGGCATTATCCTGGGGGAATGCTGGGTTAGAATAATTTGTAAGGGATCTCGGGTGGTGAATAAAGATCACTTTAGCTAAGACATCGTCTGCCAGGTTTGTACTCGAATATCCTCCCACTGCGCTTAGTATGGGTTTCGGGAGTATGGAGAATCGTCGGCGGAGGAGATCTAACCCTCACCTCTATCGCCCTCGCAATGGTCGCAGATTTGTTCTCGGGGGATGAAATGTGCCATTCGCCAATCTTGCCCTACGAGTTAGCCCACTGACTGACGGTTTAACAGGGCAACCGCCTTATTTCGGCTAAACAGCGTAGCGATTCTCGCCGAGATTCTGGCCACGCCGGTCAGCGCATCGTTGATGAGATATAATGCATGGCTGCCATTCATGCTGGGACTGGGAATCTCCATTCTTGGCTCGTTTGCCGTCGTTTTTCTGCCAGAAAGTCTCGCTGATGCACAAGCAAATACCTGCTCTTCAGCCATCCTTGGTGAAGAAGAGGAGGGCTCCGAGCTGGTCTCTGCGAAACGCGACATGCCAAAATATCTAAAAAGCAAAGTTCGTGCAGTCCGGGACTCGAGCCGCTTTCTTTTCAATCCTCCGGGGATGATAAGCCCTCTCTTTGCGCTATTCATCACATCTCTGGGTAAACAATCTACCACTCTGCTTCTCCAGTACAGCTCGATGAAATTTGATTGGAGCCTTGCCAGCGTAAGAAACCTCGACTTATGAAGTTTTCACATCCAGAGTCTAAATTCTAATGGCTCTTCAGTCTAGCTTCCTGGTGTCGTTGCGAGGCGCCGTCACGATGGCAAGCTTTTTGTTTCTTATGCCAGGATTGTCTTCGTGGATTACGCATTATCTTCACCTCCATGGAAAGTGGAAAGACCTATGGTTATCCCAAGGGACCAGTCTCATCTCGGGCATTGGCTTTTTCATTGTAGCAATCACCACATCCCCGGTTATTCTCGTCATCGGGATGATCTTTCTTTCATTTGGCGCAGGTTTTCCGGTAACGTGTCGCAGCTTTGTCACATCCCTTGTGCCGCCAGATCACGTCGGAAGGCTGTATTCAGCTATTACAGCGGCAATGTCCGTTGGAGTAGTAGCCTCCGGTCCATTTCTGGCATACGCATTCAGTCTTGGCCTGCGCCTGGGTAGTTTATGGATTGGACTGCCTTTCCTGCTGGCATCTGTTGCATATTTTCTCGGTTATATTGCTCTTAGCCGTCTCCAGATTCCTTGGGGGGCTCATCCAGCAGAAGAGCAAGAACCGCTTGTGCCCTGACATGATTCATTGTTTCATGAGCAGCAAGTGTATGAATGACCAAAAATACCTTCTTGATAGCTCTTATTCGCTTGACAGCCTGTGGAATTTTGAATCCTGTCGATAGCAGAAGGAAGCTCCCTTTCCTTCTAGTCCAGGTCTCATTAACCCTCCAAATTGCATAAACTTGCATTAAAACACCTGTACAAATATATACGTAGGGTTTTGAGTGCGTCTTTCGACTTCGGGTTGACCCATGTCATGCTATTATTGCCATGACCTCGGAAATGGCTTATATTCATCCATTTACAAGACCTTAGGTTATACATCGAGTCGACAGTCAAGTTCAATCATGGCAACTCCCCTCAAGAGACGGCAGCAATAATGGCGAATTCTACGTAGCAATCCTGAATCATTCGCAAAGCATGAAATTTTTCAATAAGCGTAACCTAAAAATGACGACTCGCCGACTCATGCATGGCCATATATATAGAATTGTATGCAAGGCAATGGCTTGCACTTCCAGCTACGAAACATGGATTAGAGATACCCGACGTGATTGCCCCAATAGAAGGGCAGGGTATAAGATGCCATCTCCAGGTAAGACGGCTCTGGAATATAAACGCACAGTGTAAAAGACAATGGGATGGAAACACGATATGTAGAGTCATGGCAAATAATCTTCATCATCGGAAAAGAAAGACTTGGCTTGATAGACCACACGGTTGTTATAATGTGGTAGCATAAAGCAGCTGTGCGGTGCGGTTGGATGTCGTCTGTATCTGTCTGGGTTGCACTTTACGACGAATTGACCGCGACGAAACGTGCATTTACTTCTTGACGGAGCTCGGGGGTGATCCTAAAATGCCCTCCAACCATTTGTACGACGGGGAAAGACTATGGGGATAACCCATATGGGGAAGGCCCTGGAAGAATCTGTGTACCATCAGCAGCAGCTCGTCCTCTACTATTTGGAGCAGAGAAAACACCCAAGGCGTCTCCTTACCTTCCCTCTTTGGGACTGCCATAGTTGAAGAGAATAAGGCAGTCCTCAATTGGCACGACCCCGTCATCCACACCCTGTATGAAGAGTCAGCTGGGCTCTTCACGAAGGATGGATTTTCCTTACATTCAAAAGAAGAAGCCTACAGCTAGGCTGATCGACGATTTTTGTTTCAACCAACGAGAATTTTTGCTGTGCATTCTTGCAAAAGTCTTCTGGGTCATCGTAGCCATATTTTGTTGCCCACGCGCGTACAATCCTGCGCAAGAGAATCAATATCATAGCGCCTGAGCCGGGGTAGACAGTCACTCACTGAAATGGATATTCATGGTCTTCCACCCTGCGCAGCCACTCGGGGTCCAGGAAGTGATGCGATCCGGGACCATGGGCGATGCAGCCCGCCAATCTTTCACGATGTGTATGCGCCACACGGATTGCATAGAACCCACCCGCGCTGAGGCCCCACGCTGCGATTTTGGACATGTCAAAATCGGATCGGGAAGCCATGTAGTCCAGCACGCTGGACCAAAGGCGATCCGGAGCATCTGGGTCGGCCGGGTCGGCCGGGGAATCGGCTGTTCCTGGAATCTCACAGATGACAACCCCCCAGCCGCGACTGATAATCCCGTCGGAACGCTGGCTGTTATCGGGCCTGTAACCGTCCAGGCCCGTCATAATCAGTACCCCTGGCACTGGACTGTCACGGCTCGCTTCTTCTGGTACGCGAATGTAGATGGGAATATGTGAGCCGTCCAAGCCTGCTCGATGCGGGTGTGGGATTATAACCTCCTTGAGTTGTGGGCTCCAGACCGAGGCGGCTTTCAGGTACGCTTGCTTTTGCCGCTCGAATGCGCCTCTTTTGATCCCCGTCTCGTTTGGCGCAACATAAGGGAAACGAGAAATACGGTACACGACGGCGGCTCGGCGGAGCAGCGCGGCTGCTTTGTCGGAGTCGCCGCGGCTGAAGGCTGCAGATGCCTTCTGTTCCAGGGATTCAGCAAAAGGCAGAAACGTTTCAGTGTATGCATCGGAATATGCGTCATTGATGTTGTTCTAACGAGCTGTGAGCCCTTGACCTAGTTATTCAGTAATGGCTGGCATGGCCTACCGCGATTAATTTCTCGAATATTGGAGCGAAATCCTCGTACTTTCCATCGTGGAAAGGGTAAACCGATTTTTCACACTGTTTTGGTCAATCCAGTGAAGTTTTTTCGTGTGCCGGGACTGGTCCACGACGTACAGCAAATTTCCACTTTGTTTCCCACAGCGCCTTAATCGACCCTTTGTGTGGATAGACGGTGTCGAACTTCTCCCCCAGAATCCAATTCATTTTGCTGGCCATGTTGCTGATGGCTCGAGTATGGAGAGACTGAGGTGCGTGTTGTGTTGTATGTCCAGATTGGGAATTAGATGTTTTCAGCTACCAGAGAACTTGCGGCGGCAGGGGTTTAACCAGCTAAAGATAGGGATGAGACTTTCTCCACGGGGATGGACCTTAAATATAGCCCTCGCAGCAAGTCTCAAGCTTCGAGCTACCATGAGGGGGGGATTGTCGGGGAAATGAGACACGTCTGATTCTTACACTCTAGCTACGCCTGTCCAAGGGTTTCGTGCTACGTTCCTATCTGGCATAAAGCATGTCAACTAGGGCTTGGACAAGCCTGACTAGAGTGGAGCGTACATGGTATTCCCAAGTCCACCCTTTCATCCTTTGTCAAGTCTCGTTGAGAAGCCCAGTCGGCTCATGTCCTATAATCGCTAGTCATAAACTGGTTTATGACCATTCCAGAGGTGGTGCAAAACCAGTTATAGCAAGTTTATTGTGCAATGGCTGGCTATGGCGATAGACCTAAGAACCGGTATTCGGTGGCAACATTCCTCGTCTCCCTGCATGCAATGATTAATGCAAGGCAAATTGTTTATATTAGGAAGGGAGACGAGTACTCCGTATAGAAAAAAACTAACACGCTTCATTTGGCAAACGACACGTTGACCGGAGAATAAACAATTCAGTATTATACAAACATGTGCACCAAGAGTCTAGGAAACATTTCCGCATTTCCCTTGGTGGGATAGGGCCTAGGGTTTTGGCCATTGAAACATGGTATAGTAATTGGCTAACACGCGAAGTTTCGCTATGTATTGCTCATTGGACCTAGATATCACTTCCTGACAATCCTAATATCAAGCTCCTTATAAAGGGATTGGAAACTACTTCAGATAAACCTTCACGCAACGATTCCGGTTTGAAAAAAATCTAAGCGTTACGAAGTGCGGTAAGGGGCATTTGAGAGTATCCCTTGATTGATTCACTAAGGGAAATAGGAACAAGACCGAGTCTTGTCAAGGCACATACTATTGTCTGTATTTCCACGTTCCCCGTGGAATTGTGCCTGGATGAACGCAAATATACTGCGTATTGCTGTTTGGTTACTGAATTAGGACAGTACTCGTGTTCCGGATGTTGATTCAGAAGCCATGGTTCTTCGTGGGACCGGGTAGCCCTATGTCAGAGGACAAGGGATGTCTGATTACATTACACCATCCAAGCCACTTATTTAATTCTCCCGGACGAAGTATGTCAAGTAGCCTGTTGCATTTGCGCGTCCACAAACTTAACTTTTCGTCATTAAAATTGGTGGACTGCAGCCTGGCACCACCGGACTATACAGATGAACTGGCTGCTATTCGCCTTATGCCTACTGTGGCATTCAGAGCTGGTTTTCTGCAAAGATGTCTACTTGAATTGGAAACTCACTTGGGTCAATGCCGGACCCGATGGTTTCCAACGTCCAGTGATAGGCATTAATGGCGAATGGCCGTGTCCTCAGGTCGACCTTCACCTCGGTGATCGGCTGATTGCAGATGTGTATAACGGACTTGGAAATCAGTCGACCGGAATTCATTGGCATGGGATGCACCAGTTTGGTAGCCCCGAGATGGATGGTGCCAATGGTGTAACACAGTGCCCTATTGAACCAGGCCAACATATGCGTTACGACTTCCAGGTATATCCCACTGCCTTCCAATATTGAATACCCCATCTGAGTGGCATCAATGGCTAAGCTTACCGGAATGTCCAGGTGAATCAAACGGGGACTTTCTGGTATCACTCTCACCAGATGGGTCAGTATCCCGACGGACTTCGCGGTCCCCTGATATTGCATGATACGAAACCTCTGCCATTTCAATATGACGAAGAGATTACCGTTACTGTGTCGGACTGGTATCACAAGCAAATGGGGGAGCTGGTAGATGAGATGGAAGAAGTTGGAGTAGAGCCTACCCCGGATGCCATATTATTCAACGAGGCAACCAACACAAGACTGAAAGTCGATCCTGGAAAAACATATCTGATTCGCCTCATTTGCATGGGGAACTGGGCTGGACATTCAGTCACTTTCGAGGATCACGATATTACGATCGTTGAAGTTGACGGAGTTCTCACGAACCCGCATTACTTGCCGCCGCAGCTCATGCGAATAGCCCCCGGTCAACGCATGAGCGTACTTATCACCACCAAAGATGATACAAGTAGGAACTACGGGATCCTGGATGCAATGGATATCGTGGAAATGTTTGTGCATGAGAACCGATCAATCCCTGCCGGGTTTAATCCCAATGGGACAGCGTGGTTAGTATATGACGAGCAGAAGCCACTCCCTCCGGCTCCAACCATCCACGTCACCGATGCCAGCGTTGATTTCTTCAATGATCTGAACCTCGTCTCATATGAGCCTAAACGACGGCTGGAGCCAGTTGACCGCCAGATCATTTTGAATATCTCCCAGGCGTCTCAGGGCAGGATCGCCGCGTTTACAATTAATGACCAGGTATACGAAGAGCCCACAGTCCCAACGCTCTACACTGCTATGTTGGCAACTCCAGAGCAGGCACCGGACCCCTCGATCTACGGTTCTACGAATCCTTATGTTGTTAAATATGGCGAGGTAGTTGAAATCGTGATTAACAACTTCCACAGCAATCTACATGCATGGCACTTCCACGGCCATACTCCCCAAATTATACAGCGTGGGACGACATATGGCGGCTACTTTGAAGGATATTTTCCCAACATCTCGTCCACACCACTGCGTCGAGACACAATAATGGTGGAGCCTAAATCTCACCTCGTGTTCAGGTTCCGTGCGAAGAATATTGATAAGTGCTCCTTGCCTCCGTGTGAACATGAGATGAGATTCTGACTTGCTTCTACGCATCTGGCTGTTGCATTGCCACACAGAATTCCACGTTGCCGCACACCTCACTGCCACCATTATCGAGGCCCCCGAAAGGCTTCACCAATTCCGAGTACCGGAAGATCATTGGCGCATTTGTCCTTCATCTGTCCTAGGGGCTACTGGCAGCATAGGAGCCCTGAACTAGGCACCCTGAATCGGTTAATTTCTCGATATCTAATGTATTAGTATATATGTGTTGACTTCGCGTCCTTGCGTGGTGTTTATATACCCAATTATTTTTGGTACTTGATAGAGCGTGGAATATCACTGTCTCCTGCGTGGCTTATTCTGGTCGGGCTGGAAGAGACCCGGGAGACGGAATGGCAGTCAGAGAATGTACATTGATTATTCTTAGAACCTGGGAGCAAAAAGAAAACATTTATGATGGCAATGAAAGAGAACATCAGTTCCGTTTGTAAATGGCTCTTCTCTCTTCTTCCACATTGGACTGACTGACCACAAGCTCAATATCACAGCGAGTCAAGTTGGACACGTTTGAAGGTCCGATCTAAAAAAAGAACCCATTTCAGCCTGACTTGCGAATCTATAAGGCACTATCCAATCATATCAGCCAACGCAGACAAACCAACGTCAAAGCTTGCTGGCCACGTCGGCGCACTATGGATAACATCTTACGCCAACCCAAGCTCGTGAATTAGGACAAGCGGTCATGGTGATGTGGCTAAATAACAGGAAAGTAGACCGCCTTTTGGCATGTCCTTCTCCGCGTACTCTTTCGCTGTGACTTAACCCTCACAATGCGAGGAACCAAATGCCAAAGGAAGGGAAAGAATTAGGGAGAGGACCTTAGCCATGATGGCGTTCATTCCGTTCTTGCTCGTCCTCGCAGGCCTGACGCTGCTGTTTTCGCGGCGCCGTTATAAAGCTATCGAACAGAAGGAATTGCCCCGTGTTGTTGTAAAGGGACACACGTTTTCGGATAGTGTGGAAAATAGGCCAGCAGAAACCCAAAAAAGCTTCAAAGTCGAAAACGTCCGTCAATGCTGTATAGTCGGTGCTGGTCGAGTTGGTGAGTATCTCTTCACGTTGTAGGTTGGACGGCAGTTTATGGTTTCTAGGTGCGGTGACTGGTATTGTCCTCGCGTCTCAAAACCCCCATGTTCAGTTCTATCTGGTAGACGATGATGTTCGTCTCATCGATGGCTGGAAGTCCGATAAAATTCCCATTTTCGAACCGGGATTAGAAGGGCTGATGTTCGATGACGACCCTGTTGCCCTAGTGGAGCGAGAAAGCCAATGCACCGAAGACACTACTTCGGTTCAAGATCCGAGCCGTGGGCCACTAAGCGGTTCGCAGAAGCGACAGCGGAAACTAGCAAATCTGACCTTCTCGACTGACATCCATGCGGGTATAGCCCCTGCGGATCTCGTCTTTCTGTGTCTGGAGACCCAGACTGCACTCTTCGTAGGTTTCCACCCATCATCTTCCACCATCGCCAGGAGGCTAATTCTGTGTCGAGGATAATGAAACCACAAAGCCGGACCTGTCCCGGCTCGAATCTACCATCCAAGCCATTGCACATGTCTCGACGGGCCATAAAATCATAGTCCAAAAGACCACGGCACCCTGCGGTATCGTGCAGGAGATTAAGAAGCGGGTGAGTGGTGGATCCCATCCAGTAGTGAGTGTTATGGTCAAGTTCTAAGATCACCAGTTGCGGAACATTGCCTCTCCAACCGCCTCGTTTGATGTGCTCTCCAACCCCGAATTCATCGTCCCCGGAACAGCAGTCCAGGACTTCCTCTATCCTCCGCGGGTCATTATCGGTCATATATATTCCGAAGATATGTCCCCCCAAGCCTTGACTGCGTTGAAGCGCCTTTATATCCCCTGGGTTCCCGAAGATCGAATCATCACCATGGATGCATGGTCATCCGAGGTTGGTAAAATCGCGGCGAACGCCCTGATCGCACAACAGATCGCGAGCCTTAACTCGATAAGCGCGCTTTGCGAGTGTACAGGCGCCGATGTCCGACAGGTATCGGATATGGCGGGATTTCCGCCTCTCATGGGGTGCGGGAAGACGTGGTCGCTCACTGAGGTGCAATGCCTGGTGTACTTGGCGCGAGAACTGGGCCTGCAGCAGGTGGCAGAGTATTGGCGCTGCGTGCTCCGAATGGAAGAATTCCATCATCGACGGATTGCGGGTCGAGTCGTCGCCTGTCTCTCGGGGGATTTGAGTGAGCGGAAAATCGCTCTGCTGGGGATTACTACGGAACTTCCCACAGCATTAAGCTTCATTCGGGAGCTGCGACGCAGTGGCGTCACGGTGAATACATACGACGGCCGTGCCTCCAGCCAACAGATAGAATCCGGGCTCCGGCTGATTGACACGCAATGGGAGGGCATTACGGTGGCAGAGTCCCTGGAGACAGCGTGTGCCGGATGTAGTGCGGTAGTCGTGCACGCCGCGTGGGACGGATTTCCTGGCGACGATTCTCGATGGCAGGAGATTGCAAACAGCATGGAGGAGCCTAGAGTCTTCTTCGATCCTGCGGGGGCTGTGGATCGCTCGAAGATGCGGCAATTAGGGTTCGAGATGTTGCAGTCAGGAGTCAGGGTGCAGGAAGTGTTGTAACTGGGATGTTTGTAGTTCTATGGTATATATATAATAATGTTTTCCATGTCAATTCTAGAGGTGGTGTCCGCTTCCGATTTACGAGCTCAGGCTGCTAACCAGTTCATCACCCAACCCCTTGATGCTTTCCTCAAATGCTTGCGCGTTCTCAGCGGCCCAATCTGCATTGTTTCCGGGGACTGCATTGGAGCCAGTGAAGCCAAGGTACAAGACATCGTCATCGGTATGGCCATTATCCCCGCTGATGCCTTCGTCCGGGAAGCATAGCTTTGCGAGCGAGATAGATGCTTCTCCTGTCAGGTCTCCGCCGTTTGTATCCCCCCAGATGCCATAATGCTAAAGCCTATGTTAGTGTCGTCTTGTATGTCCCAAGCAAAGTGGCGTCGAGCTTACCAGCTGGCCGCCACAGACGACGGCCATAACGCTTAGAGGTTCCATCCCATATTCCTGCGGGTCGAAATTGGTGTTTCCAAACACGACATATGGATGCACCTTAGCGTTCAGGTCCGATATACCATAGTCGCCAAGTTGGGACTGGAACGAGGTTTGGCCCTGCCCAGAAGGGTCGTTGCCGCAGTCGCCCCCGGAGTCATCTGTACCATCGCAGTCTATATCCATGTCTGCAAATCCACCACTTGTGGAATGGAGGAAGATGGCACCACCAATGTCACCACAATACTGCTCATTCCCCCCGGCACCACCCCCGGGAGAGAATCCATCCGCAAGGACATGGCTGCATTCTTCGGTCTAAATGCGTCAGCAAGAGTAAATCAACGAAATTATCAGAAAAGGACGCACTTTATGTTGATTGTAGATTTCCTGTAGATTGTCGGGAATGTTATATCCAGAAACAAGCCCTACTGACAGCAAAAATGAGATCAAATGCATATTGATTGTGTAGAGCACTGAGGAAAGTAACTCCTTCAACAATGTAAAATATGCGCGGCTGGGGTCTTTTCTATCCTGCCACAGGGGCGGATTTTCTTACTCCACGGACTACAAACTATCACCTCTGTACAAAACAATGATGAATTGAGTATTCCAACCCATGGTGTCTCGAATCTAATCCATGATCTGTAAGCAAAACACAAGGATGACGCTTATATAAAGTCCCCAATTTCATAACTGGCTTCGTTGTAGGTTAAAGTTGCAGATATAGTTCTATACAATTTCGGTATGCACCTTGTGGGCTGAGAATCAACTACGGGAACTCCAAACCCTGGTAATTCCCAAGGCACAGAGTCCCTCTCAGGCCCCATCAACAATCACAGGCAGTCAGTGATAATCCATGATTACGGGCCAGACGACGACATTGTCTGGATCGTGTATCGGAGCCGCGACAATCTAGACCAAATGGGATATTGATCGAGGGGCGAAAATGACCTCACCACTCAGTAAATAGCGTATGCTTTCTTTGTTGCGCTAGATTAAAGCCAGTAATACTGTGGTTCGGAAGTAGGTAGTTGAACATTTCGACATGTTAGCTATATGAGATACCTTGATATCTGTCAATACTCGTCTAGACGACAAAGGTCCAAGGTGATATCGAGTCTCCACCAGCGTATTGACACCGGCAAGCTTACACTAATCAATAAACAAGAGGGAATTGGCCCCGTGTGGAAATGTGGGTAGGAAGCTCGAGTCCCACATATGAACCTGTATTCACAGCATAGTCTAGACTCGTAAATGCAATTACATAGGCTAATACATCTAAGATCATGTACTCCCGCTTCTGCTTTAATATTATCTCTTATAGTATTTTGAATTATTCCGCACATTCTCAAGGTATGCTCAGTATTTCATAGATGATAAATAAACACACTGTAGGGAGTTGGATTGGACACCCGCTTAGGCTTTCTCCAGGATTATACTATCCCACATGAACCCATGCCATCTGGAGGATTTTATTACCTGAACATCAACCGTATTCCATCCCTCTTGAAGGCGGCCCTGTGGAATATCAAATTCCAAGATTCTCCATTCTCCTGCAGTTGTTGCAGACCGGTATAAACATGGGTCATTAGGAAGTGTGGTCAAATTCCCAATCGGGCGATCACTATCACCATTCAGTAGAATCCGCGATGTGGTTCCGCTGGAATACCCGGCCAAGGAGACGGTCAGAATCCCAGCGGTCCCTGCTGTCGTCTCATCCACTAAAAAGCGAATGGACCATGTGCCTGCCGAGGCCTGGCCAAAGCACCAGTCGGAAGTCTTGTTCGTTCCAACGGTGTATGTCAAGTTGGCTGGGCAATTGTCCACCAGCGCATGCTGATGGGGCGCACCGCCGTATTGAAACCCAAGAGACTTGCGATCAAAGTCACCGAGTTGGAAAATCTTTTGCCGGGGCGAGATAGTCCAGCTCACTTTGCCAAGTTGCGTGCGTTGGCCTTTCTTCACTGTAACGTCGTTCTCAAGCAGTGTCGTCGAGACATCGGCAATCTGACCACCGTCGGACCACGCTTGCAAACCATAGTCGCCTGCCCGCACGTTCTGGAAAGTGAACCGACCGCGACTGTCGGCTTGCGTGGTATAATAGTAGTCCCTTCCCATGTCCAACGATGTCTGGTTTGGGTGGTTGTCGCCCAGGAATACGGATGCGCCCGCCGCCGTGCGTCCATCGGACAGAACCAGTTGGCCGGAGACAGAACCCCGAGTTTGATATGTCTCGTCGTCCAACCATTTATACGGCCAGCTACTAAATTCTTTTCTGGCGCGTGCGGCAGCATCAGACTTAGATCCATCATTCTAGTTGCGTTAGGGCATGATTCTATACAGCGTGCACGAGAGGTGCCTTACCAAATACCACAACCATGGACCCCATAGTTTCCCATCGGGAAACACATCGGCAGAAGAGACCTGGAAATGGGTTCCATGAAGCATGTTCAGCTGAACTGCATCCCCCGAGGAGCTTTCTCGATGTACCATCAACTCCTGCTTTACATGGTTACCATTATAGTAATCCTTGCCGGGGTTGATATACCAGGACCCGAATTCGTCGCCGTAAACACCGTAATAATCCTGATCCCTCACCCACGCCGCAAAATCGTACTTGGTAATATAAGTTCCGTCCGCGAGTTGCCAGGTCTCATCCTGCACCTTGGTCGAGGAAAGGATCGCCGAAAGTGGCGGGAGCGGTGCGTCCTTGATGTTCGTGCGGCCGTTGGGGAAGGTCGTATTGTCCAGGCGCCAGAGGGTTCGGAATTCACCCAAGGTAGGGAGCGCATGGTTTACAAAATACTGGTATGCTCCGGCCAGGTCCTCGAAAATCACCCAGTGGAAGTCGCCTTCCGCAGCCGTGAACTTGACATCCAGGTACTCGCGAGTCTTTTTGTAGACTTCGACCGACGTCCATTTTAGGTCAGAAGCCGCTCCGTCTGTTCATGTGTACCTATCGTTAGCCGGGGAATACGTACGTTGTACAAGGAAAGAAAGCACCCACTGTACGACACGTAATGTCCGACAGCGTTTGCCACAAGATCTTTATTCTTGTAGTAAAGCTTGACTCCGTACTGCAATCCAATGGTGACATTCCACAGGTCGTTCCCGATTACATGGGTTGTATCGTTCACTGTCTGGAGAAAGGGTCCCCTGGCCTGAACTCCTATAGCCAATGCCGCAAGTGCCGCCACAGCTCCTGGGACAAACATCGTGGGGTGTGCTGTACCAATTGATAAAGTCTGGATGTGGAAAATCAGTTCTCTGATTCTGCCTTCAGAAAGACACATATTTATAGTATGACTAGGATCAGTTCCTGAATGTCTTCCCCCCCCCCCCCCCCCCCATACCTCGGGGTAAAGATGCGACGAAACGCGGGGGCGCGGACTATGACTGGTGGAATTTCCTGGGGAATCGGAAAGGTTATATGATGTTCATTTATTTTCAGGCTTGGGATAGATGGGCTTGGTGTATCAAGTAGTGCACGATTTACAGTGCACACTGGAATCCCGTTGGGTTTGAAGTTGTAATAACCGGTAAGTTCATGCATGTCTTCTTGAAATGAGTAACTGGAGCTCAGACGTCGCACTCGCTGCGGAGTTGGAAATTATGCTTGAGTTGCGAAAGTGCGGAGTCGTCTCGGATAGAGGCTGGCACTTCCATTCAGGCTGATTTACTCCGGATAGCGCGGAGGTTTCCCCAGATTCGATATCGGAGAATCTCCCGCCTGTGGAAGATCTGCTCTTTTATTATCCCGAGATATTTGGGTTGGATTGGGTCGAGTTACAGCAGACACAAACTGGCCACGGCCGCTTGAACTGTGTGTTTCAACAAAGGTCCCGGTCATTATATATAAGAGCCTGGAAGGAGCTCAGGTTTTGCCACGTTTATGGAGACGTCGTTTTGATCTTCAGGCTCTTCCCTATCAATAGGGAAAGCAATCCGCATATAACTTTCTCTCCGTGTACCGAGATCGTGCACGACAACGGAAAAGATCCTTCATATCTTACCCAGAATACAATTGCAACCGTGCTGATCAGTGCGGATCGGTATCAACATGCTCAATACGAAGTAGATATGGATGTGACCCGTCAGATAAAACTCCTTGCATTGGCGTCGTCGAGACGTTGGTTATGACCATGCGCAATCAAATTCAACCATAGGAATCCCAGAGAAGTAAACCCCATTTCACAAGATCCCCGAGTTTTCCACAGCGAAGCAGTCCATGCTCGAAATAGACCAGAGCAAACATCGTAGTTCCGGACGGAGTCTACGGCGCTCTCTCTCCTGATCCACCTGGTAGCCAGGTGGTCGACAACCAGCTGGGACGCCTAGGAGAATTTCGAACGTGGGAAGGTTCTAGGGTAGTTTTTGATGAGGACACAGCTCTGTTCCCCATGTCTAGCAGAAATACATCGACAACAAGGTGCGAGGGTTTGTGGCAATCCTGTTGTCAATGTAAGGGGGTTTCAGCTAAACGCCTCATACGCTGTGTTATCAAATCTGCGGTCAACACAACCATTTGTCGCCTTGAGCTTAGTTTTAGGGTTCGATCATTCTGCCTATCCAGCACAATGCAACCCAGCATCTTAGACGGTATAGTCCGGTTGTTCGGTCTTTTCTCCAACAAACTTGCCCTACCCAATCGTCCTTATCAATGGTCGAATAAGGAAGGGATGAGTCGGAGGTTTGTCGCCATGTAAGCCTTGCCTCCTTTTCATCATTGAGTCTTGTACGACCAAACATTTCAGCCCGAGTCATGCTTGTTTGGGAGGAGGGGAGGGAGGGGGGGCTGTTGGGATCACAATATAATCTCCCCTGTTTTCCTTTCCCCTCAAGCATGAAGCAAAAATTCCGAGGTCGTGTGTTTCTTTCACTTATCTGCGTGCCGTTTGACACGGACGACTTCACTTCACTATGGATGTGCCTGCTTGCACTCCCAGTAGCCCGAACGATGAGGTAGAGAAGGCTACTAGTTCAGAGCTCCATAACATCGACCATGGAGCCGATACTGAGCTTCAGCGCATGCTGTCCACCCGTCACTTGACAATGATCGCCCTTGGTTCCTCGATTGGCATGGGCCTGTGGCTGGGGAGTGGCACATCTCTATCCAATGGAGGCCCAGCTGCAATGCTCATTGGGTATATACTGGCGGGAACAATGGTTTGGACAGTCAGTCACTCGATTGGCGAGATGGCTGTTTTGTATCCTCTTCCCTCGGCCTTTGTACAATGGGCATCAATCTTTATCAGTCCATCGGTCGGGTTCGCTGTCGGCTGGGCCTATTGGTTCTCATACTTCATCACGATTGCGAATGAATTGCAGGTAAGCGGCCGTTTAGCACCGATAGTCCTAGATTGAAGCACGGCACGTAGCTAAGTATATCAGGGGGTGGTTACAGTGCTTCAATTCTGGACTCATGCGGTGCCAACCGCAGCATGGATCACTATCTTCTGGGTAGTCATCATCTTCATAAACCTGTGGGCAGTCAGATTCTTCGGGGAGGTAGAAGTGGTCTCCTCGACCATCAAATTCTCCTGGATTTTTGTCGTGATTCTCTCATTGATTGGTTTGAGACCTACCCTTTTTTTTGACATTTTCCTGACCCTAACTCGTTCATGCGTAGTGATATCGGCTGGGGGCGCCCCAGACGAGGGACCTATCGGGTTTCGGTACTGGAACTCAGAGCCGTTTACGAACGGATTCAAGGGCTTTCTGAGCGTAATGCCCACCTGTATTTTCGCCATGTCGGGCTCCGAAAACGCAGCCATGGCGGCTGCAGAGACACGGAACCCTCGAAAGTCTGTACCTAGGGCTGTGGGCTCTATCTGGCTGCGGCTGTCCTTGTTTTACCTGCTCGGATCACTCGTCATCACCATCACCGTCTCCCCCCATGACCCCAATCTCTTTGGGGGGGATGGAGCGAACAATTCCCCCTTCGTCGTTGCATACCAGAATGCCGGCATTCCGGCTCTCGCACACATGATGAATGCCGTTATTTTCATCTCGGTGATTTCCACGGGGAGTATTTCCGCGTACGGTGGCTCACGGACACTAATGGGCTTGACACATCTTCGCATGGCGCCAAAGGTTCGTATCCCCAGTCCCGGATGGACGTGTTGCTTCGCTAACAACAAGCAATAGATCTTTGGCCGTGCAGACAAGACAGGCCGCCCTGTTGCAGGGCTGTTCGTTACCCTGCTGATTGGAGGAGGATTAGCATATCTCAACGTGAGCAGCCGCGGTGCGGACGTCTTTAGCTGGTTCTCCAATCTATCCTCCCTCTTTACGTTGTTTGGCTGGGGATGCATCTGTCTTTCGCATCTCCGCATGCGGTACGCGTGGAAGGCCCAGGGACGATCCGAGGAAGAATTGCCGTGGCGGACGTGGGCCTATCCTTACTCCTCGTATTGGGGGCTGGCCTGGTGCATCATTCTGATTATCGCAGAGTTCTATCTGAGTATATGGCCCCTTCATACTACTCCGAACGCAAAGGACTTTTTCGCCAATTACATCAGCGTCGTGGTCATTGTCTGTGTATACCTCGGAGCGCGGTGCTGGTACCGCGGGCCCTGGTGGGTGGATGCTCAGACAATTGATCTGGATGCGCTACGACGATTCTACGCGCCTGAAGATGAAGAGACGCAGCCAACGGGGGCAAAGAAACTCTTCTCGAGGGCCCTTGGTTGGGTGATTCAGTAGAAGACTCCATAGGGCAAACTCGGAGATTTCCTACTCACCCAAGGCATTGAAAATGATAAGCCGTGAATTAATTACATGTACCGCATACTTTTCCAGCAGAAATAGAGTTCAGTGGGCTCGTTTGTTACTATCCATGTTGTCGGAAAGATGATATGACCCTATCTCTACTAATATCAACAGACAGACCAAATGAGAGCCTCGGGACTTCATATCCCCAAGTAAGAAACGGGAGAAACCACTATATTTAAGCGAAAAACTAGCGATTTGAACTAGTGAAGCATGGTGCTGCACATGCTCTTTACATTCGAGTTCTACATATATATGAGAGTTGCAATGTTTCGGCAGGCAATCGTTCTACGGATGATATCGGCAACTCCTTTCGTCTGATTTCCTATTTCCAGTTAGCTCTTGCGAGTCACGAGCATGGCTATATGGATGATGAAAAGTTTGATAACTCAGAGAAAGTAACAAGGGAAGAAAAAATCGGTTCATGGCGATGGTTTTGACACCCACGAGGAGCCAGGATGAACTGATTGGCCATGATGATAAACAAAACAGTCCCGGTCAAATTGATGCCGGTTCACATCTAGCTTGAAATAGTTAGAGCTTCCGAGAAGATTAAGCCAAAATATGTCTTAATTTACACGTTGGGTTAAGGTGATCCACTTGCCTGTACACAAGAAACAAGAAACAAGAAACAATAAACAAAGCAGTAAACAGTAAACAGTAAACAGAAACAGTAACCCGCAAGAATGGCTTGAGGTGAGAGACTTCAAGTGATACTTGACAGAGACCGAGTCAAGGTGCCTAGATGGCCAGATTGAATCATAGAGTATGTATTTAAGTCTGAGAGAATGCAAGCATGGCATGGCGCTTGACCATGACTGATTTAATATCAGCCTCCACGCGAGAACCGCCTAATGTGCCTAATCCTGCGGCACTTGCATTCCCACGGCTCGTAATCTGTCAAAGCCGTCCCTCGTTCTCACATGAATATCAATTGTCGAGTGTGTTGGCATGGCCGCGACCTGGTCGAGCGGATACATATGAAATCGCCTAACACTAGCCCGCCCGGTTTAGAGGACGGACAACCACCGATCCCTGGATAACAATCAGGCTTTGCAAGGGTTCGCCTCGCTTTCTATTCAGGTTCTTGCTCTTTCTTGTCCATGATCAGAGGGCATCTTTGCACGAGCAGCCGTGTGGAAGCCTGATGTCATCCACAAAAGTACGCGGATATAAAATAGCAGGCTGGACAACGCAGTTCTTGCTTATGTATTGGCAACCGAGGCGAAGGCTGCAAGCCTCATGATTCCAGCCAATCAGCCATGGGATTTGCCAACATGGAACACATTGTCGCTCATAACGGGCACATTAGACATCGGTACCTAATGCCTAACCGCGACTGTTGGACCACTCGCAATGTGACCCTACGAAAATAGACAGCAACACCGTTTCAGAAATTCAGACAGAAAGGATAGACTAACATGAACCCTCCTCAAGTGTTATTACACGGTTCCACCGTCTGGTGCTCCGAAAAAAAAAGAAAACCCACTTGGGTAGATGAGAAAGAGTGGCAGGATGATGTGCCACATTGCAAGTAGCGGTGAATCGACTTCATCACCAACTGTCGCCTCATCATAGGCTTATCCAGCCTTCGAAAGGCTATTGAGCAGAAGATAGGAACATTTGGCCATGTCGTTGGCTCGGATTCGCGACAAACAAGATCTAGCAATCGGGGGGTTTTGTGGCGCCTTTGGACATGAGGATATCTGGATAAATACCATGGCATGGGCCAACGCAAATATTCCCCGTCCTCGATTCCACCCTCCAAACTTATCTTTTCCCGTTGATGTGTTTCTCTTTTCTACTCATCTTCTGGCGCACTCTCAGGATGGACTGCCCTGTTTCCCACTCTACCCGTTTCCCCTTCTTTTTTTCCTCTTGGTGGTCGTCGACTCGTCGTCCACTGCCACCGAGTTCAATATCCGTCTCCACACAGACAAGCCCGAGAACCGTGCATCCGCCGCCCGAGCTTCTGGTCGAGATGGACCGTGAGATCGCCGGGAGGGAGGCGAACGAGGAGATCGATAATCTCATCGGCCTGGACAATGTCAAACGCCAACTTCGCGGAGTCCAGACGTGGGTGCAAATATGTCGGCGTCATGGACGAGACCCCCGAAGCGAATGGTATAATATCGCGTTGCAAGGAAATTCCGGCATTGGTACGTAACTTACTAGGAACCCGCTTTGCCTTCATGGGTTGCAGTCGCCGTGCTAACGAATCCCCGGATAGGCAAAACCACAGTGGCGCGGATCTACGCAAAACTGCTGTTCTCCATGGACATCACCGACTCACGCCACATCAGGGAGACTACCGGTGCAGAGCTGGCCTCGACCGGGATTGCTTCCTTATTCCAGACCGGAGAGGAATCACGGTCCCTGTCGCAGCCATCGACGGTGATCATCGACCATCCCTACGACATGCGATCGAATCAACCCGTGGTTGAGGATCTCATGCAGCTGATGGAACTCCCCACAACCAATCGACTCATCGTGATCTTCACCGGCGATTCAGACGAGATGGACAAGTGGCTGCGGGAACAGCCTCGCCTCCGTCGACTCACCTGTAGCAGCATCCGGTTTCCGGATTTCGACCGCGATGACCTGTTGCACCTGCTCGGACGGTATATCAGCCAGGAGTATCACGGGCGCATGCAGGTAGAGGGCGGCCTTGAGGGTCAGTACATGCAGGTGGCGGCACGACGACTGGCTCATGACCGAACCAAGAAGGGACACAGCAATATCTACAGCGTGCGAGAGTTTGTCGCGGGAGTGGCTAGACGACAGGCGGAGTTTCTCACGGATCAGCAGGACCGGGGAATGGAAGATGTGGATCACTTCTTTTTCTCCAAGGAAGATCTCTTGGGACTCCGCCCGACGGAAGTCATAGCGAAGAGTGAAGCATGGGCCATGCTCCAGAAGATGGTTGGCCAGGGCCCTATCAAGACATTCGTGCGCGAAGTCCTGGATACGGCCGAAGAAAACTACTGGCGCGAGATCCAGGGCCAGAAGCGTCTCGCAATCCGACTCAACCGCACGTTTATTGGTCCTCCAGGGACCGGGAAGACTACAGCTGCCCGCCTCTATGTTCAAATCCTGGCAGATTTGGCCCTTCTTCGGAATCCCACAGGTATGTATTTTCGGTCCCGTCCGCTGCTGTCGAAACCAAGCCTAACAATCACAGTTGTCTTTCAGCGATTGTCCGATGAGGATGCCATCGCCACGATGCAGTCAAGTCCATGTCATAATTTGATTATCGATGTGGATGCTGAGGTGGAGGAAATCTCTCCACCTATGGTCGAAGCAGTGTCGCAGAGATTACTGATTCCACAGGATCAGACCTGCACCATCCTCTTAGGATCTACCAGTGCAATCGACCGGTTATTCTCTGATCCGCGGGGACCCAAGAGAGCACCCCCCATGGTTGTGCAGTTCGAAGCCTTGAGTTCCGAGGATATGAAAGAGCTGGTCGAGCTGAAACTGCAGGAGCAGGACGTGAGCGCAACTCCCGAAGCCCTGCAAGCCGCCTTGGAGATCCTGGAGCACGCACGTCTACGCAAAGACTTCGATTATGCTCGAGCTATCGACCATCTCCTTATTGCAGCACATCGCAATTTTACGGCCAGACAGACGGCCCCCGCCAATAACTACGAGGAGCGGATACTGGAGGCACAAGACTTCAGCATCGAGTTATCAAGTGTTCGCTCGGCGCTCTCGTTCCGCGAGGAACTTCGCCACACCATCGTGCCGGATGATATCATCGCAGTTCTCAAACGCTACCATAATGAGATGAGGGCTGCCTGGCTCGTAGGCCAGAATCCGATCGGGCGAATGCCGTCTGCCTTTGTCTTCAAAGGAGCATGTGGTATGTACACACTTCAGGATGCTTGAATTTCTTCTAGCTAAACATCGACAGGTACCGGAAAGCGAACCGTTGCGCGACAACTCGGCGCCCTGTACTATCGGATGGGAGTTCTGTCCAGTGAAGTTGTCGTTGAGTGCTCAGTAGCCGACCTGCTCGCGACCCAGGGGGCTCGTGAACAATTCGCACGCAGTCGAGGTCAGGTTCTCTACGTCGAGGACGCCCACCACCTGGCCGATTGCGAGATCGCCTCGAAAGTGGTGGACGAGCTCGTCTATCTCATTCCTCGGCAGGAGGACCAAACCGTGGTGATTCTGGCGGGCCAGACACCGGAAATGGATCAGCTCCTGGCCAACAGACCTCGTCTGTCGGCAATTTTCCAGGAGGAGATCGTGTTCCGCACCCCGACTCCGCGAGAGTGCCTGCGGCTCCTTGATCGACGACTAGAAGAGAAGGGGGTCACGGGGACGCGTCCCTATCTCTCGGATCCGCAGTGTCCCAGCCATCGCGAGTTCACTCGGGCTGTGCAGGTCTTGTCCATGTTCCCTTGCTGGGGTAATGCAAAGGATATCGAGGTGCTCGCACGATGGATGCTCTCTGCCGCTGTGCGCGTGACCCCTCTGGAGGGATCTGCGCTGGCAGACCTGCAGCTGTCGGAGGACCAAGCGATGACCTGCATGATCAAGCTATACAACTTGAAACGTGACAGGCTGCGCTATAACCAGGACCCGAAAGCGCGGACGTTGCCGAGGGTTCTGTCGCAGCCTCGATGTGCTACCGAACGCGCTGGCGTGAAGTTTCCTGTCTAACGATTGAATGTGAATATGAGAAGCATCTGTACAGGAGTTGGGATATTCATTGGCATGTTATGATTTTCATTTGTACAATTCAAATTGACTAGTCTATTCGTTACTTTTATGATAATGCATTCATCACGGCCGAGAAGCGACATGTTCGCATTCTTCGGGGTACATACCTCACTCAGCTTCGATCCACCTGTAATATCTTAGTATCACCAACACTCTATCTGTATGATCAGCTTAAATACTCACATCGAAACGATGGTCATATCCTTTGGGAGCTAGACCAGGATCCCGCCACGCAAGACACTCCCCTCCGGCGTACCATTTTGGATACTGGATACTGGTGAATTCTAAACCTCGTCATATGAATACCGTTTGCCTAGTGCTATGGGAAATAGCGGATGCGTATATTCCTATGTCTATGCCACCGCTACGAAGAAATCTCTCTCCTCTACTTGAGCCTCGACCTTCGTGCGTTCAACCAGGTCGTCTCCGACGGCAAGACGCAATTTCTCTGCTGTGGCGGGACTATCTAACACCAAGGCCTGGGTTATCCCTTGATCCTGGCGGGCACTTCTCAGCGCGTCTCTCAGCGCAAACAGAACCGTTGCGCCCAGGAACAATGGAGGTTCGCCAATGCCCTTGCTGGACTGGATCGATCGGAGCGTCTTCCACGAGACTCCCTGTAGAAGGCTCACATTGAATTCCTGCGGGATGTCGCCGAACCCGGGGATCTTGTAGCTGCCGGGCCCGCGAGTTGCGAGTTGTCCATCGCGGGTCCAGAGAGCCTCCTCCATCGTGAACATACCCTGGCCCTGCACGAAGGCACCCTCGATCTGGCCGTAGTCAATGGCCGGGTTAATTGACCGGCCCACGTCCATTTTGATATCCGTGCGAAGGACGGTGTGATGGCCTGTCAACAAGTCGAGCTCGACTTCCGTGCACGCGACGCCCTGGGACACTTCTCAGTTATGTGTCGTAGAAAGGTGAAAAGGAGGGCCCCGGGTTAAGTTACCTGAGTGAAGTAGAAATACATCGGCTTGACCGTGTCAGGATCATAATTGCCCCATTCATATCCTATCGTCGGCATTTTCCAGAACCCACTGGCCGCAAGATTAACACGATCTCGGTATGCGGCCTGCGCAATAGTTGCCATCGGCGCATCGGCGCCAAATTTCTCGCGGTACGGCCGCAACCGTTCGTTGAGCTGGTCGCAAGCGTGTTTGACAGCCATGCCGTTTAGGTCGCTCCCGGAGGAGGCAGCAGTGGGCGACGCATTGGCTGTCTGATACGAAGAGGTGTCTTGCGTGTGGACTTGATCGACTGGTACGCCGAGTTCCTGGGCCGCGATTTGCACCATCTTAGTATACAACCCCTGGCCCATCTCGGTTCCGCCGTGGTTCAGGAGGACGGAACCATCGGTGTACATTTTCACGGACGCCCCGGCTTGGTTGAGATGAAGCGCGGTGGCAAAGGAAATCCCGAACTTGGTTGGGATCAAGCAAATTCCTCGCTTCCGCCAGCGATGCTCTGCATTGAACTCATCCACGGCAGTGCGGCGCTCGTCGTATTGAGCCTCTGTCCTGACCTGCTCTAAAAGTATGGGGATATGCCAGTCTTCGTCGATGGTCTGGAGGAACGGAGTGCGTTGGCCAATCTCATACAGATTCCTGCGGCGCAGCTCATCCACCGGCATGTCGAGCTTCTCTGCAACGGCATTCATAATGCTCTCGGTAATAAACATGGCCTGGGGCGCACCGAAGCCGCGGAAAGCGGTATTGGAATGAGTATTGGTCCGACACACCCACCCTCTGATGTGGGTGTGAGGGATATAGTAGCAGTTCTCCAGATGTGTCAAACATCTATCCATGACTGCACAGCTCATGTCCACACTGTAGCCGGCATTGTTGTAGGCGTCTGCGTCCAAAACCATCAGCTTCCCGTCTCCGGTGAACCCGACTTTCCAGCGACATTGAATTGGATGTCTCTGTCCGCTAGTCATCATATCCTCATCGCGATTCAGCATGATCCGTACGGGCCGTCGCGTCTTCTTGGCCGCGACTGCGACGAGGCAAGCGATAGGGACACTGCGAGACTCCTTGCCACCGAATGCGCCGCCCATACGACGCACTTTGGCGTTAATCTTATGCCGCGAGACCCCAGTCACCTGGCTGACGAAGTCCTGGGTCTCCATTCTGCATTTGTCAGTAAGCCTTTCCCGAGGGAAGAAGGTAGAGCGGAGAACATACGTATTCTGCGTGGAAGACCAGATGTCCATCGTACCATCCTCGACATGTGGAATGGCGATAGCGGCATTTGTCTCGAGATAGAAATGCTCCTGTCCCCCGACTCTGGTAGTCCCAGACAAAACAAATTCACATTCTTTCAGAATCTCGGGGATTTCCGCCGGTGGTGCACCGTTACGCAACTCCTTTCCATGCGGGAAGAAGGACTTCGCCGCGATTGCTTCGTCGATGGTAAGAATGGCAGGGAGGTCCTCATACTCAACCTTCACGGCTTTTGCTGCCGCCTGAGCAGCCCTCGCTGTCTCCGCATATACAAGCCCAATCGGCTGGCCGTGGGAGTGTACTTCACCGGTTGCGAAGATGGGCTCGTCATGCACCACAGGGCCCCAGTGGTTGTTCTCCGGTGGAAGCGCAGTATGATCGACGTAACCGACTGCGAGACCCGGAGCGACGGCTGCACTCCAGTCAACGGACAGGATGCGTGCATGCGCACGTTGAGATAAAACCAATGCGCCGTATAGTTGTCGATGCATTGGGGGCATATCGTCCACATATTCAGCTTCGCCCGTGGCGTGCTTTAGACCCGATAGATGAGGAATCTGCTGGCCGACCACTCGCTGGGCGTGTGGGTTTTCATTGTCGCGTGTCCCTCTCGACAGGCCCCGCTGGATCTCGTCGACGAGATCCGAGTCCACAGGAAGATTGAGTTTATGCTGTACGTGGTACCAGAAGCGAACAAAGAGCGAGAGTGCAAGAGCCCGCCTGTATGAGGCCATGCCACCGGGAACGCCGTAGGAAAGGTTAAACTCGGAGCCCAGCGATCCCAGAACATGCGCCAGAACGGCTTCATCCCCCCAGCGCTTGCCAACCAAGACGGACGCGGTGTTTTTGGCGAGGACCGTAGTAGGTGCCATCCCACCATAGGCCAGAGAGATATTCTTCACGACATAATCCGAATCCATGCGCACTCGAAATGCGGCCGTCACAATTGCGATATCGTCATCCTTTCGCTTAGCTTGCTTATAGGCATTGGTGATTTCGATGGTGTCCGCTGGGGGCATGGGGATATCAATGCGCGTAATGATAGCTGCCGGCGGTATCGCGGTCTTCCTGTACCCTCTGAACATCGCTTCCATAGGAATTCCCTCGTCTCCTCTTGCCAGCGATTGCACATGGACAGTGGCGTTCACTGCTAACAGAACCGGATTCATATCCGAGATCGGTGACGCTGTCGCAATATTTCCGGCAAGGGAGGCTGCATTGCGGATTTGACGTCCCGCAAAATAGCGAAGCGTCTTTGCAATGGCGGACAGTGTTGAGGAGAACCCAGGATTTGACGCCGAGCTGCATCGCGGAATGCAACGCAGACATTCAGTCTCGAGGTCTGTAAGAGAGGCAACACCACCTACTTGTAGCATCGACTTGTCCTCACTCCAAGAGATTGATCGCAGCTCGGGAATATCCCCGATGAATACGCTGAGGGGCGGATTCAAGTCCTTGAAGCGGATATCGACCTGAACTTCACTGGCCCCAGCAACCAGTGTAGCTGAAGGGCAACGGGAGAGTATGTCAAGGGTTTCGTCGAGGGAAACGGGCCTCACCAAAGCCTGCCTGGAATCGCCATAACAGACCAATTGGGGCGTGTATTTGGAGAGACCAGGAGGGTAAATTAGCTCGGCATTGGGGGTATATGGAATAAAATCAACCTGTTTGGCTGGGGTGCCTGGAGGCGATGTGCTGGTAGCGAGGCTGGCATCCGAGGTGGACGCTCCACCACATGAAGAAGATCCCGGGTTATCTCGACAGCATCCTCCCGGACGACCGCAAGACCCGGAGGATGAGGCGGGATTTTCCGCCTCTGAAGACACCTCGTGTGCTTCGAAGAGACCCGAGGGCTCAATGGACGGAGTAACACCTAAATCCTCCGTGATAAACGTCCTGGCTGCCGAGAAGATCGGCTTATATCCAGTACACCGACAAAGATTCCCGTCCAGATGACCCTTACTTTCTATATCATCGGCCGACAGTTGGAAATTCCCACTGGCAGGGTCATATGCATTCCGGATCATGGCGTATATGGACATCACTATGCCAGGAGTACAGAATCCACATTGCGACGCATGCAGTTTGGCGATACGCTCCTGTAAGGGATGGGGATTCTCGACTGTCCCTAACCCTTCCACGGTGATTACATGTTTCCCAGCAACTATCCCTATCAGTCTCGAATCTAGAAGCATGGAGAATGGACACATACCCCCGATGAGTGGATATAAACATGCGTTCACAGCGGAGTGTCGAATACGACGAGAGCTTCTGTCTCTCGACTGCAGCACCACCGTGCAAGCGCCGCATCCGCCCTCACCACAACCCAGTTTCGTTCCCTTGAGTCCATCTTGAGAGCGAATGAAATCAAGCAGGGTCCACCGAGGATGCGGATTCTGCAAGTCGACCGGTGTACCGTTGAGATAAAAGGAGAGCGTAGACGACCCAGAGGCCAGTAATGTGTCCATTATGGTATGTGATGAAAATGGCATTATTACTCCAAGGAGGGGTGGCAGAATCAATGAAGAGCGAGAGACAATAACTATATAAAGGTTCCCCCATGACGATGGAAGTAATACATGCTTCAAGATTGGCAGAAATAGTCCGGCTGGTTGGAGCACGGAGTGGACATGTCAAAAGTGGCTGATGTGCTATAAAGTGCGGGTCTCAGTCGGTCAAGTTACAGCGCCGCCACCAGTGGATATAGAGGCCCGAAGATGTAATGGAACGCTTTGCTTGTCGGTCAAGACCTATTCGATCAAAACGACCAAGGTAGAACTCTGCAAATCCAACCGTCATCATGGGCTCCATCGCATCAATCGAACCGCTCTTTTCCAACCCCTCCATGTGGGAGGGTTTCCGCTATAGCATCGTGTCGTCCAGGCCCCTACCACGCGGATGCGCTCGACTAAGAAGTCCAACGGTATATGGGTACCCAATGACATCAATGTGCAGTACTACTCGCAGCGAGCTTCTCGTGGAGGCCTCATGCTAGCCGAAGCCAACCCATCAGCCGACCCCCTCGAGCTGATTCAGAAAGCCCGCTGGCTACCCTGGAGTCCCTGGAATTTTCACGCGGGGCCAAATCGCGGGACGGAAAAGAGTCATAGATATCTTCCACGCCAACGGTGCTTGTATCCTATGCTAGATGTGGCACGTTGGCCGTGCTACGACACCCGGTATACTCGGTGGACAGCCTGCCCTCTCTTCGACCAATATTCCTATGGAAGGAAAGGCTCTGGATGGCACCGAGTATGTATGCAGCGGTTCCCCAGAACCGATGACGAGGGAGCAAATCCAAGAGACAGTCCGGTAGGTGCGAAGAAACGGTACTATCTATGGCCAAAGCGCCTGCCATCCAGTCAAGATCAAGTTCTAGACTAGCTTACAGCTCTCGGGCTATTATATTGAATCCAATGCTGGGGGGGTTCTAGATAAGGGTGGGGGTCGGTCATAGCGCCTGATGTTGTCGAATGGTAGTGAATTATACCAGGATTACTCTGATATCGTGAGACTATAATAGTCTCGTAGTCAGGAGAGTGGACTGACGCCTTTTATATCTCTGTCAGTGTCTAGACCGAGAGCAGCGTGTTTTAGATGCCCTGCACAGTTAGAAGCCCAAACCGGGGTTCTGTGCGAATTCAGGCTCTTAGGGCTCTGAGAGCTTCGTTGTCGATGTAGAGAATAGACAGCAGCCTTTAGGAAGTTCAACTAGACAACAATCTGAAGCAGCCTGGGGACTCCTGTCCAACTGAATATGTATGACATGAGAAAGCTCGAGCCCATTGACGATCCCGAGATGCAGTTCTTGTGAACATTTACTTTGGCCGGTGCTGGACGGCATATGTATCAGCTCTTCCAGCTCTCTGTATATTACTATTCCCACTTTAATCTGATAATAATACCAAACAATGTAGACAGTAATCAGCTCGCCACTGCCTGGATAAACCCCACCAGACTCATCCCAGCTTCTACAGCTTCAACGCCCGAGTTATCTTTGTGCGGTGGATACCGGACTCTCACCATCCTGGCCAGCTGTGATGCCAAAAGATGCTCCCGAAAACACATATCAAGCCCATCCACGATGAAAATACTATAATCGGCGCCGTCCGAGGCCTTCTTCTGTCCCCAGCATAATCGCTCGCCCACAATCTCGTCCCCCATCTTGTCAGGCTGGTTATCCCCGTCCAACGCAGCTCGTTTGGTTTCGTACAATGTCTCCCACGTAAACGACTTGAGAAATCGACGTTCATCATCATTCTTCCAAACAAACCTTCTACCCCCGTAGTGGAATCTCCGCGGAGACCAGGTCTTCCGCTTGTTCGCTGCATCTGGGACTTCCGGGATTGTGCCCATATCTGGAACAGTGCTGGTCTCAAGTCCGAAGCTTCCAGTCGGGGTCTTGCGGATACGCACACTAACGGCACCCATTGAGGGGAGCAGCTCCCCTGCGCGTCTGAGAACCGCATCGACTATGGGGGCTGAGTTACTCCACACTGCTTGGAAGGCATATAAAAGATGGGTATTGGTAGCGTCCTTTACAAAGAACCAGTGAGAACGTGTGCCAACAGCAACCAGCTCGGAATCATGCGAAATCCGGTAAACTATTGGTGGTGTAGATGGAAGGCTCAAGCTTAGGAAGGGCACCCTGGGCGGGTCTGGAGCTGGTGTCTGTTTATCTTTGCTCTGGCTGTATTCGAAAAGGTCCTTTCGATCCTGGTCCGTGTCAGTGCAAATCACCACACGGCAGCCAGCACCGTACGTACACAGGACAAGGTGCGTTGCTCCCCCTCCGCCTTGAGCTCGTCCATAGCGTCCAATATAGTTGGCAGGTTCACGATATCCACAAAATCCCCCTTGCGTTGAAGGCTCTCCAAGTATGCGAGTCTGTCTTGGTGCACCTGGACCTGCCGTTCAAACATTTTGCGCACGATTTTCCGAACCTCCGAAGACTTTTTGAACTTTTGGATGGCTGTATTCAAGACCTCAATGGCCAGTTTGTACGCTTCGAGGGCCTGAACAAACTCGCCTTCTTTCTCGAGTGTGAACGGGCGAACAGAGACCCTATACAGGTCATTGTTCGTATCAACCGGGCCAATCGCCAGGCTTAGCATTTTTTTTTTTCTTTTTTTCCCGATATGAAGCGTTCGACCTCTGCTTCTGCTTCTGTATTCTGCTAGGGTCTTCAACGGTTTATATCCCTAGATAGCTAAGAGAACAAAAAGAATGAATCAGCCTTGGTTACGGCGCCGTGTGACTGACTTCGGGCAACCATTGCCATTACGAAAAAAGCAAAGCAAAACAAAAAAAAAACACTTGGCAATGAATGCAAGAGTCAGCTTTTCGCTTCAATTTACTCTCTAAGACGGGTGGAATGACTTGGCGTGATCGTTGATCGTTGTTCGGTTGGATACGAGGTCGGATATAGTTACTCCTACGAGGGTTCAACAAGTCTGCCTTGCTTGGGCAATGGTAGGCCAAGATTCTCGTCGAAAGACGCTGTTCTGCTTCTATTTGTCTATCCATGCTCTCAGTAATAGGCCAGATGTGATCTCAGGAAGCCATGGCCAGATTCATTGCTCTTGCTGTTAACGTCAACACATCGCCCGCCAGGCGTTTCTAGCCCCCGGTTATGTCACGAGATACATCTACCCTGTATTTCGCTCGCTCACACCATTGTTGCCTCCCGCCCTAGAATATACTGCTTCCGCTCGTCCCCCCACGAGGGGAGTATTACGGATAGAGGACGTGGCGTATCGGCATCCTGGGCCAAAACATCCGGGTCTATAGTTCGAATTTTGGCAGCCCGTGGAAGATCCAACCCCTCCTCCTGCGGAAGACCCTCGGTTTCCAGGCGCGTAAGTGCTTTCAGGCTTTCCGGGTCTGCTACCTTACGCAGGAGGGCCCAGAAGTCGTCATCCGACAGCTTCCACAACTGCTCTTCGTCAATACATCCTTGGTTGATGACCGTTGCAATGACCCGGCCAGTCCTTGCATACATATCGACATTGGCCCGATTCGACCAGACGTCTCGATCCATAGCCAAGTACGCTCTAGCAAGGGATAGAGCCAGCTCGGCGTCCTTCAAAACCAGCAAGCGGCCCGCATGCGAGACATCGGGAAACGCAACCAACGAGGCAAAGATCTCCCGAGCCCGTGGAAGAGGAAGCTTGTCGCATCCGACTGTATCCCGCAGGGCATAATCGAGGCGATCAGCACAGAGATGCGGAGCCGGTCGCTCGACCAGGGGGAAAAGGGTTTCGTCGAGCGGTTCGAGGCCGCCGAATCCATGCTTTGCGAGGATCGCCGGGAGGTTGGTCATTTTGATGTAGCGAGCTTTGTGCACTTCGTGAAAGCTTTCTTCCCCCGGTTTCGACATGGCCCAGTCGATAACGTGGCTGAGTGTCGTGTGGCTGATATCATGGAGGAGCGCGGCAATCTGCTCCGCCAAACTGGCCGCAACGCTGCGCACCAGCAGAAACGCACCCACCGAGTGTTCGAGCCGGGTAACACGAGGGCTGAGGCCGAGAAATCCGGTCACCCCGTGTTGACAGATGCCCTGTAGCCGGAGCACTGCGGGGGATTTGAGTAACTCGACCAACACAGGCTCCGTGACCAAGTGGTCTCCGTATAATTGGTCGTGGATGAGAACCTCATCTTTCGTGGGAAACTCCCATGTCTGAAAATATCCAGCCTTGAACGATGAAGACATTCTGTGAGAAAATGGGTGTCAGGATTCACGTCCGAGAATCAAAGCAAAATAAGTGGAAAGATGCAGTGTTTTGACAGAGGCTGGCCATAACAAGATGGCGATGCGCTTTGGAGACCAGAACGCGTGACACGTGATATAATTGTCGCAACAGTATTTACAAACTTAAGAAACTTGTTTTCTTTCTTTATTCTGTATAGAACATACTAGGGCTAACAGAAGCTGGACTGTTCTAAGAACAGAAGAATAGATGGACATGCCTACTTAAATGCTGAAGATAAGAGGCTGGGTGTGGCACTGGTTGGAGGTGACGGTAAACTGTTGGCTGAATATCAGGGATTGTGATCTCTAGAAATTCAAATGTTCTCTATTGATACACCAGGATAAAGAGTATATTGGCGACATGTTTTAGAATTGAATCATACCATTCTAGTAGAATGTACCAAAAGCCTGCTTTGCATTCCCTTGCTCTCTTCAAATTCCACCTTAGCATTTTCCAGAACAGATATTCAACAAGGCAACGCTGGGATCATGGTCTGATTGCTGATCGCCATACGACACCCAGGTGTTCATATGGATGTGTTCGATGTCGGCGCCATTGGTAAGACCCTGGCTAATAAACATATGGTCGAGTTGCTGGCAATTGGAGTCATAAAGATAGGTGTATCTCTCGGTAGCAGCCAAGCCAACAACATCTTCTATTTCCCGCAAGCCAGACTTCTCTGCAAAATTCTTAAGTGGCTGCGTGAACGAGAACTCATTGAAATCCCCCGTCACCAGGACCTTGGAATCGGAGTCCTTGGCCAGGATCTCAGAGACAAAAGCCTATATATATATATGCACAGTTAGAAAGATTCTTGACAGACACGGGTGGGTCAGATAATGGGGGAAACCTACAGCAACAAGTTCTGCCTGGGACTCGCGTTGACTCACGCCTCCGTTAACCGGTGGGCGGGGATCACCTTGCAGAGACGAGCCACCGCCCTTGCTAGTAAAATGCACGTTAATCGTGAAAAGGATGTTCTTGCCGTCAAGAGTCTCCCAGGCTGCTGCTAAGGGCTTGCGGCTGCTGTCCCAGGCAGCATTGGACGGAGCAATAAGACCAGGGTTGTATTTTAATGCCGGTCCCGATAGCACCTCGTTCGCATCCATGCTGGATCCCGGGTTGGGGTTATGTAATTTGACAACCGAGGGATTGTATAGATAGGCGACGCGGATATTACCGCCGGGTTGTCCGCCGTCCTGGCCGTCAACCGGGGGAATATCAATAAAGTTATAATTTGGACCACCAGCAGAAGCAATTAGACTTGCGAGGGTTGAAAGAGTCAAATTAGCGTCGATGACTACATCAATTAGCTATGCCCCTGTTCCCGTGGACTCGGTAGACAGTTGCCATACATACCTCCATTATTAGTAGCACCGTTATTATCTTGAATTTCCTGGAGGCAAACAATAGTAGGACTGCGGAGATAGTGAGTGATATGATCAGCAATACCAGTGATAGTCGAAGAGTTAGGCGTGAGGTTATTAACATTGTAGTCTCCAACAGTAATGGCACTACAGGTGCCATCCGAGGTCAGTACTGTTGGTAATGCGTTGGTAGAGTTAGACCCAGTGACTGTAATAGCTGTCAATGGGAGAACCATATACACTCCATAAGAATATTGAATAACACCAGTAATATCCTTGAGGGTATCGCCCAGCTTGGTATCTTTAGGATTACTGGTTCCATCCAAGGGTCCACCAATCTTAATAGCTTCAGGGTTAGAGTCTAGAACCATATCATGTCAGTATTTAAAACATAAGGCATAATCAGGGCACTCAAACCATTTGCCCTCATGGTGAGTCCGCCGCGTTCATTCCGGCCGGTTGAACTCCAATCCCCCAATACGAAAAACTCGCCATAGGAGTTGGGTTTTGTGATAGCAGTTAACCCAGTCAACGAAACCAATTCTCCGCTCAGACTTTCCCAAAAGTCCATCCCATACAGTTCTGGCTGCAGAGAGGGATTCGCAACAGAGATCTGGCTGGCATTATTTGGTAGCCCCAGGACGTCCCCGCCATCCAGAGAAGAGTACTGTACCGTTGGGGGAGAGCGATTCTGTCCGATTACAACCGGGGTCACATCGTTTCCACTCGACTTGATGGTAATGCTGGAAGGCGATGAGATCTCCGTCAAGTAAACATAGGACGACGAAGAACGGTACTCCGAGATCTTTCCACTCAGCGTGATAATATCTCCAACAGTAACCTTCGAGACTGAGCTGCTTCCGTACACATAGATTGACTCCGACGTAGCATCATCTGTGTCTGGGCTCGTAGATCGAAGGTAGAAGCCACTCTTTCCTTTAGCAGTCACCAAGCCCTCCACTCCGGTCACACTTTGACCCTTATAGGGCGAGATGTACGCATTGCCATTGATCTCACTGATGGTCACAGCCGCGACTGTGGAGGACAGGACCCATGCCAGAAAAGACCAAGAAGTGACAGACTTCATCCTGACCAGCCCCAGCAATTGTAGCTATAGTCCGGACCACAGACCCAACTGAACGCCCTTATAAAGGATAGGCTATCGGAAGAAAGCGCAGGGAAGCTGTCTTATCACCCTACTTGCGAGATGGATGATCCCCCATAAGATGGTGAGATATAAACCTTAAATAGCACTATCTGAAGGACGGGTATCTTGATAAGATGAGGGCACCGGAGGAGTCTACAGGATCAATTCGCCCCTGAGGAGTGGAAGTTACAGGAACCTGCAGCTCTCTTGGTGCTACCATGTTTACAACCAGTGAGAGCGGATTGCGATACCCACGTTGCAATGCCAAGCAGGAGCCAAGAATCTCCGACTCTTAGCGACGGGCATCGCCGACGATTCACGTTGAAGACCCGAGCCTTGTGTGCGGGAGACAGACAGCGTCAGGGTTGGATGAAGCAGGGCAAATCTATTCCTAATGACGAGACAAGACCACCAGGAAGGCATTCATAACACGAGAGATCCAATCAAGTAAAGAAACTAATCACTCCTCATGCTTTCTCTGCCCACGTGTACTCAATATGCACAAGAGATCTCGGGATAAAATATTATTCTCTATAAGCGGCTATGCAGCAAGCCAACCGAGGGATGGATTGTTTCGTCCTTGGGGCTTTGGGAGAAGAGGAGTTCTGATTCCGGAGCATGCCGGCGTTGGGCTATCTGATATTGAGATGAATGTGTCCACCAATCCCTCCCTCAGGCGCTCTTTCCGGTGTCCTGCTTCAGTGACACAATCCGATTCAGCACAACGTGATCCTCGGTGGAATCAGAATCCATTGCCTGCAAAAATCAGTTCATGTCACGTAAAAATCTCGGTCGGAAACAACTTACAAAGTATGCAACACGCATGCCCTGGAAACGAACGCTCTCGGGACCAGACTTGCTCTTTTCTCCCGCAGCTTCCGGCCAAGGAGCGCGGCGGTGGACCTCCTCAAAGCCTGGCTCGATCAATGCCTCCTTGTAAATAGTCTCGCTGTTGGCGTTAATATCCGCGAGGAACCCGCCTTCGACGGCAGTGGGGTCGTCTGACTTGAACAGCGCCTCGTGGATCCGGACTTCGACCTTCCGGGACCCTTCGGGCACCCAATGGATGTAGGTCTTGGGCTTTGGTCCATCTCTATCCAACACTGCGCGGACTTCTGTGACCTTTCCGCTGGCATCCTTTGTGAAGGTCGTAGCCTTGATGGGGTAAGGGCACTTCCACAGTCCAACATTCTTACCTGGCGCCAACCGGAAATAGCCCTTGCTGTCCTCCTCGCGGAAATCAGACTGGTCAATATACACGGTCTTGGTCAGGCGAACATGATGGGAACCCATGGCGGGATCTTTAGGGGAGAACGGAATGTCGAGGTCAAGCTGATCGGCCTCAAGGGTCTCAATGTCCTCGATAACGACCGGGAGAGGGTCAAGAACGAGCATGAGACGGGGCACACGCGGTTCAAGGTAGGTACGAACTGACTGTTCGAAGCGGGAAATCTGGATAACAGTCTTGGCAGTCGTCACGCCAAGCTCGTTGATAAAGGACAAAATCGCCTCGGGGGGGATACCACGACGGCGTAGAGCAATGACAGTGTATAGTCGTGGATCATCCCAGGCACGAACGTAACCACCATCAACCAGCTTCTTGAGTCCTCTCTTGCTCATGATTGTTCCGCTGACATTCAGACGACCTGCGAGAGGTCGGTTAAGACCGAATCACAAGATACATATAAACAAGGGGGTGACTTACCATACTCGCGCTGCATTGGCTCGTAAACCTCCAACGTTGAGTTCAGCCACTCATAGCTCTCTCTGGACAAGACAAACTCCGTTGTGCAGAGACTGTGTGTGATCCCCTCTAAGCTATCGCAAAGGCAGTGAGCGAAGTCGTACGTGGGGTAAATACACCACTGGTCCTTGGTCCGATGATGTTCTTTCTTCAATACGCGGTACGCAGCAAGATCCTGTCCATCGTCAGCAACATTCAAAAACTTTCCGGACAGGCGAAAATACCCAGTTCTGGGGGTTGGGTGATTCTATATTTTGGAACATCCGCAAAAATGCAGTCTGGGGTTCGTATTTTCCGTCCCGCATATCCCGGAATTTCTTCAGGTTCGTATCGATATCCTGCTCCGCATCCTTGCAACGGTATCTCGCGCCTCCCTTTTCACCTCCGCGCTGCAATTTAATCTCCGTGTCACTACAATGACAAACGTAAGCTTTCCCGATCTTGATGAGCTTCTCGGCAAGGTCGTAAAGTTTCTGGAAGTGGTCGCTCGAGTGAGTGATGGAGTGAGGTTTAAATCCTGCAACTTGTAAGTCACACAGAATACAGTATTGAACAGCGTTGATTGAAATGGACAAAATATGTCAAGAAAAATAGGGAACCACATAAAAAAAGAGGGCTCGGGGGAGCGAAAGGCATACCTAGCCACTGAATAATATCCTCGATTGCTGTAAAGTATTTCTCTTCCTCGGCCTCGGGGTTCGTATCGTCAAACCTAACAATTAGCTCTGTTTATACCCTCCACTGGTTGCAGTTGTTACCTCAAAATCTACCACACGTCAGCATTCCATATACCAAAAATGACTTCATGAACAACATGCCGTTTCACCGCCATGGTAGCGCGCAAATCCAAAGTTCACCGCAATCGCCTTACAATGACCAAGATGAAGGTATCCGTTAGGTTCAGGGGGGAATCGAGTAAGGACGGGCTTTGTAGGACGTTCGCGAAAGACATTCGCCAGGAAGCCCTGCTTGAACATCGCATCAGGATCAAGCGGGGCTTCCTCAGCAGGCTTGGGAGCTGCCTCGGTCTGGGGTTTCAGGGCAGCAGGCTTCTTGGGGTTCGCTTTAGCTGCCGCCTTCTTAGCGCGCTTTGCCAACCGCTTCTTCAGCTCGTTCTTGGAGACCATCTCGCCGGTCTCCTCGTCGAGCTGAAGCTTCGCGGTGTTTTCAACCAGCGCGTCCGCCATGGTGTCTAGCGAGGGGGGGGGAGGGATTGAGGGGTTTCGAGTATACACCAGAAATCAAAGTATAGTCAGTGAGATGGCTGTATATATGTAGAGTACTATAGAGAGGCTGAAGAATGAATCGTGTGAGTCACGACTTTCGCATCCCGAAAATCGAACAGCTCGTTATCAGCGGGGGAGGGGAGGGGATCTTTTTTTGTGCCGTTGGTGATTATGTCAGCCATGGCCAGCGGTGTGGGAGCTTATCTATCACGTGGTGATAAGCAGGAGCCAATATTTGACACCTCAGGCACTCGCAGAAAACATCCAAGTCTTCCTCAAACAAGAATATAGAAGACATTTTTACTGTTTATGTTGTATAGATGTGTATATGGCTAATATAATGTGCATTGGTCATTGTCTTCTTACAAGCAATGATGTCCCTTACTCAACTTGCCAAATCCCGTCATCACAACATATATTTACGTACATCCATACATCTCCCGCCAGGACCCGTGAATTCAGCCGCTTCCACAACTGTTGGGAAGGTTCGACATTAAGAGAAGAAAATTGCCAACCTATCGTGTAGATCCCAAGCTTGAATGCTCGGTTAGTGTAGATCTGATTCACTTACGAGAAGTAACAAATCAAGCCTGCGAGGCTGTACTCCGAGTAAACCAGTTAACTATGCGGGTCTAATCATTGCACCAATTCATGTGATTGCACCACTTCCCCTCTATTACTGTATCACTGTGTCTCTTTTTACCTAGAAGCGATTTTTTCCACCTGCAGACATTGCTCGAATCCCCATCTTCAAGGGTAATTTTTCTTACCTTCACTGCCCCCCCCCACCCCTCCATCGTACAAGAACAACATGAAATCCCTCCCCCGCATCGCCTGCTTCCACGGCGGCGGCTCAAAAGGAGACATCTTCGAAGTCCAATGCGCATTCCTCGCCCAGATCCTCGAAGACGACTTCCAATTTGAGTTCTTCGACGGTCCATTCGATAGCCCTGCGGGTCCTGGCATCCTCCCCGCTTTCGAGGGGTACGGTCCTTACAAGACTTGGTTCACCAAGGACGCTACGACGGGCGCGGAGCGGGCCGATGGGAGCGGGTACGACCAGATCGGACGCGACGGGGTCGAGCGCATATGGAAGATGATGGAGGTGCGATCGGGTTCCGGGGGGTCTGGGGACTGGGTTGGCGTGATGGGGTTTAGCCAGGGGACGCGCATGGCGGGCGGGTTGTTGCTGGATCAGCAGCGGAGGGAAGAACTAGGGGAGCCCGGTTCTCCGATTAAACTGAAGTTCGGGATTTTGTGTATGGGTGGTAAGGCACCGATGGAGTCGGAGATTGGACATAGTATGTTGTCTCTATTCATTTCTCTTTCCCTTTCTGTTGAGGTTTGGATGTTGCGTGTGTGCTGATCCCGTTGGCGGGGTAGGAGTGGCCCAGTCTGATACGGTTATTCGGATTCCCACGTTACATGTGCACGGATTGAAAGATGAGTTTTTGGCATGGGGACGCGATCAGTACGATACATATTATCATCCGGAGACCAGGACACTCCACGAAATCAATTACCATCATGCGATGCCGTGGGTGAGGGAGGAGGCGGAGGAGTTGGCGGATCGTATTCGGAAGCTATACAAGAATACCCAGACTTTATAAATACGGAAGATGATATAGTTGAATCCTACATGGATTCCTCTCTCCTTTTCTTTGTTTTTAAAAAAAAAATTCACGAGGTTTATCAAGATCTAAATTATTTTTTTTTTTTGTTTCGAATACGCTGGGGTAAAAACGGTCGATATTGTCGAAGGCTTGGATTCTTGACAAACACCAAAGATAAAGAATATCCACGGGCCCAGACATGACTTGGTGCTTTGTTTCAAGATAATTATTTGTTTTATATCGTAAACACTGCCATATACATTGGTGGATACGAGCTCCAGTGGATATCAAGAGGATTTGGCGCTGCTATAGAATCGTCAACTTCTTCCATGGCGAACTAGCCGGCAGCACTATCATTTCATCAATGACCGCCATCTTGCCATTAATACATTCTCTCCTCGAGTACTGTAGTGCAGTACACGTCTCCCCTCCCGCACTAGACCACGGCGCCGCCCGCAAAGCGAAAATCCGTTCACCATCTCGCGGGACCCGACCAACACGCTCCAACAAGCTGGCGACAGATAAATCTTCCTGGGAGCATGAAGGACCCCTTTCCTCAATAGCAACGACGAGAGCCAGCAGTCCTGCCGCTGAATGGCAAATGTACATCCCCTGTATCGCGGGAGCCTGGCCAAGCAGACGTAGTGCCTGGCGACGGATTGTCGGGGACCGGCACTTGAGAATTGTAATAAACAACGGCAGCCCAATGCCCATGTCAAACACGAACGGAGGTTGATAGCCATTATCAACAGCCGTAGAAGCTAGCGCAGCTGGTGCATGGGCGAGAATCTTTGCGAAATCCGTTTCGTGGGCGTCATAGACTGTTTCTGCGGGAGTAAGGGCTGTCCGGGTGAGGATGAGGGCGCTGAGATAGGTCATGAGGAGAATGGCAATGATTCCAGAGGGGGAGCCTGCATGGATTGCGGCTGCATCTTCTGACATGAGTGAGGAAGATTTGTTATATTGAACCACTGCATCCATTCCACAAAATCGTCGATGCCAGGCAAGAAGGCCCCCCTCAAGTGCTTGTTGTCGAGTTTGCAAGCGGCGGAGCGTGTCCGGGCTGATGAATGTTGTAGACTTTTGTTGATGCACGACAACGCTATCACAGTCAAATATCTTCCAATCAGTAACAAGTGAATAAAGGGTGATTCGGGCGTCCGGAAGCGAGCTAAATCGGGACTCCAAGGTGCGTGGACTTGGTAGCCGGTCCGGTAGGGGAGCAACCCCATCAAAAATCGTAACAAGAGTGCCCACGCGAACAAATACTGGCGCTAGCGTCGCCTTGAGTAATGATGTTTCACGGGTGTCGGCAGATGCTCCATTCATTAACTGAGCTCCTTGGTGATATAGCGCCAATGCGGCTTTGATATTGCCCTGAAGACTTTCAATACACATAAACAGCACACAACTCACAAGGACAACCGTCAGGTCGGCGATTCCTCGTTGAATCTGCTGCTGGATCTTTCTCAGGGAACGGGTATACCACGTCAAAGCATCTCGGTGGTTACGACTCTGAGGGGGGGGCAGCCTGTCTGTATGTTGTATTCGGTATAAACCAGGCCAGCCTACGGAGGGAGGGTGCTCGTAAAAGGTACTCAAGGCTGCAATTGCATCCCAGACCGCGGGCTCGTGGCCGCAGATTTGCAGAACCGTGCCACGCCAGAATCCCAGATCCAGAGCGTCGGAAAGAGAAGGAGCCGCATGAAAGAAGTAGTACTCAAACGCCCGCCGCTCTCTATGAACCGGGGATACTGTTGACAGTCCCCGGTGAACTCTTGGGGGTTGCCCGCGAGAGAGAGAAAGGTTTACGGTGGCATAGTCGCACTGTCGCCCCGTGCTGGCGCACCGCAGACACCGAGGTTTCTCTTCTCCACACTTAACGCGACGGATCCTATTGGACCGTGAGTTTGGAATGCACGACGAAACACACTTGAACCAAGATCTTGGAAGCTACTCACTTGCATGTCTTGCAGCCTGTTCTAGACTTGAGACTGCCAATGCGACCCTTTTGAATCATATCTGCTGACATCTTGAGAGTCAGGAGTCAGGAGTCAGGGCAGGGTTGGAATCGCCACGTTCTGTTCATCCCATGCCAATAGATGTGACATTGTCTATCGGATCCGACTGAGTAGTTGAGGATTACTTGGTTCATATTTCAACCCTGACAACTTCATCTATCCTTAGCTAGTTATCTGATGTTCAGCTTATGGATCCCAGAAGTTTCAAGGTGGAGATCTGGTTTCGATCTCGGGTTTTAATTGGCCTGTTCGGATCATGACGTCATAAAGCTAACCTATCTAGGCATAGTATGACCCTGAAACAGCTAGTGTGAACAGTGATACTAAATATAGATACATTTCCATATTAGGCAAGTACAGGTCTCGACTGTGCTACAGATATACTTGTACTTGGACGTATAACCATCCATTCAGGTACACGTAAATCAGGACGGATGGCTCAAGAACGTTATTTCAAGGCTCACAATTAGAGTGGGAAGGAGTCAGTTGTCCCTGTGCTCACCTTTATCCACCTTCTCACTATGCCAGATGCCAGATGCAATGCAGCTCGGGCTAAGGAAAGTAGACTAGAGAATAAGAAAAGAATAAAAGAATCAATGGTGGCTACTCCATACTCTTTCCTATGCTGTAATATTCGGATTCAATGTCTTGTTGACATGGTTCTCTGGCTAAGACTAGAAGTGTTCGGAGTATAGGGTATTGTCGGAGTATCATTGGGTGTGATGATTCTTGGAAACCAACCTCCCCCACCGCCACACCAACTGACATATCTCGAGATCGCAGCCTACGGAGTATACCCAGAATTATTTAAATTCTGCTGTATCCAACCTGAATAGTCTTTGAAGCTGAGTGGAACCGTCTCCCCCTAGTTCCATATTTCTCCACAATATGGAGGGTTGTGTCTACCTGACAGGCCTCGCCACGGGCATCATTACCCACATCGCCTACCTCCACCATGGAGAGCACCATAAGTACGGGTTGGCTTACTTACTGGCATTTCTTGCGGCAGTCACCTGCAGCGCCTACCTCCTGGTGTTCTTGTACGACCAGCTATTTCGCCATGCCCTATTCCAGAGTCTCCAATTCTACGCCGCCTACCTTGCGGGTCTTTACTCCAGTCTGCTCGTCTATCGCATCTTCCTGAACCCATTGAATAAATTTCCCAGCAGCTTAGGCACCCGAATCTCGCTCTGCTTTTTTTCATTGAGACTCAAGGACTTGGATAGTTTCCGACAGCTTCACAGACTGCACAAGAAACATGGCCACTTCGTTCGTTTGGGGCCCTCGGATGTGTCCATCACACACCCCGACGCCATTCTCGCTATCCATGGTCCTGGGTCGCGGTGCACCAAAGCAAGTCAATACGATATCGTGAGCTCATTCAAGTCTTTGCAGACACTACGGGATAAGGGCGAACACGCCCAACGCAGACGGTTGTGGAGTAGCGCATTTGGGGAAAAGGCACTGCGGGGATACGAGCATAGGATTCGGGGCCATCGACAACGATTCATGAACCGCATCATGGAAAAAAAGGGCAACCCCATCAATATCACCGACTGGTTCATGTGGTACAGCTTTGATGTGATGGGGGACTTGGCCTTTGGCCAGCACTTTGGTATGCTCGATAACGGCCAGCAACATTGGGCCATCCAACTGTTGTTTGATTCGATACATTATCTCGGATATAACCTCCCTTCGTGGATGTTTATCCTGCTGAATGATATCCCCGGGGTTAACAGGGACTGGTGGCGGTTTATTGGGTACTGCCAGCAAACCCTGGAGAAACGCTTACAGGTTGATCTTGTTTCTCGCAGGACGTGAGCCACGTTTCACTTCACTAACCCGTCACTAGCACTCCGCTACGGATCCAGATTTCTGCGCATCGTTTCTGGCGCCCCTGCAAGGGCGAAAGCCGAATACCTCCGAGATGAATTTGCTGGTCGGAGACACACAGCTACTGATTATAGCAGGAAGGTTGGTTGTATTCTGGAATCCATTCTTCTCCTCCATACCGTTGGATCACAATCTCACAATATTGATCCTGTTTCTCAGTGATACTGTGGCAATAGCTCTCACTAGTATTATTTACCTGCTCTGCCAGAATCGCGAGCACATCGAGCTCCTTCGCTACGAGTTAGCTCCTCTGATGACGGACCCGACGGGGGAAGTGCTCCACGAAAAAATCGCCCACCTGGACCACCTCAACGGGGTCATAAACGAAGGCCTCCGACTATATCCGCCCGTTCCTACCGGGTTCATCCGATTAACACCCCCGGAGGGAATCACTATCGGCGGCACTTATATTCCCGGGCACACCAGCGTACAATGTCCGCTCTACGTGATTGGGCGATGCGAAGAAATCTATCCGCAGGCTGAAACGTTCCTCCCTGAGCGGTGGTACAGATTTCCCGACATGGTGAAGTATAAGAATGCATTTGCGCCATTTGCTATTGGTGAGGAAGGGCCGAGCTTGCATGTCCAGTAACTACTACGTACCTGGATAACAGACTGACGAGGCGTTAGGTCCCTACAGCTGTATTGGAAAGCCCCTGGCGCTGATGAATATCCGCACTACGTTGGCACGAATGATCTACGAATTTGATTTTGGGTTCGCTCCGAGCGAGGACGGGACGCAGTTTGAGAAAAATGCTGTGGAGCATGTTACTTTCTCCATGGGGGAGTTGAAACTGGGGTTTACCCCCAGGAAGAACGCTGATCAATTTTGAGCTTGGTGATATTTTCCCCAGGTCGTCTGCGAGTTAGACCGAAGTTGGAAATAGAACGATGTGTATTATAATAATATCGGGATTGTCACATGTACATAATGGATATACACTAGATTTCTTCCCGGGAAGTAACACACCCCCCATTCCGAACTCCTTTCAAGGGGAGCCCCTACCTACCTGGTGGAGGAACGAGGGAAATTGATGGCAAGTTGCTGCGATCGGATTTGGGACGGGTAGTAGAACTCAGAGCAACGGTCTAATCTACTTGATCACAGGAAGAAGTGGCTTCCGGAACAGGTTGTACGAGACTCCGCGACAGGATGCCTACATAATTCGGAGCTGGCGTCACTAGGTTCTTGATATAGCATACGGAGCCACCTGGGTAGGAATATAAGTTCAAGCCAATGCATTCCGATCCTTCCTCCTATTGGCCTCTGTACCATAAGCCAACGCCTGCTCCGGTATATCCGCTTATGTCCACTGATCTCGCATCATAATCCAACAGATATCCATCCCTTATATAAATGCTGAATGCGGTTCTCTCTGCGTTGAAATTACCGTCACGGCAGACATCCAAGCCATTGATTCCTTCAATCGGTGAACAAACATGAAGGTGATCCTCACGGGATGTACTGGCTTCGTGGGAGGCGAAGTCCTGCGACAATGCATTCAGAACCCTTCCATATCATCGATTGTGGTACTTTCTCGCAGGCAGCTTTCCGGACCGATTGCGCAAAACCCCAAGGTTGCCGTGAAGATCATGCAAGACTTCCTCGTATATCCCGAGTCGCTGATGCAGGATCTCCACGGCGCAGAAGCATGTATTTGGCATGTCCCCCCCCCCCCTCTCCCGTTCTCCAACATTCACAGAGCTCTAGTGAACATTGCTTATGGATAAGGGTATTAAAGGGCACTAGGCAAGCCCAGCATGTTAGACCTGGACATGTATCGAAAAATCAACGTCGAGTACACCATGGCAGCGGTTGGAGCATTCAGCGAGTATCGCACGGCGACTGGAGCAAACGCCAAACCATTCCGGTTCATCTACTGCAGTGGTGTTGCGGCAGTGCGTGATCAGGAAACGACACTATGGCTTCTGCCAGGAATGAGACGCATCCGGGTACGTTGCTAAGCTGCCAAGCTATCAGATGTGCTGTGCTGCGAGGAAAGAAACTAAGCATGTATAGGGCCAAATCGAGAATGAACTGGTGGCGTATCAGGAGAATCATCCTGATACAATGCACACATATATTGTGCGCCCGGCGATGATTCTGTCTCCGAATACAACTCTTCACAGTTTGGTATTTGGGATGGTTGCGTCTATCAAGGTCAATGTCCTGGCGAAAGTCATGGTGGACCTCGCCTTGAATGGGAGTGAAGAGCAGATATGGGAGAACTCGGCCATGATCGCAACAGCTCAAAGGTAGCTTTCTAAGTAATTAAGTGTGGTTTTGGGGCTTGGATTGAATTAATGCGCGGAATACTTGTTTAGCGACTTATCAGTAGCACGGCGTGCAGTCCGCTTGAGGATGAAGTTAACCAGAGCCTTCCGCCCATCTACCTTGAGCGGTCCTTCAATGTGCATCGCTCCCGGTACATCTTTCCGCTCGAGATCTAGCTTTAAATCCTTTGCTTTTTGTTCTAATTGATCAGCCACCCACGGTGGAATCACCTCATCCTCCTTGGCCGACATCAAAAATATCGGAGGGAGAGCTCGAGAGCATGGCGCAGCGGACTGAGAACATAGAGAGCCTGCTTCACCATCCATGTGGTTTTCGCTCGGTGGATTGGCCGGTCGGTCCTGCCAATGGGCCATCTGCTCCAGGTAACTGGCGACGTCCCAGTTGTTCCATGAAAACGGCCATAAGTACCGGTAAGGCAGCCACTTTTGCGGATAGAGACTGATCAGCATATCTTTGATGCTGGAGATTGGAGCTTCGAGAACCAACCCCGCGATGGGGAGTTTTGATGTTTCACCGTTTGGGCTATCAGCACGGGAAAGATACGCGAGAGCAGCTTTGCTCGCCACAGCTGCGCCTAGGCTATGCCCCCAGAGAACAAGTTGGAGGTCTTTGTCGGGGGCGCTGAATGTCTGCGACACCCACTCTAGAAGCGCCTGCGCGTCTAGTTCGATACCGCGCTGCGTCGCACGACCCGAGGAAGTCCAGTACCCGCGATACGACAAGGCTACAACGGTATACTCCACGTCGAACTCACCAGGCGGCGACGACGACATATCCCTGATAGCCCGAAGGACGTGCGAGAGAAGCGGCAGCCGTAGCGGAGTCGACCCGCCATTCCCCTGGAAGTAGCAAATCACTACCGACTTTCTCTTTCGCGGGGGGTCTGCAGCAGCTTCGCGACCGCGGTCTCCCGGGGCAGGGATACGTCCCTCGCAGACAGTTAATCTAGTCCCGTCTAGACTGCGGATGGGACGCTCTGTCCAGTTGACTGGACGGCACTCCGCCTCATAGTTGGCTATGGTCTCGGAGCGCGAAAACGGGGGCAGCCAGGAGAGATACAGAAGCTTGTCCTGGAGCACAACGATCCAAAAGCATTTCCATGTCCAGAGGGTGATGAGCAATCCAGTGAAGATGGCGGGGGGGATAAGGATCGGTGGTATAGAAGAGGTAAATAAAGCGCGAGCACTGAGCTGATGGCCTGCTCGTAACAGACGTGGATGTGGTTTCGCGTGGATGCCTTGCCTTCTCAAGACCTGGGAGCGTGGAGAGCTCTGTTGGTGGAAAGATCGAGCTGTTCGCTGTAACCAGATGGCTTCAGGGGGACTGCGCCAGACGCGCCGTTGGGCCCATTGCGCCAGCATCAAGGAATGTAGCGCTGGATCTGACTCGATGAGGTGAATCAAATCTGTTCACCAAGAGATCCTTGAAGTGTTAAATCAATAATCAATAATTTCGAGATTCATCATGCACTGGTATTACTAAGCATCCATCTGCATTTCTTTTTCTTTTCTTCTCCTCCCGTTTGTCCTTGCAGGGACTACATACATAAATGAATAAATGAATTTAGAGAAACCATATGTCAATTGTTTACCTTGTCCTGAACTAGCTCCCTGGCTTGGTGGTTTGTGAGGCTGAGGGGTTGTATCCAAGATATATACTCCGTATACTGATATGAATGTCTCGCCTTCTTGCAGCAAAATATCACTTCGATTAAAGGGAAAGCTTCGGCTAGAAAGGGTATTCTTCGAATCTAAAATTCCACAGCCTTCTGGCCGAGTCATCAAACCCATATCCCTTCGAGCTCGTCGCGCCAATATGCTGAAGTAGCGATGGAACCACCGCCCACCGTGTCCAGCCCTCATGGTCGGCAATCTTCTCAACCATCATGTCGACTAGCCAATCCGTTGTCAAGTCCGTCCGCTCGAGCAAGTCGGGGATGATGGAGCGTGGATAAACCAGGCCCTGCGAGCAGCATCCATACTGGTTCATTTCGTGAACCCCAGCAGACATCGGCCACATCGTCTGTCGACCTGCCATGAAGTGGAGGGCTATAGCCGCGGGGATAAAGAGACAAGAGGTGATCCAAATGGCATTGTTTGGTAAAGACTTGAGCTCGGTCTGGAAGCGTCGTTTCGCGGCTACCATCGCCCCAGTGAGCAGCGCCCAGATCAACAGGGACCCGGCTAAATATCTGGGCCACTCCTCGGAATTCCAGCCCAGGAGGTCATCAACATAAAAGAGCCGTAAGTAAATCCAGTCTCGACCCCTCGATCGCTTTTGAACTGCGTTAAGAGCCTGGAAGGCGGATCGGAGCCAGCCCTTGACCGCCAACGTATCGTCCTCTATCATGGCCACATAATCGGCACCCGTGTCGTAGCAGTCCTTCATCAGATGCGTGTAATCGTAGATCGTCTTGTTCCGGTACCATCCGCCTTCCTCCCAGGCCTTTATTTGCTGAAAATCCGGGTTGTCCTCCGAGTACGTCAGTAGGCGGTCCGGTAGTGTTTCGACCCATTTTTCGGAGGCGATGGGATGTTGTGTGGGATCGGTATTCCCGACCAGGAGGTATAAGAGGAGATCCTTTCTCTCAGGCTCGCCGAGGCCGTCCAGAAGCGATGCCACGGTTAACCCGACGTATTGGTCTCCCCGTCGACGCACGGTTACTATCCCCACGCATATCTTCGGCGTCTCTCCCGGTAGCCTTGTGGGCGGCCTGACATCACCGGCCGCCCCTAGAAACGCGTCCGCCTCGGCGATTCTCTTCGCAGAATAATGTCTCTCGTAGGCGCGACTGGCGTCGAAGAAGAAGGAAGTCGGATCTCGATAGCTGGCGCCCCGGTAGTAACGGAGGGAGAGTAGGTAGAGGGCGGAGAAGGCGAGAACTATGATACCGGTTGCAGAGAGGGAAAATCTGCCGAAGCGAAAGGACCGCAAAGGGGGAGTCATTCCCGACTGTCTAGGAGAAACAAGACACCATGCGCAAATCGCGACGCCGCCTTCTCTCGCGAGTGTTGGATGATAGGACTTTTGTCGAACGGCACTGAGCGGCGTTGGGTAGTTAAAAGAGCATCAGCGCTAGAATGGTGCGACGCCTCACGTATCATGGATTAAGACATATGGACGTTGGCAAGCTGGCCGTGGTGAGTCGATTGAGGGCGGCTATGCAGATTCAGGGGATGGGAAGTAACAGGGCGTGCCTGTGGTCCCGTGCCCAATCAGTGGGCAGCTCCAGCCGCTCAGTGATTTCAGCCTTGCACAAGCTCAGATCCTGCCAACCTGCCAACCTCTCATCGTTTAGATAGGTAACGCCATTAATACCTTTTCCTTTTTTTTAGTATGTATTCTAATCTACATCTTAGTGGCTGAAACGACATTGAGAGACAACCTGCTTGGGCGAACTCAGTGCAACTAAAACACAGTTAGTTTATGCTGCAGCTCCGAAACCGATCTCACAAACGCTTCGCGCCAGGCCAATAGTGTCTGCATAGGGGTCAAGATGACTAGTATCGAACTAGAAATGGTGTGGCAGAAGCCCACCGCTACCTGTTCCGCTCGTATCTGGAGATAAAGGTGTTGGGTTGGCCCGACAGTTAGGGTGAGGGGATGCGTTTGCAAGTCATTTCCAGCTTGGCTAAAATTAGAAGATGCATTGGTTAAGAACTTGGACAGATCTCGTCCATTCCAGTGAGCGTGAGATGAAAAAAAGATTTTTCATTGCTGTCGGACATTTCTCTCGCACTTAGATATCGATTCATTTGCGGGGATCATATCCAGTTTCCCTATGAGCTCTGCCGTGTTACGCAGGAACAGTGAATTGAATGACCATGCTCTTCGGGAAATGGCTTAGGAAAGCACCCAGTAATGATAGCTCTTCTATCATGTCTGCATCCCCGTCTGGTCCACAAGAGCCGGAGAAAGTCATCATTACTAGCAAGTCTTGGTTCACCTCCCTTCAACAATGTGTGATCCACCTTGTTCCCATGTCGGCGTCGGTCATCATAATGACAGTAAACATCAGGCGCACGTATTTGAGTGCGGACTTGATGTCTCCAGTCAGATCGGAAACTATCAACCTTTTGTTTCTCCAAGTGGCCGCCAAAGCACACGAAATCATGATCGTCGCAAGCTTGAGCTTGGTTGTTCTACAGTTTGTACGGCACGAGCTGCTTTTCGGGGATGGATTACCCTTGGGCTTCATCGGGTCGGGAATTACTTTCAACAACTTTGAGTTCTTCTTCAAAAAGGAGTTTCGTGGGGCAATGAAATACATCTCGCTTCCCGGTAATAAACTTCGCAAGGTGGCATTTGTGAGTCTCATCATGATTGCGGGGTTCGTGGCAGCTCTCGCTGGCCCAGCCAGTGCTGTTCTGCTTGTGCCAAAGGATCAAGACTGGGAAGCGGGAGGTACCCAATTCTTCCTGAACGGCACGGAGAGTGAGCTTTGGCCCTCGGATTTGACAGGAGAATTATCTGAACTCCGCCAATTTTGCAGCCCAGATAACTCTACCAGTGTGGGAATCTGTCCGGCAGCTGGATTTCGCTCCTTATGGACCCACTGGGGAACCATGAACAGCACAGATTTTCGGACTCAAAATGTCCGATCCTATGCAAAGGAGGTATCCGGCTCTTCATTCTACTGGCCGGTTTCTAGCCCCTGGTCACTAATCCCACCCTTATATTCCCTTGGAGATAGCCAGCAAGGAACATCCCTGATACAGCCACATGCAGCCACCGTGGTAGTGTTACAGGAACTTGCAGAAGATTGGTGGAAAGCTCTTACGGCGGTAAAAAAGTTGTCATCCAACCAGGTCGACGACCGGGTTGTTTCCGCCAAGTTCAAGAACGCTATCACCGTCGTGCATTGTGGAGAACCGCAAAAGCTGCAGGCGTCAAATAGAACTGTCCGGTTCCCGTCCATCGACGGCCGGTTCAACTTTGCTGATAGCTTACCAGTAGATGTCGACAGTCTAAACGGTACTCGTACTGACCACATACGATTTCAGTGGATCCATCTCCCGGAAAGATTCGGTGCCACTAGCATTGGAGGATTGTTCGAAACAGCATGGGAGGGTGAAAGCCAGTCTGATGCTTCGCGAGCTGTAATTGGTTGTACTGTTCAGGCTGGATGGGTACCGGCAACGGTCTTTACAGACAAGTATACTTTTTGGACGGGATGGTACCCCTGGAATATTCAATTTGGTGATCGGACTCCCGCATGGAACGGGGCCTCAAAAAGCTCGACAAATGGCCGAATAGCATTCGGAGACGAGTGGTTGAGGCTTTTAACCCCCAAAGCTCCTCCTACTGCTTTCTATACTGAGTCTTGGCGTCCATCGACAATTGAAAGCATCTTTCTGAATGCAGGGCTGGCTGATTATGCCCAGTTTCGTAGCTGGCTAAGTAACAGCAATTCAACTCGGGCAAAAGTTTCGCTTCTTGAGGCTATCGTCTGCAGTGTTGTCCTTGATGGTCTGAGCCGAACAGGGAGTTACCGAGCATTTGACACGTCAGGTTCGAGTTCCGAATGGTCCATCGCAAACTACAATCTTCTTCCTAATTTCGAATCCCGGGTGTTAAAAAACGAGCAAGCTTTGCAAACTCCAGCTCTAGACCCTGACCAGTTTACAACCATCCAGGCGGAGATGAAAATTAGCGGATTTTCGTTTCAGACCTCGCTCGCCAGCTTTCTTGCCATGTCCGTCCTGCTCACACATATTCTACTTGCTACGGCCCATATTGGGTACATCCTATATAAGAGACAATCGTCCAGCAGCTGGAGTTCGGTCGCGGGACTCATTGCCTTAGCCCAAAACTCCCAGCCGGCATTTGGCTCTTTGGCGAACACGGGAGGGGGCATCGAATGCTCTCAAACATATGGACAAGTCGCGAAAATCAGGGCCAAGAACACGCCTGGTATTCCAAACCACAAGCACGTCGAACTGCTCTTCGAGGAACATTTCAGCTCCGAGGATATGGCAGTCGGCCATGAACCGAGTAGTTTCCGCTATAGGTGTCTGCGCCACCCAGCCACATGGCCGAACCGCAAAATCCAGGTGGTTTCGGGTGATAATGCAGAGATTCAAGGGTTGTCAAGCTCTACCGAGAGATTGGTCCCTGAGACAGCTATCGAGGCTGGAGAAGCGATGTGGCCTGTGTATGCGGGCCAGCCGTATGGTTAAGGACGGTCTGCGTTGTATATGAATTTGACAATGACGTGAAGGGATCTTATATAAAATGTATATACAATCATATTACCTTATACGGCTTCTGTAGCGACCAGTATATATATACCAATATGATGCAAATGACTGCAGATGATTGTATGACACTAATAAAGGAGGGATTTGTTTATTTGTAGAGGGATTTCTGAGGTAACATGCAGCTACATGTAATCCCACGATCAGGTCATCCCAACTATAGGGCTGATATGGCATCTCGCAACCGTGTGTTTGGGGATTGCGGGAATGGTTGCATGGGGTTGCCTGTGTCTGTAGATTGAATCTGTTATTCGTACCCGGGGATATTTGCTTTCCTGTTTGACATTTGATCTGGAGGAATTGTGGGCAGTTTAGTCCACCTGTATACTTTCAGAAAGTACGGTAATAAAGATATAAACATAGATCCTGTAACTAGTTACATGCGGGAGATCTAATCACTCAGCTGGCCGGTTCCCACGCATATCCCGATACGCGTTCCTCGGGTCCTGTTCCTCCTCCTCTGCAGACGGAATCGTCTTTCGCACTCTACACGGACTCCCCATGGCCACGGAGAACGGCGGGATATCCCTCGTCACGATGGACCCGGCTCCAATCGTGCATCCCTCACCGATCCGCACGCCGGGCAGCACAATCACATTGCCTCCAATCCAGCAGTCGTCGCCAATGAAGACGGGATGACCGAATTCCACGAATTTCCGCCGCGACAGGATACTCGTTTCATGGCCTGCCGTGAAGATACTGACATTGGGACCGAACTGCACGCGGTCGCCTATCACGATTAAACTTGTATCGAGTGCGGTGAAGCTATGTCGTGGCGTAGTCTGTAAGTGTATGGACTCAATAGTTCCAGCCAGCTCCCTAGCTAGCTCCCTAGCCAGGCAGGCTAGGTACGGAACGGAAACTCACTTGAAATTAATAAACGTCTCCCGTCCAATAATGATATTCCTCCCGTAATCCGGAGTAAACGGCGCCTCCACGTAGGTGCCCTCGCCAACCCTGCCGACGACCTTGCGAAGCAGCTCCAGACGCGTCTCGGTGGCTTCGTCGCAGGACAGCTTTCTCAGGTCCAGTTGGTTGAAATCCGCCGCGGCACAGCGACAGCGATGTCGCGCTTCCATCAGCTCCGGGGCAAGCGGATTGTACCTATATTGGATTGGTTCGATGTGGTTCTATGGCTGAGAGAGAGAGAGAGAGAGAGAGAGAGAGCCGGAAGGAATAGTTACAGCATGCCCGAGATCATCTTCTCGTATTCCTCGCTCATCGGCACACAATTGAGCCCTCGCGCGATTTCGATCAGATCCGGGCGTTTTTCTGTAGCGGCCGACATGATGGAATGCTGTGTTGGTGATGAATATACGCGGGGCGTGAGATGGCATCCAAGATCCGCATCTCGTTATATCAGCGGAAAGCTTTAGTATTGGTGGAAATCTACTTCAATTTATCCTGCAATAGTATGTATAGTATAGTATTCATCTATCCGTTTGGGAACCCGCTAAGTAAGGGGATGATATATATATATAATAGATATAAATCTATCTATACTACCACTTCAGTGATATACTGCGCGTTTCCCAGTCCCCCCCCTCCCCCTGTGGCTTCAGGAACAACAGCACGCGGCACGGATTCAGTTCCACCTCCTCCGGCTGGAACGCTTCGTACACCCGGGCTAACGAACCAATGTCTTGCTCGCTCTGCGGCGGAGAAGCGCAGCTACTTTCCTCGACCTCGATGACGAGCTTCGCAACCGCTTCGTACCGGCGGGCGTCCCACATGCCCTCCTTCTTGGAGTAATGCGAGAGGACATCCACGGCCCGTCGTCGAATGGCGGGATGGCGACACTTACAGGCGGCATAGTACAGCGGCGCGATGATTTCGCCTTCCAGGGAAAACACCGCATGTGCATCAAGAGAGGAGGAGGAGGAGGAGGAGGTGACCCGGCCGATTTCCTCAGAGTGCCGGATCATGGTCTCGAAGTCGGCAGTGAACCCGTCAAAGATGTCCTCGGTCCGTTCCAACGCACTGCGCACGCAGAGAACCGAAGTATGATAGTATATTCGGAGCGTGAGGGACGCACATGAATCCACCGGCGGGATTCGCGCGCCCAGTCGGAGCAGCAGGTCATCGTGCCAGAGACTCCACATCTCGAACCCGCGCAGCAGTTGCCGCTGCTCGGCGTCGAATTTCCGCTGCGACGCGGCGTCTCGCGCGGACCTTGTCATCCCGATCGAGCGAATGAAGACCAGGCCTTGGTTCATCAGCTGGTCGAGGACCTCTCGCGCGTGCGACATACTCGGAAACGCAACGCCTTGCCGCGCGGCGTCCCACGCCGGGAACTGCAGAGGAAACAACAGCCGCCCGAACAGCGAAGCCTGCACGTTCATCCGGGCAAACAGGGCTCGAATTTCCCGGAACAACGGGTTGCCAACGTTGGCCCCCCCCGTCCGGGTCTGATCGTGCCGGGATATGATCCTCAGCCCGGCCTCGATGTGGTCCAGTGCCTCCTTGCGGTTTTCGCGGAGGATCTCCAAACACACGAAGAGACAGCAGGTAGTCAGAATCAAGTCCGTGCTGTCGCTTTGTGTGGTCGAGAGCGCGCTCATCAGGTGGTGAATCGACTTGTTGTACTCTTCGAGCACGAACTGCATCGTGCTCGGGCATGACTCGCCCGGGAATACTGGCGGTTGGAGTCCCCTTGCACGCTCCACACTGGCATGGAGAGCCCCGATGGCCGTCATGGCATGTCGAATGCTCGGCTCGCGCTCGCTGAGCTGGGGTACCAGGAGAGACCAAAACAGGGAGTCAAAGTAGCCGGAAAAGGCCTGTGTTGTTCGACGGAAAAAGTACTCGACGTATTGGCGCTCTGTGGCGGTTTCGCGTCGAACAAGCATCTGGTGATCCGGGCTGATCGACGGCCTGGGGGGAGACGCCCGACGGCGTTCGTCTATCCGTCGACGAAGCTGCGACTGGGAAGCGCTATCGTACCCATCGCATTGCCGGCCCGACCGGTGGCATTGAAGACAGCCCGGTTTGCCTTCGTCACATTTGACATGACGGATCCTATACTTTGTATTCAGTCTCTGTACGATGCGGTTCCAAATCCACATCCAACTCGTCAACTCACTTGCAGGTAATACAGCCATTCCGAGAGCGAGGGCCACTGGCTCGCTTGGGCATTTTCCACTTTTTTCTGGGTAATGGTAAACTGGGTGAAGAAGAAGAGAAGAAGAAGAAGAGAAGAAGAATTCATCTGCCTGTTACTGGGCTGGCCAGTCGCCAACTCGTCTTAGGCAGAACCAAACCCTGCGGCTGAAAACATGTGGACCAAAAATAATACTTAATAACCACGTCTATTTAGTATTTTTATGCTATATCGGGGATATTTGACTTTGATTTATGCTTTAGATCCGTATCGGGGGGGGGAATGAGGCTATATACATACCCTAAACCCTACACTCATCATATTCAGCTGTGATTCTCTACTTAGACAACATTAAACACCACTTACACACCACTTAAATACAGCCTCTCGTCGAATCGGGTTGGAAAAGCCGCTGTGGCGCGAAGACGTCGATCTCTGGAAGCTGACAGGATTTACCGGATATATCTATAGCATTACCGCCGTTTCCATGTCAGCACCCAATCACTATATAATGCAACTGTCTCCATTATTTCCCAGCCATGTATTTTCAATCTGCCCACTCGAACTGTCCCGAGCCAGAAACAATGCGTCTCATCCTCACAGGCGCCACGGGCCTCGTCGGGTCCGCCACCCTCAACCACCTGCTGAATCTCCCCGCCGGCGAAATATCGCGGGTGTACATTCTCAGCCGCAGCCCGGTCCCCATGGCCGAAAACAAGCCCAACGTCACGGTTCTCGCGCACAGCAACTTCAACGAGTACTCGCCCGAGCTGCTGGAGAAACTCCAGGGCGCGGATGGGTGTATCTGGGCCCAAGGGATATCGCAGACCCAGGTTTCCAAGGAGTACGTACATACATACATACATACATACATACATACCAGGAGACTAAGGCAATATTGCTAACCCACACACCCAGGGAATATGTAAAAATCACCCGGGAGTACCCTCTCGCCGCCGCAAAGGCGTTTTCAACTCTCTCCGACTCGTTTAATTTCGTCTATGTCTCTGGAGAAGGCGTACGTTGACCCGCAACCTAGCCAGCCAGCCAGCCAGCCCGCCAGCCAGCCAACTAACCAACCCAGGCAACTCAATCCCCCGGACCCTTCACCCCCTTCTTCGGCCGCGTAAAAGGCGAATGCGAATCCGCCCTCTTCGCCCTCGCAGCGCAGCACCCCAGTCTCAAGCCCTACTCGGTCCGCCCGGCCTACGTGGACCCAGCACACGACCCGCTGGTCCTCCAAGCCGTCATGCAGCGACCGGACCAGCAATCCTTCACCAAGAAATCCCTGCACGCGGTCCTGGGCCCCGTCATGCGCGCCGTGATGGCCAACAGCGTCTCCCCGACGCAGGACCTGGGGAGGTTCTTGACCGATTTGGCCCGGGGGAATGGCACTCCTTTAACTGGGCGGGGGGAGGGCGTCACCGGGGACGGAAGGATTATTAATAATGTTGCGTTTCGGAGGGAGGTAGGGATTATATAACTCTTATAAAAGAAAGTGGCTTGTCAAATCAGGCGGAGTGAAAAATATCTACAGGTCGTTGTCCGTCGTCGAACTACTAGTTACAGAGTGGATTTGTCTCGAGATAACTACCCCATATTTTATCCTCATCTTATGAAAATCATTTAACCCCAACGCACACCTCATAATCCAGCTGCAGATTCTTGCACTCTCCCTCCGCCGTATTCACATCCGGATTCCACTGGTAGAACGCCTCCAGCGAGATCCCGTTCGCCACGGCGATGGAGTCGCACGTGTCGCCGCTACACACACACATAGTCAGAGACCGTGAAGGAAAAGTCGCATCCGACGGAAAATATACATACCTCGAGACAAACCACCAGCTGGCGCAGGAGCTGGTCGCATTCGGCTGGCGAGGCGTCTTGGTCGGGAAGATGTCGGTGGGAAGAGGCGCAGTTCGCGTCGGAGGCGTGTTCGGGTCTCTGACGCAATACCACGCGTCGTCCTGTTTCGAGAGAGAGAGAGAGAAATACCCATGAGTTCAATTTTACCCAGAGAAGGCTGCGGGGTTCGTTTCGTTTCGTCTTACCTTGATCCACGCACACGTTTTCCCCACCGAAGGGTTCCACGCCACAAAGTCCTGCTCCGAGAAGGTGCCAAACATGACTGCGATCCCCCAGCAGCTGTCGTCATGGTTGGTCTTGTACCATGCCGTGCAGTTCTGCGTGGTCCCCATCTGGGTTGGCGTTGGGGTTGCCGTCACGGTGGGTGGCATGGGGACATCGCCCGTGGAAAATGCCGCAACACAATAGTAGTAGCTGGCGTGAAGACCGGAACAGTCGGCTTTCAAATCCGGGTTCCACTGATGCAATTGCTTTTCGGTCAAGAAATCATATTCCGCAAGGATCCTAGAACACGAGTCGCCCTGGGTTCGGTCAGTCAAATCAATCAAGCTTTTTTTTCCTAAGTGGATAAATATCATACAGCGGTTGCATAGTGGAATCCCTGGCATCCAGACACGAGTCCCGACTGAGTCGGGGAAGCTGTAAATTCGGAGCCCGGGATACTGGTTGGCATGGGCGTGTGAATCGTTGGCTCTGGAATGATGACAGGCCCGCTGGTTGGATAGTCGAAGCTCAGAGAAGTCTGGGGCTGCGTTCCCACGCAAACCCACCAGCCCACAAACGGGAATTGGCAGTCCTCTGCAAGGCCAGGATTCCATTGGAGTCTGTCATGGATTCGCAGTCAGCCGTTGTCATCAATGTGTAAAGCGGATGCCAGCACGCACAACTCCTCGAAGCTGACCCATGCAACATATCGGGCTTGGATTGTATCACACGTGTCTCCAACCCGGACAAGATGCCATTTGTTGCATGTCGAGGGCTGTCCTGCCTGAGTCTTGGTAGGAGGCCATGCAGTGTCGGTGCTGGTCAGGGTAAGATTCCAGGAAGTGATCGGGTTGATGACCGAATATCCTGTGGTGGCATTGGCGGAACTTGTCGTCTGAGACGTAGTACTCGAACTCACGGTTGTAGTTTCGGTAGTGGTAGGAGGAGGAGGAGGAGGAGGAGGAGGAGGAGGAGGAGGAGGAGGAGGAGGAGGAGGAGGAGGAGGAGGAGGAGGAGCAGTGCCCACGCCAATGCAGTACGAGTAGTCAGGCCAAAACTTCTGCAGACAATCCTTCGAAACGGCAGGGTTCCAGTTGAAGAAATCATCTAGGCTGATGCCAAAGTTCTGCGCAGTCGCGTAGCAAGTGTCTCCGCGTTTGACCGTGTACCATCTGTTGCAGTTAGGAGCAATTCCAGGAAGCGTGGGATGGCTTGGAGAGGTTTCAGCAGGAGGCGCATCTTGAGGAATGATGGGATCCTGGCTGGATACGATCCCAGCAGCAGCGAGAATCACAGCCAACAGGTAGTGAAATCTCGCCATGGTGAGTTGGAAGGTGAGAATTTGGGATTTGAGAACTGGAGAGATGGAGATTGTCGATAAGGAACAGAAGAGACTTGAAAGATTCTAATAGCGAAGAAGAGAAGTAACTCTGATCGAAGGGGAATTAAACAGTGAATACTGGAGTGACTATATCCATTCACCAGTGTAACTGTCACATAATATGTTCTCCCCCAAAATCATCAACAGATATGGGGAATGTCTCTTGAACTTACTGCAATAGTGATAATCTTGTCGATAAAGGATTATAGACAGGTCATGGGATGTTGTATGCAAGTACTCAAGAGCTTCAAAGCCATCCTACCTACAGAAATTGTCAAGAAACGTGATGCTATTATATCACAAATAGCACAATAGATTAATGCATCCATAAAGTCACATGCTGGAAAAGTAGTATTGGAGTCGATAATGTATGTATACGGCAATTTGCAAGATCGCATATTCGCTCAAAAGAATTTGCATAGAAGGGCCAACCAACAATCTGGATACGCGAAGCCAATACAAGACAGATGCCAGAGTTCCAGCCTCCAGATCCGCACAGCATAAGAGACAGCTGGTATTGAAGCATCTTCATAACTGACAACACAAACTGCGTATCAACCTTGTATGGCCAACAGGAGAGGGGGGAGAAAAAGAAAGGTTACAAGTGACGAAATGCAAGATGAAAGAAAATTGGGAAAAGAATGGATACATGGTCGTCCAGTTGGATCAGTCCAAGCATGATTGCAGGAATAATGAACACGGTTTAAGCGGTGCTTGTCATATGGTCACCACGTATGGAATTCGGCTGACGCTGCCATGATCCTGGATTCGGGGACGGTGTACTGCCCGGTGGCGGAGCCGCGCGGAAAGGAAGGGCTGTGTTCTGCAGAGGCATCCGGGACCTGGTGTTATGTGAGCTAGCTGAGCGGGATGCCAGCGATGGGCGCAACGATGGGTCCAGGCTGGAGCTGGAATCGCCAAGGGGGGTTCGGGAGGGACGACGGGTGGGGCGGAATTCATCATCCTTCGATTCCAGGGAAAGATGTTCCAACGAGACAGGTGGTGGGGACCGTGTCGACCGCGCATTATGAGGGGATGGATTCGAGGGGACATGTTGATAGCGTTGGTGCGAGGAGACATCCTGGCTCATGTTAAGAGGAATCTCGCCGGACGAAGGAGGATAATGTGGTGTGTGGGTGGTGGGCTGGCTGGCTGCTGCAGGTTTCGGGAGGGGGGATGAGGTATCTTCCTTGAGGGATTTGGGCGCCGGAGGAGCCAGATACGACTTGCGGTTGTGCCGTTCCATCATACTGATGGCCCACTCCTGAAGGTCAACGGGAGTCCGCTTAGCCGCTTGTAGGAATGCATCTTTCTCCTAGATGCGAGGTTAGTAACTGACGAGCTGGATGCAAGTAGGGGCACGAACATATAAGTCTCGAGGGGTTGGTCGTTCTTCGGGTTTCTTCAGGAGACATTTCGCGACAAATTCGTGCAAAACGGGTGGGAATGCATCACTCTTTGGAAGCTTGGGCGCGGGCTCATGGACAATTTGTTGCAGCAGATCGAGGATGCCCATCGGGCCAGCACTAGCCCGGTCTCCGGCTGAGGAGTCTGAGGTATCAAAGGGGAACCGACCGACAGCCAATTCCATGACTGTCAAACCAACACTCCAAACGTCCGAGCGAACGGTATAGGCACCACCCTGAATTCGCTCGGGAGCCATGTAGGTTGAAGTCCCGACGAATGTATCGGCGATCGAGTTGACTGTTTCGGTCGCGACTCCAAAATCACAAAGTTTGATGTTTCCGCGCGAGTTGACAAGGATATTGGAGGGCTTGATATCTCGGTGCATAATACGATGGGCCTCATAGAGATACACCAAGCCTGCCAGAACCGACTCGGTGATTTTGCCCAACACATCAACGCGAACAGGTCCAAAATCTTTGGAAATGCGATCAAGAGAGCTATGGGCGTGCAAACGTAAGTTATCGAACAATCCCTAATCTTTCCATTCAAATAAAAGATGCACATACCCGCAATCCATGTACTCCATACACAACACAATGTCTCTTGCCTCGTTCTGGAAGGCACCATAAAAGGTCACGATGTGCGGGGAGTTGCAATCATGGCCAACCTGGAGCTCTCGTAAGATCTGCTTTCTCACATTCTCTTTGGCGTCGACACGGATGATCTAGCAAGTCGTCAGTCAAGTCTGTGAGGATGAAGACACCTCGTAGTGGTCCAGGAAGAGAGCTGCTGCGCACCTTTCGAGCCATTACAACCTTCGTAGAGGCATGCATGACCTTTGAAACAGTACCGCCATTTCCAGCACCCAACTCCTTCAAAGTGACCAAATCCTCACTGCGAAGATCCAATCGAAACTCCAACCCAATTTCCAGAGTATCGGTGCGATTACTTTCACTGTTCCCGGCAGCACTAGGAGCTTGAGCATTGCCATCGGACGGCTTGGAGGAGGGCTTCGGGGTCGAATTCAGTGCGAGGCCCTTGACATTTTTGCGCTTTAGCGTGCGAGATTTGAATTGATCGGCCATAGCTACGCGACTGGGGAGAGCTGCCGCGAGGAATGAGGGGTATGCGCGAGGGAAAAAAAAAAGTCGATGACGGAGGGAGGGACCAAAGGAGGAAGAATGGAACCCGTGAAACGGTAGCAAGTTGAAAGGTCCAAGTCAGTCAAACTATACCTTCACGGACTAGGTATGAAACAATGAGGCGGATGATATGTTGGGCGCTGAAACGCAGACAAGCGCTGTGAGTCCAAACCCGCGAGGTGGGGGGGGGGGGGGAGTCGCGACGGTCGATGTCGGATGACGTTTCTGTGGACAACAGAGATTCCACAAAGGTCGAGACAAGCGCAAGGATCAAGAGAGCTCTGAGTGAAGAATAGATGAGACCAAGGACGGAGAGAGATAGAGAGGGATGGCGGGATGGAGGGTGGATAGGAACGCAGACAAAACGTGGATGGTGGAGCTCGGGCGGAGATGGAAAGCAAGAAAAGAAACACAAAAAGCCCTGGTATCTTACTTTGATAAAGAACCTGTGATAGCAAACCATCCACAGTGCCTGAATAGAATAGAGATTTATTTGCTGGAGTAGAATAGATTTCAATACATCAATATCAATATCTGTCTAATATTTAGGACCCGATGCAGCTAATTTGAGGTACCAAGAGTTCTTTGGATTTGGTTCCGGGATGGGACCCGAGGTACGAGCAAGTAGCCTGGGCTTTTGAAATGAAGATATCTGGCATACTTGACTAAAGAGTTAATACTGTAACTAACTATTCTAACTTTGAATTATTCACTCTTCTGATGCAGTTAATCAGATTCACTATAGCCATCATTTGACAGATTGCGGATTTGGTTCTTATGGATGACCCTAGCACGTGATAGGTCACCAGCCACAGATATTTATGCTCAGCCACACTGTCAGGGCGGTGAACATAGCTGCGCCACTCCCAGGGCACCTGGAAAAGACTCCAGCCAAACCAGCCATCGATGAGCTACCTAAGGCTATTCATTTGTTCATTCTACCTCTTCCCGAAAAGTTTTCAGCCAAATCATCCTTTTGAACCCCGTTGTACAGCGTTCAATTGCTCGGTCTCCTTCTGAGCGTACTCTCTCTCTCGCTCCCTTCTCTCCCTTCTTATCCTTTTTAATAAACTTCCTCCCTGTATCATCCCGAGTCCTTTCGTTGCAAGGAAGCCTAGCACACGATGAGCGCCCGGGATTTGGTTCAGGGAGAGGCCGTCCTAGACGACGAGGAGAATGACGATGAACTAGTTGATGACTATGGCGGTGAAGGCGGCGAAGCCCAACATGCGGGTGTCGCGAACCACTATGACGACTCTAGCGAGGAAGACGACGATGAAGATGACGATGAAGAGGCGGCCCGCGCGGTATGTTGGAGCTCTACACCCTAGGGCGCTTTGTTTATCAATGCATTTCCCGTGCTAACCGGTCTCTGCATCTAGGTCCGGGAAGGTTTCATCGTTGATGAAGATGAGGAAGTGGAAGAACGTGCCGCACGACGACGAGAGAAGAGAAAGCGAAGACGCGAGGAACGCGAGCGTGATGATGAGAATTTAGATGAAGAAGACTTGGAGCTGATTGGGGAACTAAACCCAGAGCTCCAGTCTGTAACTGCAGCAGAAGTATGGCTTCTCTTTTCTCTCTCCCTCTTCGCCCCTCCCTAACCGGCTAAACCAATACTAACTAGCACCAGTCAAAGTTCAAGCGCCTAAAGCGTGGTAACAAAGATCGGGACATGCGACAAGCTTCGCAGGGCATCGATGACATGTTCAACTCTGACGAGGAAGATGAGCCCGCCGCAGAATACGGCCGACCCGGCCACCGAAGGCATATGAACGATGAGATGGATGACTTCATTGAGGAGGATGTGTTCTCAGACGACGAAATACAAAGGGAAAGAGAAGATCTGGAAGTTGCCCGTCCGAGGAAGTCGATCGGTGTTGGGGCTACAGATACGAGCGGGCTGGATGAGAATGCCCTCGAAGACATGCGCGCCGCGTTTGGAGATGGGAACGAATACTACTTCGCGCTGGCAATGGAGGATGAGGAGCAAGAGCAAGAACAAGATGTCGAAAAGCACCTGGATCTCAAAGATGTCTTCGAGCCTTCACAGCTGGCTGAAAAGATGTTGACGGAGGAAGATAATCAGATTCGTCTCCTCGATGAGCCTGAACGACATCAGATCGCCCGCAAACCCTACCGCAATGTTGTCTTGACAGAAGACCAATTCCGTGAAGAAGCTGTCTGGATCTCCAACCTTATGCTCCTGAAGAAGCGCATCGAACCCCAGCTCCGTGAGCCATTCCAGCGGTCAGTGGCCAAAGTCCTAGAATTCCTCGTGACAGATGACTGGGAAGTTCCGTTCATTTTCCAGCATCGCAAGGACTATATGATTCACACTGTCAAGGTCCCTGTGGATGAGGCCGGCCCGGATGCCGATGCAAGCTCTCAGTACACTATCAAGGCCGAGAAATTGCTGAACATGACTGATCTATGGGACATTTTTGACCATGATCTGAAATTCAAAGCCCTCGTCGACAAGCGGAACACGATACAGAAGACCTATGACAATGTCCGGAGTGTTTTCTCCGTCGATGATGCCATCGTGGAAGAAATGCTACCCGCGGCAGCTACCATGGAGGAACTCCAGGATATCCAGGATTATATTCATTTCCAATATGCTTCTCAGCTCAGGGATTTAAATATGATGAACGGTGATACCAATGGGGAATCCCAGCGCCGCAAAGCGACGACCAAGACCTTCTTTGAGCGCGTCCGCAACAGCAAGGCTTACAGTCTAGTGCGCGCTTTTGGTACCACAGCCGACGCATTTGCCCAGAATGCTCTCAAAGAGGGCCGCCGCCAATATACTGAAGACCCGGCAGAACGACCCGATGAGATGGCAGATGGGTTTGTGGACCGTGACTTTAACAACTCATCTCACGTTGTCAAGGCCGCTAAGACGATGTTTGCGGAGGAAATTGTGATGAGCCCCAAAATGCGCAAAGTTATTCGACAGGCATATTACATGAACGGCGCTGTCGACTGCTTCCGTACTGAAAAGGGTCTCCGCCGCATCGATGAGCACCATCCGTACTACGAGTTCAAATACCTCAGGGATCAACAGCTCAGCGATATCGCTCGTCGCCCGGAGCTTTTCCTCCGCATGCTCAAGGCAGAAGAAGAAGGATTGGTTGAGGTCAAGGTTCGCTTTGAGAACTTTGAACATTTCCGACAACGCCTATACCCTGATATCGAGTCCGACAACTACAGCGAACTAGCAGACGCTTGGAACCGTACTCGACGGGACGTTGTGGATTTAGCCCTAGGAAAGCTTGAGCGTGTCATCAACCGTAGCGTGAAAGAGAACATTCGCCAAGAATGTGAGAATCACGTTGCGAAAGAATGTCGCGAGGCCTTTTCCCAACGACTGGATCAGGCTCCGTACAAGCCTAAGGGCATGGTCCTAGGTACCGTCCCTCGTGTCTTGGCCTTGTCCACGGGCACTGGCACAGTCGGCCGGGAACCCATTCACTGGGCTTACGTTGAGGAAGACGGTCGAGTGCTTGAGAACGGAAAATTCGTAGACTTGTCCGTCGGGGACTCCGATCGTGCTATTGCCGATGGTAAGGATGTCGACGCTTTGTGTGAGCTCGTTGAACGTCGCCGTCCAGACGTGATCGGTGTATCGGGCATGTCTCCCGAGACTCGTCGACTTTACAAATTACTTACCGAGGTAGTGGAGAAGAAGAACCTGTGTGGTGCACCGTACACAAACGACCGCGATGCCGAGGTGACCGATCGTTTGGAGGTGGTCATTGTTAACGATGAAGTGGCCCGACTCTATCAACATAGCGAACGCGCCAAGAAGGATCATCCTAGCTTTGCCCCTCTTACACACTACTGTGTGGCATTGTCTAAATACCTCCAGAACCCTCTCAAGGAGTACGCATCCTTGGGACGCGACATCGTTTCGATCCAATTCAAGCCAGGACAGCAGCTCGTCTCCCAGGAGCTCTTACTGAAACAGCTGGAGACGGCACTGGTCGACATGGTCAACCTGGTGGGAGTCGATATGAACGACGCGGTCACAGACCAAGCGACGGCGAACCTCCTGCCATATGTCTGTGGGTTAGGCCCTCGCAAGGCGGCCCATCTCTTGAAGATCGTGAATATGAACGGAGGCGTTGTGAACAACCGGGTGGAACTTCTGGGAGTCAACGCCCAATACCCTGCTATGGGTGTCAAGGTTTGGAACAACTGCGCCAGTTTCTTGTTCGTCGACTTTGAAAATGCCGATCCTGACGCGGACCCTCTGGACAACACTCGAGTGCATCCGGAAGACTACGATATCGCGCGCAAGATGGCTGCCGATGCTTTGGAATTGGATGAGGAAGATATCAAAGCAGAGACAGACGAGAATGGTCCTGGCGCCATAGTGCGGAAGCTGTTCCGCGAGGAGGCGCAGGACCGAGTCAACGATCTGATTCTAGAGGAGTACGCCGAACAGCTAGAAAGAAACCTCAACCAGCGCAAGCGTGCCACTCTCGAAACCATCCGAGCCGAACTCCAACAGCCATACGAAGAATTGCGGAAGCAATTTGTCTTCCTCAGTACCGACGACATTTTCACCATGCTGACGGGCGAAACCACCGACACACTCTCGGAAGGCATGGTGGTTCCAATCTCCATCAAGCGCATCAGCGACGACCACATCGATGGCAAGCTGGACTGTGGCATCGATGCCCTGGTTGCAGAGTCTGAGCTGACGGATCGCTACGACATTCCCGTACGAGCCCTCTATGCGCCACACCAAACAGTACCGGCCAAAGTGCTGTTCCTCAACCGGAAGACTTTCACCTGCAATGTCTCCCTACGCGAAGAACAGGTCAGCCGACCAACCCGACCCGCCGCCGACCGGTTGCACTCGGGAGAATGGGACTCGCGACAGGAGCAGCAAGATCGGGAGGCGCTCGAGGCGAAGACCCAGAGCGGTGGACGCACGATGCGTGTCATCAAACACCCACTCTTCCGGCCCTTCAACTCGACGCAAGCAGAGGAGTTCCTGGGATCGCAAACCCGGGGCGACGTCGTGATCCGCCCATCTTCCAAGGGACCCGACCACTTGGCAGTCACCTGGAAGGTTGCCGATGGGATCTTCCAACATATCGATGTGCTGGAACTGGACAAGGAAAACGAGTTCTCCGTTGGACGGACCCTGAAGGTTGGCGGACGATACACGTACAGTGATCTGGACGATCTGATTTTCAACCATGTCAAGGCTATGGCCAAGAAGGTGGACGAGATGATGCTGCATGAGAAGTATCAAGACGGCAGCAAGGATGCCACCTGTACGTTGCTGCCCTCTATTATTCTTCTTATCATTTGGGATACTAACAGCGGGCTAGATTCCTGGCTAAACACATACACCAAGGCCAACCCGCGACGCTCAGCGTACGCCTTCTGCATTGACCCCAAACACGCGGGATACTTTTTCCTCTGCTTCAAGGCTGGAGAGCATGCCCAACTACACAGCTGGCCCGTCAAGGTGATTCCCCAGGGTTATGAACTGCAGCGCAACCCCTATCCTGACATGCGAGCACTCTGCAATGGCTTTAAGCTCTTGTTCACCAACATGCAGGCGGGCAAACGCCGCTAATCAGTGGAGATTCTTGTTACTTTCTGTTCTTTTATCACTACCCTTCTTCTGTATACTGTGTAATATTCCCGTCCTTTTCTTTTTTTATTTTATTTCTTATTTTTTTGGGGGCTCCGGCCGGTGTCAACATGATGATGCTTTTGCTTCAAGGGAGAGATTATTGCATACCGGGAGAAGAAAAGAAACGGGATAGTTGGTAGAAATCCAATCACGATATATATATCTATATATATTACCTCTATTATCCCGTTAAATTGAGCTGTAGTTGAAAATAAGATAAACACGAAGCAAAGCAAAGAATTCCATCCATGTGAAGTTGAGTCCATCCTCGGTTTTTGTCGGAGGCTCAAATCTGAAGATCTCCGCATTGAGTCGTTTTTCTTCTTCTTCTTTCTCACTTGCTCTTCTTTCCACTCTCTTCTTCCATCTCACATCCTACTCTCTCTCTCTCTCTCTCTCTCTATCTTTGGTTTTTTTTTTTTTTTCCCATTGCTTCGTTCATCATCATCTCGTTAAGCCTACCTAGGTAGCTTAGGTAGCTCTTTCATTTCTCTCTCCCCGCCTTACCAATGATCCGCTTCTGAACCCGTCCGTTTCCAACTGGCCCCCTGCTTTCTCACCTCTCATTCCCAGCTGCACCCCCATACCAATCTGAATTGCGTCCCCATCACTCGCATCGGACGATTTTTTGGTTTTTTTACTCTCCCTCGTGCAGCCATGGCAGCCATGGAGGAGCTCGAGATCCACAGCAAGGTAAGGGGGATCGCAGCGGCGCAAGTACCTCCGCAGCCCGAAATGCGACCAGAAACTCTGAACTCCAGGAAGCCATTGATTGCTAACTGTCGGGGTCGGTGTTTAGTCCTACTTTGTGCGATGGATTCCTGTCAAGTCTGGCCACACCGTTTCCTGGAGTATTCAGCCCCACAAGAAGTCGCTCAACTTCGGCATCTTCAAGCACCCGGGCCACTCTGGCGTGCTCAGCTCGCCCAATCTGTCGTCAACTGACACCCCGACCAATGAGTCCAGCGAGAACCTTGCGGCTGGCGGTTCGCGCCAGAGTACCTCGACTTCCGTCATTGACAAGCTGACTGCCATGGGGTTGAAGCAGATCTATTGGATCGGCAGATGCGAGGCTGACAAGATCGTCCAAGGCACCTACGACGTGCCTGCTGATGAAGGAGGGAACTACGCGCTCGTCTTTGACAACACGTTTTCCAAACAGATCTCCAAGACTGTGACGCTGGTACTGCTCACCTATCCGACTGCTCTCCCGCCCCAGGCTGTTCCCATTACCCATGCGGCCACTCAGCCGACAGCTGGGGGGGCTGAGCCTGGAGAGACCGCAAAACCAATCGCCTCGCGCAGACGAGGCAACAGTCTGATTATCAAACTACCACCTCAGATCAAACTTCAACCGGGGGAGACCCCTACTGTCTACACCGGGCTTCTGCTCAAACGCCGTCGTAAGCGTCATCAGGGATGGGCGCGGAGATACTTCTCGCTAGATTTCTCGACCTCCACGCTGTCTTACTTCCATGACCCGAATTCCGCGGCACTGCGTGGGTCGATCCCCCTGACATTAGCGGCTGTCGCCTGTAATGAAAAGTCGCGCGAGATCTCTATCGACTCGGGGACCGAGGTGTGGCATCTCCGCGCGCGTGACGATTCCGAGTTCGCAGAGTGGAAACGCGCTCTAGAAAAGGCCTCCTTCTCCAAGAAAGATGCAGACGATGACCACAATCACGCCCACAGGCACCTGCACCCTGATGCAGCACTGCGACTCCCTGCCCAGCGTTTCCTGACGAGCGCGGCTGAGGAACGCGAATGGCTGCAGGTCTCCAACCTAGTCAGCCGAGTCTCGGGATCCCGTGACGAGGTCCGGCGTCTAGCCAAGGACACGGATCCCAAGTATATGAGCTATGCCCCATCATCCCGTGGCCGGTCCGCACGATCTCCCAGCCCTCAGCCCGCTGGGGCGAACGGCGACGAAAGACGACCCTTCTGGAAACGTAAGGCATCGATGCCGTCGTCCAAATTATCCATCCCCATTGACTGTACTCCTGGAGATCGCAAACCCAGCAGCACAATGCCTGGAGCAGAAGGCAGCGACATCCATGAGAGCCTAATGGCTCTCCTCCGGGACCTGGATCAGGTCGTCAGCGAGTTCTCAGTCCTGATTGAAGAGAGCAAGCAGCGCCGACAGCCGTCGGAGCTCACCATGCAGTCGCGACGAAGCATGGAATCGGACAGATCCGACGAGTTCTTTGATGCCGTGGACGGCGGAGACTCGCCCCTACTCACCATCAAGGGTGACAGTGACGATGAGGGAGAAGCTACGGCTGATACGGCCTCCGCGGATACTACCGCAGACGACGCGCCCTCCGACAGCGATGACGATGTCTCGGAACCCTGCGCAAGCCCTGTCGCAGGCCAAGACAAATTCTCACCACTCTTCCCGGCACGGCCCAAGTCGCTCGCTCCGCTGCCACTCAGCGCTGTGTCTCGTCGCACCAACATCGGCGCGCCGACTGTCATGCCCCCGAGTCTGATCGGGTTCCTACGCAAGAACGTCGGCAAGGATCTCTCGCAGATCTCCATGCCGGTATCCTCGAACGAGCCGCTGTCCCTGCTCCAACGCGCCGCCGAAGTCATGGAGTACTCGTCCCTCCTTGACCGCGCGGTACAAACCACTGACCCCGTCGAACGCCTCCTGTACATCACAGCCTTCGCTCTCTCCCCACTCTCCAACAACCGGGTCCGCGAACGCGCCATCCGCAAACCCTTCAACCCCATGCTGGGCGAAACCTACGAGCTCGTCCGCGAGGATATGAACTTCCGCTTCATTGCTGAAAAGGTCTCTCACCGCCCCGTGCAACTTGCCTACCAAGCCGACAGCAAGGACTGGAGTCTCTCACAATCGCCCCGCCCCACGCAAAAATTCTGGGGAAAGTCCGCTGAAATCATCACAGACGGAAAACTCCGCATCACGCTTCACACAACCGGCGAACACTTCAGCTGGTCTCCCGCAACCTCGTTCCTGCGCAACATCATCGCCGGCGAAAAATACGTGGAGCCAGTCGGCGAAATGACCGTTGTCAACGAAACCACCGGCCACCGCACCATCTCCACCTTCAAAGCCGGCGGCATGTTCTCGGGCCGCTCCGAAGAAGTCCTCGCCAAGGCCCTTGACCAATCCGGGCGTGATCTCCCGCTGGGCCTGGCGGGAACCTGGACCTCCTCGTTACAATTAACCCGCAACGGCTCCGCAACCGGAACGACCCTCTGGAGCGCCGGCCCACTCGTCTCCAACGCACCCAAACACTACGGTCTCACAACTTTTGCGGCGGCACTGAACGAGATCACCGCCGTCGAGGAGAAGAGACTCCCTGCGACCGACTCCCGCCTGCGTCCGGACCAGCGCGCCCTGGAGGACGGCGACGTCGACCGCGCCGAGGAAGTGAAAGTGCAGCTCGAGGAAGGGCAGCGGGCCCGAAGAAGAGAGATGGAGGATGCCGGAGAAACCTGGCAGCCACGATGGTTTACACGGGTCGACGAGTCACCGGAGGGAGAACTAGTGTGGAGATTGAAGGGTGGAAAGGAAGGGTACTGGGAGGAGAGGACGAGGGGGACTTGGGCGAGTGTTGTCCCTGTTTTTGAGACTTGATTTCCTCTCTCTTCTTTCTTTCTTTCTTTCTTTCTCTTCACTCCTCTTCTCCTTTTTTCTCTCTTCCCCCCCCCCCTCCCCTCACTCTTATGACTTGCACTCACTCTTATATCTTGCTCTTGCGCTTGCTAGCGTTGATCTAGTCCATACTAGATCTTCTAGAGAAAGACAACAGCGAAAAAAAAAAAAAAATAGAGTAGAGTAGATATCTTCTCTTCTTGTGTTTTTATTTAATATTAGATATCGATGTGGATGTGGATGTGGATGTGGATGTGGATATGGATATGGATATGGACATAATGGATTACGAATGTACATACACTGTACTGTACTGTACATATATGGAGAGTAATATATTTGAATTGATTCTGAGATTCACTGACGCATACCAGGAAAAAAAAAAAAAAACACTAAAAGTGACAATGAGGAGCAAAGTAACACAAAAGTGTAAAAGTAACAGTACCAGACAGGACCTTTTATCACTAGATATGTGTATAGCCAAAACCAGAAAGAAGAAGTAAATGAGAATTAACACATAGCAAAATACAGTACGGTGCAGTGCGGTATGGTATAGAATAAATGAGAACGAAATCATAATTCATCATCGGAATACTCGTGGGCAGCCCAGCGTCGGTTATTTCGCATTCGCGCGCCTTTTTTGCCGGCGTTGCGGTCCGTCGGTGTGTCCATTGGGACCATCACCACGGGAAGACTGTCCAGGACGGCGCGGTTGCCTTGGAAGTAATGAACCGCAAATCCGCCCTGTAAAACGCGGCGAAGAGAGTTCAGTCGGATCCATTTCCACCAGCGATCAATGTGCATGACTCCCTGGCGGCCGATCTTAACGGTGAGTTTGCTACCGTAGTGTCGGTTGGTGTCTTGGTCGATAGCGGTGTTATACATTGGCCCGCGGCGCGGGTTGGCAACCGTGGTGCGGATAGAGGCAAAATTGCTGTGCAGGCTCTTTTTATCGCGTTTACTAATGCGCTTGTTGTGAATGGTTGCTAGGGACTGTAGCTGGCGTTCGAGTTCGGGGGTGTTGTGGTACGCATTGTAGCGTTTGATCAGCTTGGGGCCGGTTCTGAAGGACTCCTGGTCCGAGTCACTGTCCTGGCTGTGGCGCTCGTTATTGCCTTCATCCTCATCTTCCACGTCGTCGTCGTCGTCATCCTCCTGCGCGGTGTAGCTCTTCTCGTATAAGAGGGCGATGTTCTCCCCAGCGGCAACTTGTACAGCGGGGTCACCGCTATTCAGCTGGTCCATGAAGACCTGAATGCAGTCCTCGCTCTCACTCTCGAGATCTTCGATCTCAGTTGCCAAAACGCCCCATTCCACCAGGGCGGCAGTAACACAGCCTGAGTCATCCTGTGCATCAATAGATTGCCCGTCCGAGGCTACTATATCCAGAAAGAAAGTCATCTGATCCTGGATACCATCCTCTCCAGCACCACCAAACATGGTGCATGTGCCTAAGCAGTGAATTGCCGCGGCTTTAATGACAGTGGAGGTCGAATCGCGAATCGTACGGGTGAGGAACGGCTCCATATTCTCAAACACCGTGTGGTCGGCTGCCGTTATGGTGAGCAGTTCAAGAGCACGCAGAGCCAGTGTGGCCTCGCGCTCACTAGTTTCAACCTTGATGCTCCGAGTAAAGGCAGTCAACAGATCAGGAACACGGCGACGAATAGATTCTTCGACGTAGTGAAATTTAGACAGACGGCAGTAGGCAGCGTAGGTCTCCTCACGGCCGAGGACGCTACTGCGTTTGCGATCTAAAATGTCCTCGATGACATCAATGAGCTCTTGGGCCCAGTTGTTGTTATTGCTCTCGAGTTCCGGGTTGTCGTCATCCAAGGACCCCAGACTACAGAACAACCAAATTAGTACATATATACATCATGACATCACCACGCGGTTAGAGAGAGAAACCCACCTGATTGCAGTTTCGTCGCTAAGGCTGCCAGCGTCTTCATCGTCCGACGGCTGTCTACTTGCATTCCGGGATGAGTGGCGAGAGTTTTGAGCCGAGTTTGTGCGAGAGGTTCGTCGCGAACCTTCCCGAGAGGCTGCTTTGCGAGAAATGGTTTTCCCACTCTCCAGGACTTGACGGCGAAGATCCGGCATCGTGAAGACGCAGCGAAGATACACAAGGGAAGAAGAGGGGGTTTCAAGGAGAATAAGCAGGGATGTTCGGGTGATAAATGATGGCAAAAAGGATACAGATGGCGAGGTATATTGAATGCCAATAAGAAATCGAGAGGTTCCTGGAGAGACCTATTCGAAGGGTATGGAGTCTGAAGTAAATCGAAAAGATTTCTGGGAGATGAATGACATGGTAGAATCAAAGTCACTGTGAAACAAGATGGAACGATATGGATGGGAGCTGGGAGGAGTTGAGATGAATCCCTAGAGAGATGAAGGAGAGAAGAAAAAAAGAATAGAAAAGGTTCAGCAGGTTCCAAGCAACTGAGCCATGACGCTTGGTGTTCCTCAATCTCCCGATATGTACGCACAGGACAATCGATCTCGCTTCCTTTGTCTATTTATCGGTACGATTCTTGGATTCTTGTCAAAGCAACTCATGAGAGAGACCTCTTATTGTTTAATATTATTCCTCAATTTTACACTCTATGATCTGACGAATTGTTCTGCTTCATTTTCAAATCGAAAAAAAGGTGTTGTACAACCTCAGGCACCAATGATCGTTTATGTTATCTCCACGTGATGCGGGGTTGTCCTTATCGCAGCCTTTCCCAAAGAGGAAATTCTTCAAAAATTTGGTCAAATCTTCCGAATGCGAAAAAGAAGGACAAAGCGTTGTTTTAAATGGATATTACTACCGATATAGTCAGGATGCCGGGTCATCTAATAGAGTCATAGATTGAAATTCATATGGGTATCAAGTTCCAGCAGCTATCTTGATGATTGCTCCATCACCATCTCCAGGATCCTCCGGGCTTGACTGCCTTGCAAATATTCCCGTCCCTCCCCTCGTCGGCCATCGTCATCGTAGTCATCGTCGTCTCCTCGTTCCAGATCGACCTGTAAGCTAGCTTCGTAGGCTGCCATGACTGTCTCCTCGTCGACTCGGACGCCTCCCTGGACAAGGACCTGGATACATTGAGCTAAGCGTGCTATCTCCCGTCGGGTTGCAGGAGAGATCTCATCGTTCTGGCTCGAGTAAATAGAGCTGGACACCATCTCTTCCATGCGTGTAATCGACACATTCTCTGTGGTGGACGACGCAGCTGCCGTACCATCTGCGTGTTTCGAAATCCAGATATACCCGTTGACTCCCAGGATAACATCCACATCCCCGCCGCCATTGGCCGTGCTAACCGTCCACACCTGCCTGCGCGACCGAACCACTCCTCCAGCAGTTGACCCTGAGCCTGCTCCTCCCTTAACTGTCGAGCTCGAAGCACCGCTACCTCCAGTCCCCGTTACAGCCAAAAAGACGCCATTCCGGAGCTTGCCATATTTCAGAGACCGGGTGTGAAGCGACGCTGCGCCATCGGAGTGAACCGTCTGCACTTCAGCGACGACAAGATCACCCTCGCTGAAAAATGTCCGGATTTGAAGCTCGTCGGCGCTCGTTCGTCGACGCAGGATACCTCCGGGAAGGTTAATGGCAGAGAGAGGTAATTGGGCTAGGAGAGGAGCGGCGACATCGACTTTCCATCGTCTCGATTGAACCTCCACAATGCGCCCGACAACCAAGTCACCGATTTCCGGGGTATATCGGGCTCGAAGTGGCTGCACGGAGAGGAGTTTGTTGGTTTTTTGAACATTTCCAGCTACAGTCGCAATAATCGACGTCGAGAGGGGGTTCATATATGTGCCGTGTCCCCTAGGTAATTCGACCAGGTTAGTTGACTGGCTCCAGGCCGACTACACCGCACCGGTGCGGATGAACAACCTACCTCATCCATTGCGGATCATCTGTGACGACTTCTCCAGGGGTAATGATCCCTGCCCCAATACCTGTTCCTTCTAATAATCGGGGCCGTTTGGTGGGCCGTGATCGTTTCCCAGGCGTGAGGTCAACACCACCGTCCGAGTCAACGGACATGGCATCAATATCGGAGTCGGCGTATGAAGCGTCGACATCGTCCGCAACTGGGGGTAAAATAGTGATAGCCATCCTCTTTGGTCTTTAAAACGTAGTTACAGACCAAGTTGGACACACGGATAAACAAATTGGCTGAAATATGTTCTGAGGCAAGAAGACTTTCATGATTTTGCGATTTGGAGGAAAGACCTTCGGTCTGGAAAGCAAACAAGACAAACTTTTCGGCAACCACTGAGAAACGTCCGATAGCTTAGTATAACTGACTTCTTAACAACCTGTTTTAGAGAAACCATCCTGCCCTGTGTACGGCACTCTATCGAGACATCTAGCCAAATAAAGCATAATCATGGATCAGGTGCCGCATTGGAATTGAATTGGCTCGTTTGTTACATTTTATGGGGCAGAATAGTCGAGATTAAAAGCAGTGGATAATGGCAACATCAAATGAATTAAAATCCCCAATACCGAGTACACCTCGCAAATAACCATCGAGCTATTCAGCTCATGACATAATAAGATTCAGGCCATAAAGAGACCAGGCAATCTGGACTGAATAAGCATTTGACTTTCTCAGCTTTCGATTAGATGCGCCAGAAGAAGTCGTGATTAATACAAAATCGAAAAAAAATACATAATTATGCAGATAGGATCCTCATGCACCCACAGCCGACGATCTCTTCGAAGGGCGTTTTGCACTGGCTGGCGCGTCATCTTTCTTCTTCCGGGAACGACTACTACCACCTTTCGCACGAGGGGTACTCTCTTCGTCGCGCTTACGTTTGGCCTTTGAGCCTCCCGAGGTCGGGCCAGGATCCATCATGACACTATCTTCGTCGTGGGTGTCCTCTTCTTTCCGGGACGACTGAGTGGGACGCTTCGACGCGCGCAAATTCGACGGTCGTGACGCTGACTTCTCAGATGCGTTCTCGTTATCCTGTAGGAAAACAGTGGGGTGATTCTTGCGTAGCCAGTGGTGAACCGAAACAGGGCTCTTTAGAGCATATTCTCTTTCTCTTTCAGGTAAAGATGGCTTGTCAGGAGCCCGACTCAATTGAAGCGCCGAGGACAAGTCGCCCAGCCTGGCGTCTGTAGCCAGGTAGTACTCTGTCTCGTGTTCCGGAGTAAGAAACCCCAGGTTTTGTTCCATACCAGCATCTCCAAAGGAACTCTGTCCCTCTGGCATAGGTGCAGAGTGAGGAACCTTGGTCAAGGAGGAATAATTCAGCCCAGGTGGAAAGGCATTCCCTCTTTTGACGCGGTCCTGGAGTGATCGATAATTCGCGGCCGACATATCACCAGCTGCCAATTGGTCTTTGCCACTTTTCAACATTGTCATCGCTGTAAGAGGGTCCCTATGCGCGTGTGAAACCCCTTCTTCAGAAAGGGGAAGAACCCCATTATCTCCAGGGGCACTTAGATCATATCGAAACTTGGGAGGGACGTGGAGGCTGTCATTAAACTCGAGAAGTACTTCTAATAGTTGACTGAAGTGAAGTTAGTTTTCGAAGGGTTGTGCCAAACAAGAAGAGAAGGACGAACTCGTTCTGTTCCTGAATTCGCTTTGACAAATCTTCGATGCGCAATTCTTCGCGGATGAGCGACTCGCTCTCCCTCATACGAAGCTCGAATTGGATTTTCAATTTCGCGAACTTCTTCCTAATAAAATAGAGATTGAATTAGTTTTTCCTGATGATCCTGAGAGTCTGAAATCACACTGACTTGAAAGATCGATAGGTCTGCCTGGTAGGGGCATCAGCGTCCGGCAGACTCTCGGCCACTGAGCGCGTCTCGTCACCTTCCTGAGACATAATGATCATAAAATGTCAGGATAACGCAGTGAAAGCAATGGGACAAGATAAACTCCTCGATCGATGGAATTGCGTTCCCGATTGCGGCGCTGTTGATGGTGTATCGAGTGATAGCTTGGGCCGATCTGGACCGGGGCTTTGTTGCAGGTCGGGGAGCTGGAGGGCGGAGTGATTCTGCCTGTTAAAAGGGAAAAAAAAAAAAAAAAAATCAAGTCCCTAGTTCTGTCACAGGCGAAAGTCGTTGCACCGCGCACTCCTTCACTTGGAATTTTTTTTAATGATAATTTACTCCCAATAATCGGGAAATTTTATATTTCTTTTAAATTTAAATAAAGTTATTCAGAAAAAGAAAAATGGCAGGCATCGGGGAAGAAAATCACAAAAAGCGAAAGCTGCCACAGGTCTCCGAGATCGAAATTGATGTCTCTGCGCCTGAGCCTCCATCGAAGAAGGCTCTGCGTAAAGCTAAGAAAAAGGCAGCTGAACCCACTGAATCGGAGCCCAGCACCCAGGCCAAACCAGAAGCTCCAGCGGAGACCCCAACAGCCCCTCAAAAGCGCTCAGATTACGGCATTTGGATTGGAAACCTCGCATTCTCCGTGTCCAAGGATGACCTCCGCCGATTCTTCACAAGCAATTGCTCCTTTGCAGAAACGACAATAACCCGAGTCCACATGCCCAAGCCTTCCGACAAGAATCCAAGAATTCACAACAAGGGATTTGCTTACGTCGATTTCTCCAATCTCAATGCGGTCAAGGAGGCAATGGGGCTCAGCGAGCAGCTTCTTTCCGGACGCCGCGTGCTGATCAAGGATGCGAAGAACTATGAAGGTCGACCAGAGAAGTCACAGGGGGAGGGTCAGAACAATGGCTCTGCCTCATCAACAGCAGCGTCCGGTCGTCCCCCCTCCAAACGTGTATTTGTGGGTAACCTGGGCTTCGATGCGACCAAGGAAGTCATCGAAGAACATTTTGCCAAATGTGGAACAGTTACCAATGTGCACGTAGCGACTTTTCAAGACTCCGGAAAATGCAAGGGCTACGCTTGGGTGGAGTTTGAAGAGCTTGCAGCCGCAGAAGCAGCGGTGAGAGGGTTCAAAATGGTTGCGGAAGAGGAGGAGGAAGAGGAGGAAGGTGATTCAGATCAGGAGTCTAATAAGGCTAAGAAACCTCAAAAACCAAGGCAGAGAAGGGTATGGGTAAACCAACTTCTGGGTCGCCGAATGCGAATGGAATTCGCCGAAGACGCAACCACTCGGTATAAGAAGCGGTTCGGCAAGGATGGCGAGGGCAAGAAGGAGGTGTCGAGCGATGGTGTCGCTGAACCTGCAGCCATCGAAGAGGCTGGTGCTGAAGAAAAGCCTCACCATACGCGATCCAAGGCCAGGAATTCAAAGCCTGAGTACTCGAGATACGATGAAGGAACGGTGCAGAAGCTCAGTGGTGCCATTGTTGAGGCCCAGGGACAGAAGATCACCTTCGACTGAATGGGGATAAGAGGACAACAACTCGTGAAGTCAAGCTCTGCCTCGTGGAACTCCTACCGAAAGACATCCTGAACCCGTACCGCCAGGGAATTGACACACCAGGCCAAGTGGTAGTTATTCTTTCGCCTGATGGAAATCTAGTGCCGTGGGAGATGATGTTTGCTACCCCAGCCTGCAGGAATGAAACCGTCCATACCTAGTATGATACGAGAATTGACGTGGCATGACTCTCAGGCACTGATACCCAGTATATAAAGTATAGGCGTAGTTCTACATTCCACTAAAAAAATGACAGGTTGGAGAAATCTTTATATATCGCATGTATGTGCTATTGCTGGTCGATCCGGCATGCTTTGTAACCACTACAGTTCCCAAAACTGGCTTTTGTGAAGTCTGGTAGATTTGATCAGGCAGGTTGTAGATGCCCAAGCAAGAGACGAGATAGAGTTGTCAGAATGAAATCAGAGAGGAGGCAAGAACAACAAGAAGAAGACGACAAAGAAGAGGAAGAGTCGAACGCTGAGTAATCCGGAGCGGTTCGACACCCAACGTTGCCTGAGGCCCGTTCCAAACAGACAAGTCGAGATTCATTTAAAAAGATGTAAATGAGATAGAGAGAGGGGGGGGGGGTTCTGGAAAAGATTCATCGCCCTGGATATCAATTATAAATGATCGGTCCCTCTATTCAACATAACATAATATAAATCTCTCACTTCACCATCTTCAATCCCCTCCCCTCTCCCCCCATCATACATACATAGTTCTAGAATCGCTGAGGTGGTTTTAGCGGCGCTAACCGTATTGGGACGGTTGACATCTCTTTCGATGTCATGGCTCAATGTTGAAAACCATCAAATCTCCTCGACAAGTCCACCCTCCGTTCGACAACTCCTCTTCTCCTCCCTCCGACTCTTCGGGTGTTCCGCTCTCCCACCCTTCTCTCCCTACGTACGCCTCCACCTCGATCCCTCTCTGAAACCGGTTGTTATCCCTTCTTTTCGTCTGGTGTTCGTCATCCCGCCCCAGTCCTAGCAACCCGCCGTCTCTCCGCTGCTGGTCGGTGCTCCCCATACCTGGATCTCTTCTCCGGCGCCTGCGTAACCTCGTCTGTATTCAATCCAGCCTCCTTTATAATAATTTTATATACCCTTTTTTTTTCTGGAATGGCTCCCCGACGTCACAATATCGGTGCAAGCCGTCGAAGAAGGCGAGAAGATGAAGGCGAAGATGAGAGCTCGATGAATGGCGAACTAGAGGACGACTCCTTGAGTGAAGGCTCGGTCATCAGCCATCAGGATGACGATGATGCCGATGGGGAGGGCAGTGATGAGAGTGAGGATGATGCCGTGTCGATATCCCAACAGGCCAACAACCCAAGCGGACATCATCAGGTCAATGGTCGTGTGCCCGAAGGAACCCAAGGCCCGCGCCGTCGTCACTCGACTTCCCCCAGGAAACGGCTTCTAGTTCCAACCATGTCTGACACGACTTCAATGATGAATGGGATGAAGATATCAAACGAGACAAGCGAGCTGCCGGAGAGCCATTTGGAGCAGATGAAGGGGGATCTCACTCAGACCGGAAGAACACCATCTGCGCCTCCTACGGACCTGACAAGGGAATCGGCCACAGAAAAGAAGCGCCGTGAGAACGAAAAGTACACAACTGAGAAGGAAGAGGACCCAACTATTGTTCCTACCCGAGGCAGTTTCTTCCTCCACGACAAACGCTCAACGGAGCCTGGGACAAATGGACACAACAAACCCTTTAACAAGCCGAAGTCGAGACCATATGGCCTCATTGTGGATGGCAATGTTCGCAGGTATGCATTTCTTTTCGTTGTTTTTTTTTATGGTTGCGCCAATATACATTCCGTAAATGGAATTATAGTCTGTGTTTTCTTGTACGGGTTACCGCGCGAAATGCAGACAAGCTGACTCGTTCCTCCCAGACACAGTAAATCGGACGCTACCACTGAAGGGCAGTGGACACACGATCTTCACGATACTGTTGCTGGGGATGATCCACCTGCCCACAAGCCCTCTGCTTCTTCGACCGCCATCCCTCCCTTCGCCCCAAAGGTCGTACCTACAGCTCCCAGATCCTCTCCCCCCAACCGATCCTTCTCGAATACTATTGTTCTTGGAAATGTCCCTGTTGTTGTGGCCTTGCCCGGCATGTCGAACGCGATTCCATTCCCTGCCGTATTGAAGAAACAACACACCCGTCTACCTCAACATCGACCCCCCTTGCGCCGAGACAAACCCGTGAGAATCTCGCTTCCTGGACAAACACCAAGATACATATTCCCTGCCACCGAAAGATCCTTCATCTTCATTCCAAGGGCCTTACGGCCCAACCAGCAGGCATATCGTGGCCGCGGCCGCGGTGGGTTCTACGGAGGGCGGCGCCCTAGCATCTACGCAAGCTCCACATATACCCCAAGCGTCACCATGAGCCGCAGGTCATCATTTGGCAAGCCTCCGTCCCAAGAGGGTTATCACTCGCCTGCCGGCTCGGTTCTCTCCAGACAGACGATAGTTACGACGGAGAATGGCAAGCCGGTGGTTCGTCTGCCTCCACCTCCTCGACCCTCAGGAGCCAACCCACCGGTTGTTGCTCCGGGACCAGTTCCCGCCGCAATGCCACATCCCCCTCTCCCACAAACCCAGCAGCCTGTTTGGCGCGAGAGTCGCGCTGGCCCTATACCGATGCACCAGCCCCGCCCCCAGAAGACAGTCTCTGTTGCCGACATTGAAACTCCGGCAACATTCCCCGTTAACCCCCCTCAGCCACAGCAGGAACAGCCTTTCCACCATCAGGTGCCAATGTCCGGCAGTGGCCCTGTCTATGGACCAGACGCCGCCGGCACCCATCCTCCTCCCGCACATTCAGCTGCAACACCGTTGTCCCAGATACCCGAGCGGGCAATTCACGCTCAGCCATTCCAAGTGTACGGATACCAACCTCAAACATATTACCCTCCAGCCTATCCTCCTGGGCCTGTCTATTACCCTGTTTCCGGAACAGAGTATCCACCTTATAACAACCCCGGGGCGGCTCCAGGAGCATCTGTGGCCCCCTTCCCTCCGGGCCAGAACGTCCCGTATATGGTTTCGGGAGCACAACCCTCCGCTGAGCCTCCTGCACAACCAGGCACTGTTGCACATGAAGCAGGTGGCACGGTTTATTATTATGATGCGTCTCAAATGTACCCGGGCTCTCAGTTTGGGGTGCCTCCGGCCGGGGGCGTCGTGGGGATGGGTGGCATGATGACACCGCCTGGTACGACGTATTATTACCCCCAGCCCCAAGGCGTCTATTATACTTCGTAGTGGGGGAAAGAAAATACCAATCAAAAACAAAAGCAAAAACCCCCCCCCAGAATATAACAAAAAAGGGAGTGGGAGGGGATCAAAAAGAAAAATTCTTCCTTCGCCTTATTCACCTGTTTTTCTTCGTCTACTATGGCTTTTCAACTCCTTCGACCAATGTCACTTGAGGCTTTGCGCTCCCTTCTCTCTCTCTCTCTCTCTCCCCCCTTCTCTCTCTTTTCTCCTTTTTTGACTTCTACCATATACTTATTCTAAAACCTTTCATAAGTTCTCTATCCTTCATCCCCCATCACCTCCAACATCCCCTGTTGACTTGTTCATCTCCTGTCTTATTGCGCTACCTTTGCTTTGCGGGTTCGTTCACACCCGATTATACTCCGTCTGTCCGTCTTAGTCGAGGTTAGATTAGGCTTCCATGCATTTCTAGCGAACTGTTATGTTTTCATCGTGTTTGATTGCTTTGTGTCAGGGTCTTATCTCATTTTTATTTTCTGTTCTGTTGAATGATAATGATTTGGGATTTGGTGATGGCCTCCAGCCTGAGGTAGCTGTCTATCGTTGATCTGATGTTTCCACATACACACCTTCCTTTCTATTTCTCTCCCTCTCTCCCTCTCTCTGCCTGCCTGCCTGTTTCTCTGTCTGCCTGTCTATCTATCTATCTGTCGCTCTCTCCCACCTGCCAGGTGTCCCTACAATATCTAGGAAGGCAAACTTGCCCCCTAGTTGGATGTACCTTCGTGTATCCAGGGCCCTGGCGTTGCATTATTGCCTCTTTGCTTCCCCCCTTTCCCCGCGCCTTTTTTTTTTTTTTTTTTTTTTTATTTTTTCCTTTTTTGTGCCGTTACTTTTGCTCCTCTCATTATTCTTCCTTGATAGTATAGTCTTGTAGTTTCTCTCCTGGCGTGACGGTTTCTTAGGGTGATATATCCGAAAAGAACGAAGGGCTTTCTTTCCGTATATTATATATCTCCGCTTTTTTTTTTTCCAATTGTAAGACTAGTAGAAGGAGGTAGGAATCTCTGTAGATCTTTCTTCATTTCATTAGTTTCTTTTGCTGCAGGATTTCATCATGAAGTAAAACAGAGAGTACAGAATAGGGGACTGGGGAGTTACCTCATCCCGTCTGCTCCTCGTCACCGCCTCACCGCCTCGGTCCGGATGCAGCAGCAGCTGACCTCCTGTTTTGTAACCTCCCAGGCATCGCTTTATCTTGTCTTTTCCGCCTCTCCTTCGCCTCCTCTTCTTCATCCCCTTCTGCCTACTCTCTCTCTCCCTCCTTTTTATATTTCCACTTCCCATCCATCTCTCATTTCTACTTCATCTCCTCCACCTTTCTTGTCTTTCTCTTTCATACTCCCTCCATCTTTCTGTCGATTTTATCTCCCCCCCCCCCCCCCCGGGCCTCTTAGCGTCACCGTTGCCTTATCTTGTCCGCAGGGACCCGCCCACGAAACACTCAACTTTAGGGCTCCCTCTTCATCATGTCGTCCACCACCACGACGAACCAGGTCGGGCCTAGTACCTTGATCACTGTCAAGGTTCTCTTTAATGATCACACCCGACGCTTTAAGATCCCTCTTAAGGATCTAGGAGCTCGCACTTTACCCCAGAATGTAAGTTCCGTCTCCACCCCAGCTCCGACCGGAGGAGCTCCAGCCGCGTCGTCTCTCTAGCTTCACTTCACGTTCAACCTCCCGATTCGTGCTTCTCTCATTCTTCCGTTAAGAATACCCTATTCCTATAATTCCTCTCGCTAAAAGTTGGATATTATTCATGTCCTAATACTGACTTCTATTCTCTCTTAGCTCCGCCAACTTCTTGGCATCCCGGTAGATGGTAACGTCATCTTCGAACGCTATTCGGACAGCGCCGGATCCTATGTGATCCTCGACAGCAACAACCCAGCTGTCTTTAAACAGCTCTACCGTGCCGCAAAGGCCAAGCTGAAGCTCCGCATCAAGGCTACGTATCTTGCCGACGAGTCCGAACCCCAGCCTGGGGCGTCAGAGAACGTCCACGAACAACAAAACCCAGCAAGATACAGCTACCTTGAAACAGTCCTCAGCTCCCCGCTACCTGGTTCTCAGATCGAGATCAATGAGAACGCCCCCAGCTCTTCAATCATGCTACCAGAGAGCACCGAAAATTCCGCCGTCCCTCAGCCTGAGCCACAACCAAGCTCAGCAACAGAGTCCACTGAAGCAAAACCAAGCTTTCGTGAATTTGTCCTGGGGCCCGACAACCCGAATATCCCTATTTTGTCGCACTCCTCCCTTACTGGAATATTCTGTATCGACTGCAACCATTGTGGTCGCTCTATCCCCAACGAGCACTACCACTGCAGCATCTGTGCTGATGGCGACTACGATCTCTGCCCTCAGTGCGTCGACTCCGGAGTCACTTGCCCAAGCGAGGACCACTGGTTGATTAGACGATTCGTCAAGGACGGCATTGTCACCAATAGCACAACTGAGACCGTTGCCCCCCGCAAGATTCAAACCCACCAGGAGAAGAAGCCTTTGCCAGAGCAAGTCCCAGAAAGTGCGCCGGAACCCATTCCAGAGTTGCCTGTCGACCATGACCGAATTTGTAACGGTTGTCTCACAGGTACCACGACTCCATTTCACCATCAATTATCCTTACCTGTCGCAAAGCTAACTTTGTTCACAGCGCTTGATGGAGGTAGAATGGTTACCTGTGCCGACTGCGAAGACTATGACCTTTGTATCCCCTGCATCCTCGGGGACAAGCACGGCCATCATCCAGCACACACTTTTGTCGTGCTTGGTGATCCCGACTTTGCTTTGAGGAATGTGGTTTTGTCGCGTTGCAAACCTGGGCGTAGCTACCAGCATGCAGCTATTTGTGACGGGTGTGAAAGGGTAGGACTGACCCCAAAAATTAGACCGAGGATATGTACTAACGCCTGTCCTAGCATATTACTGGCGTGCGCCACAAATGTCTCACCTGTCCAGACTGGGATTATTGCTCCAACTGCCACCTAGACGCTTCCCGCACCCATCCAACACATCGATTTGCTGCACTTTATACCGCCATTTCCGAACCATTGCAGTCCCGTGAGGTACATTACGGCATCTACTGCGATGGGCCCCTATGCAAGGGCAAGCTAAGCCCCAGCTTTATTACTGGAACCCGGTACAAGTGCTCGGTTTGCGAAGATACCGACTTCTGCGCGAAATGCGAGGTCCACCCTTCCAATATGCACAATCGCACCCACCCTATGGTCATGCTCAAAACACCAGTGCGCAACGTCACGGTCAGCACTCTTCACGAGGGCCACACTGATGGTTCCGCCACTGCTCTGGGCGACCGTAGTCAGAGATCTGCTTCGACGCAAGTCACCGCTTTTCTCAATTCGGAAACCTTGTCGTCGGAAAGCACGATTAAGGAAGAATCGGAGCCTGTCGAGGAAATCAAGTCATCAGAGCCACTGAGCCCGATCCCGCAAGAGCAACCAGTTGCATCTAAGCCTGCTCCTGACTCCGACCTGACTTCAGAATACGAGGCCTACTTCACCCGCGACACCGTTCCTGATGGTTCCACAATGCATCCAAGTCAGGTCTTCCAGCAGACGTGGACTCTCTACAATCCTGGCCCCCTGGCGTGGCCTGCCGGAAGTAATGTCCGCTTTGTGGGCGGTGATTCAATGTTCAACGTCGACACCAACCATCCAACCAGTCTGTCCTCGATCGCAGCCGCCATGGAGAGCAACAAGCTGTCTGCACCTTTGGAGCCTGGCCAAAGTGCCGAGTTCACCGTTACTCTAAAAGCACCCAAGTCTGAGGGCACTTCAATCTCTTACTGGCGATTGAAGCTTGCAAATGGCATGGCCTTTGGTCACAGACTTTGGTGTGACATTCAGGTCGAAGATAAGCCCGTCATTCCTCGCAGTGATGATCAATTTGACGCGGATCACTCCGAGGTCTCTGGTAGCCAAATGGTTTTCCCTAAGCTTGAGAAGGAGTCGCCTGACGCAAGCACACACGAGGCAGCCAGTATGCCTCCTGCAGCTCCCTCCGTGTCCAACCCTTCTGAGCAAGACATCCTGGATGATGTGGCTAGTCTGTCTCTGGATGACGCTGATACCGAGTCCGGGTTCTTGACCGATGAAGAGTACGATATCTTGGACGCGAGTGACCAGGAATTCATGGATGCCAGCTCCTCTCGAAACTAATGGTTTTCAAAAAGAGTAAGAACTCACCGCAAGTAAGAATGGAGTTTTTTTTTTTTTTTTTTTTTTTTGCGGTTCATGATGAATAATTAGGATATTGTGGGATAACAGCGTGGCCAAGGAAAGGTGAAATTAAGTTGCTATGCTATTTTACGTCTGCATTTTCTCAGTCCCACATGCCGGCTTCAAAAGACGGTGTACAGCCGGTAATTGGGTATGATGTGAATTTGTATCTCTGCTCCGAGCTTCAAATTGGATACTGAAGGATATATATATATATATATATATATATACTTTTCTCCATGTTGTCCAGGTATTTCTTTCTTCCGTAGATAGGCTGAAGTGTAGGTACCAGCAGGCAGCGAGTTGGATCTACTTGGGAATATTATCATTATTATTATTATTTGGATTCTTGTTACACACGTCTAGGCTGTTCATTTATCACTCCTCTTCATGTGAAACCATGGTGTGTAGTTCTGTTACTGGTGGTGGGTGAGTTGAGTTCCCTATAGCCAGCCAATTCCGAGGTGCGGGGGAGAAGATCTCCCAACCCCAGCGAAGGGCCCCCTCCAGAAGAGGTCTGCCTGTGCATCCTCGGATTCCTCCTCCCACGCCCATGTTACGAAAAAGAGGAGCCATGCCAGCCCGTTTCATTGCTTTTCTCCTCTTGGCGATTTTGGGCCCATCTCTCTGGCGCCCAGTCCAGCGTCGCCTCACCGTCCTGGGGGTGCACAGGTACGCACCCTCCAACGAGACCTTCGTTCAGGGACTCCGCACAATACCTGATACAATTCAGTGTGAGGACATGCACTACTATAGCCCCGGGAACCTGATCTTTGCTGCATGTGAGGATTCACTGCTCCCCCGTTTTCGATGGTTCCCGCCGCTAGCTCATCTAGAGGGATACCCGGCATCAACAGGGTCTATACACATCATTGATCCCCAGGTAGGGTGGGATATCTATGAGAAATCCAAAAGTCCAGTGGTGCCCGTACTAATCTGCTCCAGACAATGCTCTCAACCCGTCTCATTTTTGAGAATTTCCAAGGCCCGTATATCTCGCACGGGATCGAAGTGCTCCAGGACCCCCACCAGCCAACCGCAGTGTATATTTTTGCCGTGAACCACCTGGCGAACCCCGAGTATGATCTGGGAAAGAAAGCTCCCAAGGCCCGGTCGCAACTCGAAATCTTCTATCATGTTCTGGGCTCGAATACAATCCGGCATCTCCGGTCTGTTCGCCATCCGCTCTTAACCACTCCGAATGATATATACGCGAGGAGTCCGTCCTCGTTCTACGTCACGAATGACCACTATTATCGCGAGGGCGCCATGCGTTTAGTCGAGGATATCGTGCCCTTGGCCAGGTGGTCGAATGTAGTTCATATCCAGCTGGACCGACTCGTTTTGGGAGAAGATGATGATGATGATGATGATGACGACGACGACGACGCAGGCGTTGATGCAATCGTTGCGTTAGCTAACATGCACAACTGCAACGGGTTCGGGCACGGGAAGTCCCAGGACGAAGTACTCCTGACAGACGCTGTCGGGGGAAGTTTGTATCGAGCCCAGGTGAACAACGACCACCGCACCCTGTCTATCGTGGAAGAAATCCCCATCGATAGCACAATCGACAACCCTAGCTATTACGAGGATCCTTACCGAACGCCTGGCCATGATGATGCCAGTGGCTACGTGCTGGCCGGATTACGCCGAGCTCTTAACTTCCCCGCCACGCACCCTGACCCTGCCGCTAAGGAGGCAGTCATGGTCTGGCATATCCGGCGCCAGAGTTCCACTGCGGACTGGGAAAAGCGCTTGATCTTTGAGGACGACGGAATCAACATCCGGTCTGCTAGTACGGCGGTGTTGGTTCCGATTGAGCCACAGGACGAGCATTCCAAGGAGGCATGGTTATTTGTGTCTGGGTTTATTTCTAGCGGTATCGTTACTGTTAAAGTGAAGCTATAATAATAATAATAATAATAATAGTAGTAGTAGTAGTAGTAGTAGTAATAATGTAGCAGGGCAGTGGGATACGAGAGGTTAACGGATAGAGACATGACTGAATTCGTTTATTTTATAGACAGAGAGAGATCGGTAATGTCTAGTATATTCTGATATTATCCGCTGAGATACTGTCGAATGTATAACTAAATAAATGCCAATGAGGAGGATCTCATGGCCACTGCTGCCTCAGGCAGGCATCAACACCTTTTCCCCGGAATAATCTCATCTTTGGCTTCATCTCATTCTTTCTCTCCTTCAATAATCCATCCGTTCGCTCGCTCAATTCATCATGCTGTATTCACAGAGGATGACATCGTCAATCTACACAAGGAGAGCCCTTTTGTCTCCCGCTCACACATCCTACTCCGCCACATCTCTCCTGCTCCAAGCACACTGCCAGGCTCGCCGGTTCGCCCATTCCCACCATTCGCAATCCCACTCGCATCCTCATCCCCATCCTCATTCCCTCAAATCTCACAATCGCCCCCCATCCTCCGCCCAACCAACACTAAGGGGCGCCACCCCCTCTACCTCAACAACCGCCACCACCTCACTCGCCAACGACGTCAACCCACCCCCAAGCACACGACCCGCGGACCTCAACCTCCCCGAGGCCCTGAGCGTCTCCGCGCCCCCAGTCGACAAGCTCAAGCGCTACATCGCGCTAGGACGCGCATACCTCTCGTTCTACAAAACCGGCCTCAAAAACGTATACCACAACTACCGTGCGTCGTTGCCGCTTCGTCGTTCCCTGGGACTAACCTCCTACCTACCAACATCACCTCCGCCGGCCCCAGCCCCAGCACCATCCACCGATGCGAAACGAGAACCCGGAAGCGCAGCAGGGAGCGCGTTCCGCGTGGCCCTGAAAACGCAGAACCTCAGCCGCTCCAACTTCCAACTCATCAGCCGCGCCGCCTACGACGTCCGCCGCATGATCCCCTTCACGCTGATCCTGATCATCTGCGGCGAATTGACTCCGCTCGCTGTGCTCGCGCTAGGCAATGCCGTCACACCATTCACGTGCCGCGTGCCGCGCCAGATCAGTAAAGAGCGCGCGAACCGCGTCGCGCGGAAACGCGCCGCGTTGGTCGCGCACTCCGCGGCTGTCCGGGGCTCCCTGACTCCCCTGGCTCCGGGGTCGGATCGGGAACTAGACCTTTTGGCCCTGGAGTTCGGAGACCGGGGCTGGGTTGAGAGTGCTAGTGACGCGGAGGTGCTGCGCGCCTGTACGGTGTTCGGCCTGGCAAAGTCGCATCGGCGTTCTGGGTTGTTGAAGGGGGTGTATCGTGGGCGGTTGAGGCGGTATGCGGAGTATTTGGATATCGATGATGGGTTGATCCGAAAGTGTGGGGGGGTAAAGGCGATGGAGGGGGTCGAGGTTAGTATTGCCGTTGAAGAGAGGGGGGGGGTGGGTGTTGCGGAAGGGAAGGAGGGCTGGGAGGGTGAGAGGGCGGAGAGAAGGTGGTTGGAAGGGTGGTTGGAGAGGAGGCATCTCTCTTCTTCTTCTTCTTCTTCTTCTTCTTCTCCATATGTTTAACTACCGATAGGGTCCTACTTAGCTATATGAGACAGGGGTCCTTGTATGCAAGTAGTACTTGTATATAGAGCGAGTGTATGATGATAGAATATGCTGGGCTGGACTTGGATAAATAAAATAAAAGCATCATTTTGACCACCTCAGTAACCCGGACATCATTGTAAAAAAAAAAAAAAAAAAAAAAAAAAACCCTCCATATGGGTATATATAGATGGATATATACGCTCTCATCCAATGCTAAAGAGGAGAAAAAGGAAAGAAAGAAACAACGAAAAAGAAAGCGGTCTCTTTAACACGGATGGATATGGATGGTATCACGCTAATCCAAGAAACCAAAAAACAACCAACCACACAGAACCGAACAGCAGATTAATAGATACAAGTTATACTGGGTAGGTAACTAAGAGCCTATACCAATTTAGAAAATCAAGAATTAAGAGAACTTGCACATTCAGCTCCAACCGAGTTGGAGAGGACCAAGAAAGAGAGAAGGGAATGAATCAATAAGCGACCGCATTATCAGAAGCCTGGGCTGCACTCCGCATCTGCTTCGCAAAGCGTAATCCACAACTGTTGCATAGATCTCTGTTTCCGCTGGGCCCGCGTCGCCACTCAGGCGTGGTCTTGGTCTGGCACCTGGCGCAGGTCTTCTCGATCAGGACGGCGCTTTGTTTGCGCTTGCGCTTCTTTCTGCGCGCCAGCAAGCGCTGGACTTCGTCGGATAGCGAGCGGTTCTGTTTCTCTAGCTCGCGCAGCTCGAATTGCCAGCTCGAGCCTCTAGTGGGGATTAATTCGGTGAATAGGGTTGCGTCGATGGAGGCGAGAGTTTCCTTGGGGATTTTTGTAGGGCCCATGATTAGTTCTATTGGCTTCGTGGCCCTGCTGCTGTCCCCTGCAAAAGTTGCCTCTGTAGGGACGGAGTCGCTCGAGCTTGATTCCTCGGTGCTGGACGTGCCATGTGGCGCTTTTGGGAAGCGGAATTGGGCAACTACGAAACTGGGCTTGACGCCTTCTTTGGTGTCGCCTGGGTAAAACGTAGTTTGGGCTGGGAGCATGTGTCCCTTCCGATGACGAACTTTGTGGCTCAATGTTTTCTGTTGTCCACTGCTGTGAGATGTCCCGAGGGCGTGCTGAATTTCCTGGCGGGAGTCGGTGCCAACGATGTCCTGAATACTTTTACCGACGAGATCGTCGGAGGCTCGACCAAGAACCGCGCGGGACTTTGACGACATGAAAAGGATAATGCCGGACAGGGATAGTTTGGCCCAGATGTCATTTTCTGCGAGTCCGCCGCGCTCCATCTTGGCGAGTTGGTCCAGGCAGTATACCGGGAATACCCTGCCAACTAGCACCATGAATTGCCGTCCGCGCTCCGAGATATGCCATGATCCATGGCTCTCGAACCATGCGTAGCCGCTGTGCTTTCTGCGGATGCGATATATCACACTGACTGGGTCACTCGTGGTGCAGGCGCGCAAGTCACGGATGACGGGACCGATATCGCTTGGATGCAATATTGTAGACAGGGTCTTGCCTACCAGGTCAATTGATTTGTATTCAAGAACTTTTCGGCAAGACGGCGATAAGTAAAGGAAGTCTCCTTCGAAGGATAATACCTGGATCACGTCATCCGTATTCTCAACAAGAATATGATCCAAGTGGTTCCTGACTGCTGGGTCGCCTCCACCAAGACCGTCTAGTAATGCCGCGACTTGGTCCGGTCGAAACTGGGTAGCGGGATCATGGTCGTCGCGGTACATGTCTGGAGAAGGCACCACGTAACTTGGGAGCTGACTCCGCTGATAGTTGATCAGGTAAGATCCGTCTGTCCCCATGTTAGTTCCTACGGGGGGTCACGAGTGAAAGAGTGCCGTACCTGGGTTTCGCCTCTTGACGGCGTCTGGCTTCTCCACTAGATCGACCTGGAATCCCACGAAAAACCGATAATCGTTGGAATCCCACCGCACGGGAATCATAGTAATCAAGTTCATGAATGGCTGTCCTCCCTTTCGGTAATTAATGATACTCGCTTGGATCTCAGTTCGCTCATCAATCGTAGTCCGCAGCCGAAAAGCAGTTTTCGTGTCGACAAACTTCCGAGGCACGCCTTGCTCAACGGCGCCATCCGGGCTTTGAAGGAAACGGCAATTTCTACCCACAATCTCCTTTTGGGGATAGCCCGTTAAGCGTTCGAAGGCCTGTGAAACGTAGACAATGGGCTGGTCTTCTAAAGTAATGTCGCAAAGGACAAAAGCACATGATAGATCAACCGCACCGATGTTGATTTTGGGATCAGGTCGCGACACCACCTCGGCCTAATGTGAATGGATTTGGTTAGTCCTGAGGAAGTTCTCCCTTGTATGTTAGGAACGTACCAGGATACCCATCATGTCAAACCCACTACTAGAGTATACGTTAGCATACGGGGAGCCTTCACCACTAGACTCTGCGGTCACAGTGGTTGAAGAAGAAGCTTTCAGGTAGCCCAAGTTAGTGATCAGTGGACTTTATATGTTTACATGATAGTAACCCACCCTTTGCTGGCCCTGTTCGTTTAGGCTGGATGAATCGATGGGGAAGGACCGACCCCGAGGAAGATTGGGAGGTAGATTGGGAGGTAGATTGGACATCTTGGCCTGAACGTGGAAGCGCTTGGTCCCGCCCAGGATCGGAAGGATGGGAGAAACCCGACTGGCGAGAGGACATGCCCTGCATTGAAGGACGAACATCCTCAGTGTCATGGGCCGGCCCCCAGAACATACTCGAGGATGATTCCTGGGGTTGGGCGGCAGAATATGCGGGGCCAGGGTCTAGTCTCGTGGCCTGTGATTGTGTGGAGGTAAAGTGAGTTGCTTGGCGATGGTCCAAGCTGTGATCTACGGCCATTGTTGAAGGCGGATAGGCCGGAGTATCGTATGCAAAGGTGCTTCCCGGGTCCAGCCCCATCGACATGGAGCTTCCCCCCGTGGGATCAAACGCAAGCAATGGATTTGACATACGCCCTCCTCCATTACTCACAGATGGTACAATCGCCGTTGAAACACTTCCCTCTAGTATATCGTTTCGATGGCTGGGGTAGGCGAAGCTCCCCACCTGCATCGGAGCCGACGTGTAGGGCATCATCTGGTCATGCTGCGTTTCCAAATGGCGATCTGATTGGGCTACCGAGAACTGCCCCTCATAAAAGACTTCATCGAAGTCTTCCATCCCTCGATTGGCCATGATGTAGGTTTTTTTCTCCCGATCGATCGATTCAAAGCCCCAAGCCAATGGACGAAGCGGATCGGGGAAATGGGATAAAAACATCCAAAACAAACGAGTGGTAGACCCTGGGACAACTAGTGGGCAAAAGTCTGGCCTATGCAATATAGCTGGTTTACTTGCCCAACCGCAAACTCACTTGAGAGGGGACAAAATAAAGAAGATCCCAAAGCCTGTGAGGCCAGGGGCATAAAAGGAAGATAAGCGGGGGGAACGAAGCCGCCTAGGATTTGACTCGGGGGCGGCAATATCCTGAATCAATCACGCTAATAAGCAAGACCGAGGGAAACAAGAGAGAAGAAAAGAAACTTTTTTAAAAAAAAAGGGACAGAAGAAAAGAAGAGGGGGGAAAAAAGAAAAAAAATAACAGAAAAGGCCCTTTCCAGATCACGAGTAACAGGTGCGTTGAGGATGTAAAGGTCCCATTCTCATCATTCATATACGAAGAAAAGAATGACGATCAACGACGCCTGCGAGGCGGGTCGGGAGAGGAATTGACTACCAATAAGAGAAGCGAAAAGGTGGGGGGGGAGGAGATGATGTGTCAGAAGGTACTTTTGTGATGGATCAATCTATGATCCCAGATTGAGGAGATGAAATTTAAAAGGGACGTGAAGAACCCGAGAATGTGGGATGATGAAGTTTGAAGTTTGAAGTTTGAAAAGTCGAAACCATTCAAGTCCGGTGATCTCACGTGGTTGGCCTTTTTCAACCTCATCACCAAACACCACCACTTTATAACCAGTTCATGAAGTTCATCATGTGAAGTTCCCTGAAAGTCAAACTACAGCTTCCTGCATTGACATTCCAGGTCTGATTGGATGCTCAGCAATGAGGCTACGGTGTTCCACCATGGATGTGTCCGACCAGACACAGCACATGTATGGCAACAGCTGCGTTGATTCCAACCTCTGGGACAACTAGAACACTTCCAGAAAAATACAGATATCTTGAGAGAGAGAGAGAGAGAGAGACAGATTATACTAGTCGATGTACATACTCTGGGGCTCGAATCATCTCAGGAGTTTTAGATTCAAAACTGAGCCTCCCGCAATCGGAAACTAAAGACTATCATCATCTCAAAATGGTTCCAGGGGGCGCGACCTTCTTTGTTCATTTTCCTCCTTTTTTTCTTTTCCCAGATACCCTCATTATGATAACCTTTTCTTACCACACTCGTTATTCTCGACATTGACTCTCTATTGTCTATTTGGCTGGCTTTCGCGTTTGCTTGCCTTGTTTCCCTCCCTTTTTGTACGCCTCCAGGTAGGAACTGCTGTAGTGCCGCAACGCTCTCGGCCGTCCCTTCTTCCCCCCCAAATTCGAAGTTCCAGTTCTTATATATATATATATATGTATAATACATATATATATACATATATACCTTGCCTTTTACACCCGCTCTTTAACACGTAGCCAACAACACCAACTGCTTTCCTTCTCGTGTTATCCAGGACCGTCGATCGCGTGCACAATTCGATCCACGCCTGTAAATAACACGTCATGGCAGACGCCCCAAACAAGATTTCGATCACCATCTGCGGGGATGGTGGATGTGGTATGCTTACACCAAAGGTCTATTCTATTGTTCGCGATCGCTCGTTTCTGAGCTGGAAGCGCTAGCAATGGCTCCTGAGAACCACATGGTTGACCGGACTTAGGGAAATCTTCCATTACACTCCGACTAGTTCGAAGCCAATGGATTCACGAGTATGTCTCTCTCTCTCTCATGTTTAACCTTTTCTTTTTTAATCGTGTTTAGATATGATCCTACAATAGGTATAGCGTTCATTCGAACCTCCCCCAAACCTACCATATTCTCTAATGGTATAATTCCCCGACAGAGGATTCATACTCCGTGACACGCGACATCGATGGCACACCGTATTTCTTATCCATTACCGATACTGCAGGCCAGGAGGAATATCGGGGACTATGGGCGGCATCGAACCTGAAATCCGATGCCTTTCTGCTCGTCTACGACATCACCAGCGCGTCCAGCCTTGGCGCGCTGGATTATTTTATGGATATGATTGATATGGAAACCGAACTGCGGGCCGAGGACAACCTGCGACTACTGAAGGAATTGGGCGATAGCGCGCGGGGACTGGAGGTTGGAATGGCGCCTCCGATTAAGATCGTAGCCGGTAACAAGTGCGATCTCAAGGATAATCGCGTCATCGGTGCGCGGGAAGGGTTGGAGTATGCGCGGAAACATGGCTCCGGGTTCATGGAGACAAGCGCGCGGGAGATGGTTAACATTGAGGAGACATTTGCTCGTATGCCTTTCCTCGTCCTTCCGTTGGGTCTAGCTGAGTCTAATGAGAATGGGATTAGTACTGGTCCGCCGGGTGGTGGAAGCACGTCAACAGCATCATCAAGACAACCTCGAGCTCATCCAACCGACTCGTCACGTGGGCTTTTCTCTCAAAAAGGCGCCAACAAACCCGATATCAAGGAATAACAGCGCAGCGGACCTCTCGAAGCCTGCTCCAAATCGCCAGAGCATATTCCGTGGGCTGATGGCGGGGAACCGACGGACCAATGAGGACGAGCTGTTGGAGAAAGAAAAGGAATCCAAGAGCCCGTCAGATGATGCCCCAGATAAGAAAACCCCCAGTCGATGGAAGCGACTGTGCTGTTGAAATAAGATGGTATTCACATAGGCTCTTTTTGCGTTGCATCACCACGAGCACCTAATTCCAGTATCTGAACAACCCTGTTTTGCCTGTCTGTCTGTGTATATATATATATGTGTGTGTATAATTGACCTTGGTGTTTGTTTTGAATGGTACGGCCCTGAAGTAAGAAAACCCATGAACGTTTCCATGGATATGTATACTCAAGGAACAATTCTAGCCCAGCACCAAGACCAGACGGGTGAACAGAGAAAGCAATTCCACAATGATCAGCACACACTCGAGTCCAACGGTGAAGTCATGCAGGCGTTTGGCCTCCTGTCTGCAAGTAAGCATTCGACAAGACAGGACATGACATGAAGTCTAGTCTAGTGTAGTCTAGTAGGACACGCCAAAGCGGGCAACACAGAGTTTACATACCCTGTTAAGCAAATACTGATTGCAAACCTACTTCCTTCCATTCACCCGAAGGGTGTGCGAGTGTAAGCAAGATCAGATGGCGTGAGAACCAGCGGAACCGGCAGGAAGGGTGTGGAACCGGGTCCAGGTCTGAAGATAGACGGAATGACGCCATCACCTTTGGGATTATCTTTAGTTCAGTGGCTCGAACAACTTTTGCAGAGGGAAAACAAGAGTCTAGAACGTTTGTACCGAGGGAGGAAGGACCCTTGGATGAAAGAAATTTGCCTAGCCAGGTTACTTGTAGATACAGTAGGTAGTGATAGTCTACCTACTCCGTACTAGTACTAGGGCCTAGTTAACTATAGTTAGTACATACCATCATCAGTATCCCTATTGCGGTATACTCTGTTATAGAGACTGAGAGAATGCAGGAATCTTTCATACGTAGAAAACACAGCATGAATCATTGATTGTCCGTTATCGTTACTCAAAGCTGAAGCTAAACTAGCGCCTTCTTCAGCTTTGCTCCATCTTCTGTCGTTTGTACAAAGGCAGTGGCGGTACATCTGATGGGGAGATCCAAGGGGTATCGTTTCTTTCCAGGTTTGGAGGGGGAAAAGCAAATCAATGGCTTCTGGAAAAGATCAAGATCCAATAATCTTCCTGGTTAGGAGGATATATTCTCAGATGTGTGAGCCCCGAGTGTTCTCCACGTCATGGATCATCATGCCGGAGAGAGGATCAGACGGCATCGTTTCCCACCGGCATCGGGAAGGGCGTCTATACTAGTAGTAATTTAGTAGGTGGGTACGGAGTACACGAATAGAGACAACTACCTAGCTAGGAAGTCTCTTTAGAACTTTCATGTTTCAGTAAGGATAGACGACGGGCGGACGGGCGGACGGATAGACCACAATAGACAGATGCGAGCAAGTGATGGAGTATCTACTTTGTAGTATAAAATCAAGGGGAAAATACAGCTAGTTAACGGATTTATCGTGCTGACAATGACATCAACTTAACTCTAGAACCATAGCCTATCCTATAGAGTACTCTAGACTAATCACTTGGCAAGGCTTTAACGCCAACATGGAGGTTAAGCTTTCACGAGGACTGAATCATTTGAACATCCCGATTCCAGAATCCTAGTAGTCTGTACCGAGAGATTATCGACAGATCACCGTCCGTCCACCTAGGTACCGCCTGTGGGACTGGTTTAGGGCCAATGATGATCATGAGGAATTTTGGGGGGACAAGACTATTCCCACCATGGATCTATAATCCCACTCCGATATACAACCGTTGACCCAGGTACGGAATACTTGCCAAGTAGACGATTTCGGCATAGACGTGCCGAAAGAGTGGACACAAGCGAATCCGATTATTGTGCCGTAAATCCGCCTTATGCAGTGGAGGAGGGGCATAGTATAGAATTTCCCGATTCAGCAGGATTCCTCCTTAACGAGGGTTCATTCTCCGACAAGGAACTCAGTCTGTATCCCCCCGTACAGAGGACCGGAAGGGGAATCCAGAGACTTTTAGACCTCCCTGGTGAGAGAGTGGATGGTCTACACACTTAGCTTGATATTATTCTCTTGATCGATCATCACCGTGTCTAGTACGGAGTACTATATCTACAAAATCGAGAGCTGGTGGAAGGCTACCGGATATACGGCTCTTATGTGAGAGACTTTTTTTTTTTTTTTTTTTCATCTCAAGGTGAGGGCATAAAATCTCTCAACCCCAGAAGGATGAGTGAATTGCTCCTTCGGGAAATTCATGAAATTGTCTCCGAGGACCGAGTCTAGCCCGGAAGGGAATAGTGGCTGGCACTAGATGAATAATAGTCGCCATGCAATCCATAACTAAACTATTCTAAAGTTATGCTTCCGTTATCCGTATGTTGTAACAAAAGAGGTTTACAGTTCCCTTTCTCGAAAAAAAAGAAAGAAAAAAAAAAACTTGTGATTCTAACCCACGTAGAGCTATTAAAAAAAAATCGATATGTTCCTAGCTCCAGTTACTACTAGAAGATTCCTCTTTAGGATATCGTGTCGAGGATTAGGCTTTGGATCGGAGATAGATCGGCGTGGTTTTAAGCTTCCAAGGTCGCAAAATTACGTCAATACGGTAAAACTTACTGGGTATGGTAACTTGGTAAGTAGAAACGGAGAACGGGTTACAATCTCCGTAATGTGTTGTTGGACATTGAATAATTCTTAGACAATTGTTGTCAAATAATCAATCTTTTTTTATTTTCTTTTTTTAAATTCTTATTTTTTAATTCTTCTTATTTTTTTTTTTTTACTTGAAAATAAATAATATTTCTTTAGCTTTAAACCCGTGTCAGCATTGTTCAGAAATAGTAATATAACTATACTTGTTCTCTCCCCTAACAGCAGCTGGAAAAGAATAATATTATAATCGCCAGTTCTCCTCCTTCAGAGTTCAGTCTCGAAGCTTTGCAGTTTTCCCTGGCTTCTCGAATCCTGTTTACTTTTTGGTTACCAAAGAACTTGGACCTTGGGACGCTACCCTACAACACACTGTTCTCGTTGCAACCTCGTCCACCTTGGTCATTACTCATTACCTCGCTGCCTCGAGCCTTGTATTGGGTCTTTAGATCCTGACTCTGGGAAACTTTTTTTTTCTATTATTATTCTCGTTCGTGGAATCATCGACTTACCCGGCTTGACGTATTGATTATCGATCTCGGATCATTATTGCAACACCGCTTCGAGAACACCATTAGAGCTGCAAGACGAGACTGAACTGAAGGGAATAAAAAGAGAAATAATCGACCAGTTTTAAAATAATTGTGTTTGGTTATTTTCTCTCTCTCTTGCTGGACTACCTCTCTATCGGCTGTCGATCAGTGGTCTCATAGTTACCACTACCCTTCCGCAATCTATACCTCCCCCCCCCCCACCCGTATATATATATATACTCACTATACACAATGACGGCACGACAACCATCTCCTATATCCGATAATTCGCATTCAGATGGCGGGGTTCGCAAAAGGGTGTGTAAGGCCTGCGATCGGTGTCGACTGAAGAAGTCCAAGGTAAGCACGGCCTCGGCCCAACTAGCATCAGCACCTACTGATGCACTGACCCGGTGCAGTGTGACGGAGCCAAACCATGCGGTCGGTGTAGAGCAGACAACACTCTATGTGTCTTTGGCGAGAGAAAGAAGGCCCATGATAAAGTGTACCCTAAGGGGTGAGCATGCACCTGGCATTTTTTTTTTGATTGGATTTTCGTTTCGCAAGTTTCATCCAGGGTAATTAATGGCTAACTGTCCTGGGGCTATTTAGATATGTTGAGATGCTCGAACAACAACAAACGTGGCTCGTATACGGTCTACAAGAATTATATCGACGCATAAACGAGGGCGAAGGCTGGCCCGGGGAACCGCTGAAATGCGAATCTAACGGCCACCCTCTCACGCACGATTTACTCACTCAACTCGGCGCTCTGGATCACAACAAGAATGAGCGTTTCGAAGAAAACACAGAAACCATGCAGCAGGAGTTGTGGAAGCAGAATGCCGGGCACATGCAGCGACAGGATTCGTCAGACGCCAGTTCCGACACCGCACAATCGCCCGTGATTCCATCTTATTTCTCCGATCCCTTTGCTGCCCGCACTCTCCCCCAGACCCCCACCAACACCATTAGCCCCGTAACATCACGGACCGAGATCCCCGCCATCAAGAGCGAGTCCCAATTAACGCCGAACAACCCTCCATTCGTCACGTCGATATCTTCGATGTCCATGCCTAGCGTGGTGAACCCGCTCGCCCTACAGAACCCCCAGCAATGGCCAAACCCAAGTTTCGGTGGCTTCGACGAGATGGATATGATGGGAGCCGTCGAGTACGGGGCCCTGACCTTCGACGAGCCCATGCCCTCGCCGCTCTTCAACCGACAACTGCCCCTGAGCTGTCTGATGACCGGGTCATATATGGACAACAAGAACGACTACGAGGATATTAACCAGTTTCTGAATGCCAATCCGCCGGAAATCACATCGACCTGAGCTCGCGATGCTGCTGTACGACGTTGAACGATTGTATACTACGCGGATTCCGTTCTGACCGCTCTTGACTTGTTACATATTTGATTTCTTACCGCGTTTTTTTTAAGACAGACAGCACTTTGGTTTCCGGAGGGATCGTTCAGTGTGTATGGGATTTGTTTTTTGACCTTTTTTTTTTTTTCTTTTTCTTTTTTTTTTTCTCTTCACGTGGGTGTTCACGGTGTTTGGCTTGGTGTTTGCGATTCGATAAAACATTCAGGAGTTAATTTTTTTCCATCTACCTAACTTTTCACACCGAGTCCCTCGCTCTCTCTCTTCCCATTCACGATCTCAACCCACGAGTCTGTCTGTCTGTATCAGGGGTTGTACATAGAGCAGACGAATATAATGAATCATCATATGGATATTTAACCTTGAAAGTCCTGTGCGCAATAAAGCTTTTTCAAGAAACTGATTAAAAATGGTGGTTCATGTGCGGAATGTCCCGAGGTGATTGGTTGTTGAAGATTGACCAGGAACGACACCTGTTAGTTATGTAGTTAGTTAGTTAGTTAGTTAACTTGATGACGTTGAGACCCGATGACTAAGACGCCAACTGGACCGACCGGGAGAACGTCATGAGTTCCGCTTCCGTCCTAGTACAGTCAGACTTATCTCCGTGAGCGACATCTAATAGTTATATTATAAATGATAAATAATCCTAACCTTTAGTACAGATAGTGGTAGTGGTACTTGAGATCAAAGTTAGAAATCGCTCAAGTTTCCCTCGTTCGTTCGTTCGTGAACTACTAGTAGTTAACTCCGGAGTAAACTGACTGGAATCAAATCTCTATACCCGAAATGCCGAGCGACCAGGTCGTCCAGTCGGCTGTATGGACGGAGTATAGGATGGGTAGTACTTTGCACCCCAGCCACGCTAGTCTGAGCTTTACTCGGATCACGGAGACTTTCTTCAGTGCGGACTAACTATAACTAGTTAACTACTAGTAGTAGTACAAGTAAGGTATTTGTCACTGTTATTATCAACTTGGCCTCCGCCCCCAACTTTTCTGGCTAGGTTTGAAAAAACATGCTTAGAATTGGGGTAGCTCTGTACAGTCTTGACTCAGTATCCCTATTTAACTAGTAAATTCGCCCGATGTTTTAGAAATACAACTTGATACTCGGTATTATATTTATATTTCTGGACGGTTATGCAAGTTACTATCTTTATACATGCTTGCTATCATGACAATTCTACCAACTACAAAGATGAAGAACCACAAGCTCTACTATACTAGATCATACGATCCAGCACTAGGCATGAGTAGAAACTATAGGTCCCTTAGTACTCGGATGCAAGGAAACAGGTTACTTATCAGATAAAATTGAGCCGTCTTGGCTTATTTACCGATCTGCGCAGTTGATATTGAATACTTTTACTTTTCTGTAGTACTTTACCTTACATCCAGACAGATATCAGTTGCTATTTATTTCTCTGCATATCTGGCAGTATCGCATAGCCTTCTGCTCTTTTACGGAGTAACATCCCATCCTGTGAGGGTTAGGTAGTCAACCGGAAGATTTACCGCCAGTTTAGGCTAATACGGAAGAGATCACGTTAATTTACCCGTGTTGCAGATGCAGACCCTACAAGAGCAAAAAAATAATGAAGTCGCACCTCTCAGAGCCCTCGTAGCTGTTTAGGCAATGTTTTGTTCATTCCGGTTGTTGAGTTGATTTGATTGCGGGGTAGACTAAATACCCCTCCCTATATCAACTCTCTGCTCCCGAGCTCAACCCTTTTTCTCATCTCTTGATATAACCCGATCAGAACCATTAATCGAATTGAACCGAATTGTACAAAAAAAAAAAGAAGAAGAAATGGGCGATCACACTTCAGTCAAATTCTCCTCCCTCGCCGCTATCATCCAGGAATTCAACGTCGACGGCCAGAACATCGTCCAGGGATTCACCAAGAAAGAATACTACGAGAAATACAACCTTCCCTGGTTTGGCGCCACCATTGGGCGATTCGCAAACCGAATCAAGGGCGGTGTTATCGAGAGCCTCAACGGGACAAAGTACCAGCTTGAGAAGAATAATGGATCCAACGCGCTGCACGGCGGTAGTAATGGATGGGGTCGCGTAGAATTCGAGGGTCCCACGGTCGTCAAGCGCGACGGTAAGGATGCACTTCTCTATACATATCTAAGCCCCCACAGGGACCAAGGATACCCGGGTGCAGTGGAGCTGAAGGTCTTCTACACGGTTAGCGAGGAGGTGGAGGGTGGTTTGCCCAGATCGATGCTCAGTATCGAGTATGAAGCCGAGCTGGTGGGAGACGAGGTCGAAGAGACTGTTATCAACGTGACGAACCACAGGTAATCAATCCTCCTCCAATAGCTATATGAGCATGAAACCTCAATGGCCTATCCTGTTAACACTAACCTTTTTGTTTTTGTTTTTGTTTTGTTTGGGAATAGCTACTTCAACCTCGGCAATACCGCCAGCGGCGCGGACGACGTAATCGCCAAACTTGCAACACGAGACTACCTCCCCCTTGAAAGCGGCATCCCCATCGGGCCTATCTCGCCGCATGAAATCGACGTCACGCAGCCATTCGAATTCGGGCCGGAAAAGGCTGTCTTTGATGACTGTTTCGTCATGCAGCGCGATCTCACCGGGGTGCCCGTCGACACACGCAGCCAGCCACTGAAGCTCCTCGCCGAGTTCCACCACACCGGCACCAAGATGAACCTGCAGGTCCATAGCACGGAGCCAGCCTTCCAGTTCTACACGGGCGAGCACATCAATGTACCCGAGGTAGATGGAAATCCGAAACGCGGGCCGTTTGCCGGGTTCTGCATTGAGCCTAGTCGATTCGTGAATGCGATCAATGAACCGGATTGGCGGCACACGGTGTTGTTGAAGAAGGGGGAAAAGTATGGCTGCAAGATTCTGTATAAGGCGTGGAGGGGGGCAGCGGCCTGAAGTACCTACCGATACATTTTAGTATTTCCCATGATACAACAACCCACTCAACTACCGAATCCCTACCGTACTATTCTTACCTTGGATCTCGGCCCAGCTTTCAAGCCAAGAGTAGACTACTCCAATTCTTTCCCCGGATGGTGTGCCGAATATCCTAGCATCGGCATCACATCCAGAGTGGGCCTGGTTTGTACAATATAACCCGAGCTACGGAGTACCTTACTCTGGAGTCTGTAGGAACTTGGATTACTGCATTAGTTCGCTCCACAGACGAAAATTTCAGAGACCAGGATAAAAAGCCTCACTGAGATGTGCAGATCATGTCTCTTCAACTGTCCACGTTCAAGTACAGGAATGGCAGTGGAGTAGGTTATCCAGTTCACCAACACTGACACTTACCTTCCCAGCTTAGAGGCCATAATCGCGTGCGTATATTCTCGGAATTACATATAGGAGATGAATGAGATGAATGTTCCGAGGGACAGGTCGGAGTGGGCACACTCGACGTCAGTGGCTTATTGTTCTATGCCCAGGCTTCTCGAATGTGTGCTCTGTATGGTTCTAGCGTCTTTATAATTAGGGAGGATTTAGCTTCCATAGAGTAGATAAATAGCAGCCCTCCCACTGCTACTGTTCATATAATAGAAGTAGAGTAGAGGAATGGCACAACGTACCCGGAATTGAGAATTACAATCTTACCAGGTGTAATGTAATACCATACCGTACCGAACACGGGCCGGCAACAATACGCCGGATCTGGGGCAACCGAGACTACCTAGGTAGTGTACTAATCAGAGTCCGCGGGGACGGCCTCGGACTTGCTGTTCGGAACGGAGACATCCAGGGTCCCGAAGGTTTAACAGCGTCCACTGGTGTTGCCAGTGGAGTTTCCTACGGCATTTGTTAGCGGGCCTTTCTGGTGCTGAGTTCTCTTGTTAATTCTTGATTACCCTCCGATCACAGCAACATATCCTACTACTAGGTACACTGCACTGCACTGCTATCTATAACCACACAAACAAACCCTTCTCGAAAAGAAACCGGTCTGCGTGAGTGAGTCGCAGTCTTCAACCCCGCGGACTCTTTACATATATCCGGTCTTAAATCCTTCCCTACCTGTACCTACTAGGTAGATGCCTAGGTAGATACCTAGGTAGTGAGTGATACACCACACCACACCACCCACGCCGGGGGACTAGAATTGACCCGATGCTACTTGTACATTCAAGTTCTGCATACGGAGTACGGAGTAGTCATTCCCAGATCCACCCATTTATGCAGAAGCAGCAGAACCCCTGAAAGTTGAAAATGCGTGTTGCTTGTACATACCCCGCACTGATAAGATCTTTTCTTTTTTTTTTTTCAACTGCTCTTACTTTCCTAAAACATACTAATGGTTATCTTGCAAAGTTGGCAGACTTGTACAGCCTCAATGGATGTTTGTTGGTGGTGTCACATGCATGCCCTTGGAAAGTTAGGATGAGGATCCGAAAAAAAACACAAACAAAGAAAGAAAGAAAGTTCCAGGCAGCATGCGAATTCGAACCCGAATGCGGTTTCCATCCATCTTGGCCGCAAGAACGAATAACTAGTTTGTAAATGATGCAGCCTAAACATGCAAGACGGAGGAGGAGGCACGTACCACCTCGTTATAGCTGATAGCCTAGGTTACGCTCGTTACTCTGGCTCTGTTGACGACCTAACTACTCTGTATTGTGTACCGCTTGGCTCAAGTCGTTTTCGTATTCGTCTACGAACCTCTTTCTCTGATTTCTGACATTCTTGTACAGTAGTTACCAGAGTCTGTAGAGGTTGAGTCTGTATGACAGTATGACTATAGTTAGCTAGCGGGATGTATAACACGTGACATCACCGGAACCTCCCGAGCCCCCGCGCGGGGAGTTCTCGGATACGAAATTATGCTGGGATTCTCACTTCATCATCACTATCTAGGTATCCGAAGACAACAAGAGAAGCAATGGCCTCGACCCACGGAGACCTCCGCCACCTCCTCCCAGGAAACTACAAACGGCTCGTGTCCGAATGGCTAGAAGAGGACTGTCCGAGTTTCGACTACGGCGGGTTCGTAGTGGGCGAGTCAGAGGGGGAGGCGCGATTACTGGGGAAGAGCAGCGTATGGATTCAATTCCACAAATACAGTGCAATGCAATGCAATGCAATAGCTAACAGGACATTAAACACACAGGGGATTATCGCCGGCGTGCCATTCTTCGACGAAGTGTTTTCCCAACTAGGCTGCACGTATGTTCCTATCATCCATCCACCCCATCATCTATTATTATTATTATTATTATTATTATTATGTCTATCCTCTTCCCCAGCTTAGACAGGAAAGACTGAATACAATATAGAGTCCAATGGCACCACGCAGAAGGCCACCACCTCCCCGCCGGCGCAAAAACCCACTGCGCAACGGTGCGCGGCCCCATCCGCAAGATCCTCCTGGGTGAGCGCGTGGCCCTGAACATTCTCGCGCGGTGTTCCGGAATCGCCACGAAATCAGCCGCGCTTGTCGAGATTCTCCGGCGCCAAGGCTGGCACGGTACGCTGGCCGGCACGCGAAAGACCACGCCGGGGTTCCGCATTGTCGAGAAATACGGGATGCTTGTGGGCGGCGCGGATCCGCACCGCCACGATCTGAGCTCCATGACCATGCTCAAGGATAATCATGTCTGGGCGTGTGCGAACAATGCGCGCAATTCGGCGGTGACGGCGACGGCGGCTGGGGAGATGTCGATTGAGAATATTGCGGCGGCGATTCCGCGCGCCGTGGCGGCTGCCAAGGCGGTCGGGGGCTTTGCGACCAAAGTTGAAGTCGAGTGTCGGAGTTTGGAGGAGGCGCGTGCCGCCATTGGCGCCGGCGCGGATGTGATCATGTTGGATAACTTTACGGCGGACGGCGTGCGGGAGGCCGCTCGGACGCTAAAGGAGGAGTGGAAGGGGAAAGGGAGGCTGTTTTTGATCGAGGTGAGTGGCGGGTTGAATGAGGAGAATGCCGCCCAGCATGTCTGTCCTGATGTGGATATTCTGTCGACGAGCTCGATCCATCAATCGGCCGGGATTGTGGATTTCTCCCTCAAGGTTTCGCTGCGATAGTACAGACAATTCTTGCACGATGAATCAATATACAGGAATCATGAACCATTATGAATAACTCTAGAAATACCTATTAACAAAAACAAGCATCACATCACTTCATGCCGCAATTAAGCAGAAAGCGTCGAGGGTATATGGAATAATACACAGGACAATGCAGAAACAACAGCGCTAACGATGCATGAGAATAACATAACGATAGAGCAGAATCCATCCACCAGTAAAATATGACTAAACTTCAATGTCAACCGTAATGACCTCGCCCTCACTCGAGCTGTGCTCGTCGTCACGGTGGCTTCGATAGTCCTCGTCCCCCGTAGCTGGGTCTGGACTTTGTCCTCGTCCCCCGTCGTCATCCGTCGAGGGTTCGGTCGAGATACCATAGCGCACGCGCTGTCGTTCTATTTGCGCACGGAGTCGTTTGTTTTCAGCTCCTTGTTCCTCAAGCCGCTTCCGTGCCCCACTACGATCTAACAGACGTGCCTCCCGCTCAGCCTTGAGCCTCTTTTCAAGCTCATGCAGGCGCTTGATCCAAACTTCGTGGTTTCCAGGATCCCCCGATTTGTGTCGAGGCCGGGACAATGCTCCTGCACTTTCAACCAATGTAGTAGTTGATGAAACCTGAGACGGCTGGGGAATGCCGGACCGCGCAAGACCCTTTGTGGAAGGTTGTTCAATTGCCGAATGGTGGCGGACTAACGGGCCGCGTTCTGCTTCCATGCCCGTTGGCGATTGCGGAGACGCTGCCATATCGGCTGTGACTGGGCCACGACTACGTGAATGCGACTGAAGGAGATTGAGCTCTGCGTTCAACAGTCGGTTCTCCCTCCTTAGTTTGGCCATTTCAGACGAGACGCCAGATTGGCCACGGTTCTGCATCTGAGCACGCATCTTCATCAACGATTCTTCCAAACGATCCAGCTTTTTGATGCGCAAGCTGAAGGCGTGCTCCACCGTTTGATATTGCTTGGTCAAGTCCCGCTCGACGTCCTTGATCTGCCCCTTGAAGCTCGTAATTGCACTTTCTAGGGTCTTAACAGCGAGCAAAAGATTTTTGCTGAACCCTGGCCAGAAGAGAATGTTACCAATAACCTCCTGGCTAGGTAGGTTACCGTTAATTAGACTGTTGGAATGCGCCCAGTCTGGACCACACATGGCCGAGAGACGCTTCCAGATGGTCAGCAGCATGGCATTCCGGTCATTGAGCTGTTCCCTGAACTGTTGCTCAAGACTCGTGTATCGCTTGCGATCCTGGGCTCGGGCACTCTCCAGTTCTGAAATACGGGAATTGTTCTGCGTGATTGTGCGAGATGCCTGATGATGGGATTTCAGCGATGACTCAAACGACTGCTTATCAGCACGACGGGCCTGGCGTTCCCGCTCAAGAAGTTCAGCTAGTTTGCGAGACTCTAGCCCGTGACTTTCCAACAATGCATCCCGATTCCGCAGCAGTGACTCTTTCTCATCTAGTGTAGATCGAGTGCTCTCAAGCTCCAGGGCAGTAGATTCGAGCTCTTTCTGCAATTTCATGATGTTCGAGATTAAACTAGACCGACTGCCGGTGAGATCGCCTAGGGTCTCTCGGAGGTTGTTCTCGAGGTCTGTAAGCCGCTCCCTCCAAGTAGCAGTCTCGATTTCCTGCGCAGACAAGCTCTTTTTTAGCTTACGAGCCTCTTCTTTGGCCGTAGAGGCTTCACGGTTCAGCTCATTCACAATTCGCTGCACTTCTTGTTTCTCCTTGCTTCCAACAACCTCCCGCTGGTGCCTCTCCTCGGCCAGACGCTCCTCCAGTTCACGCGTCTTCTCCTTCTCGCTTTGGAGACTTATCTGATAGGTCTTTAGCTCAGATTCCAGATCACCAATCTTGATCTTGTCACTATCTTGCTCTTCCCGTAGGAATGCAATTTCGTTATGGCTCGACTCGATTTGCACCATGAGGCGTTGGACCTTGGTGTTTGCCTCGTACAAGCTCTTCTCCAGCGACTCCATCTCTCGACTACATTCTTCAAGCTCTTGCTGCACGATCTTATACCGCTGTAGATTGTTTTGTGCATCTTCCTCGAGCCGGATAATACCTTCACCAGCCGAACGCATCTCTGCCTGCAGAGCTCTAAGGTTCTCATCCCGACTTCTAAGTTCTTCGCCTAGGCGCTGACACTCCTCGGCCTTCTGATCAAGCTCGTCTCCGAGAGCGTCCAGCTCCTCTTGCGCTTCAGCTCTCAGCTCCTGGAACGCTGCATCACGTTCATCGGCCATTTGGAGCGCCTGGTCACGTTCCTGTTGCAGGGTCTGGATCTCTTCCTCCGCCTGATCTACATCCGCCTGGTAGGCTTTGTCCAGAGATTCGAGTTCTCTAACGTAGTCTTCGAGTTGTGCCCTGATTGCCTGATTTTCCAGTTTAAGGGCCGAAACTTGATCCCGCAACTGTCCATTTCGAACTTCCAGGTCTTCGCGCTCAGCATCATCGATCGGAGACTGTCCAGTTTGGTCACTGGTCCGCGAGGAGGATCTTCCATGTGCTCTAGAAGCAGAGCGGTCAAGTATACTGTCACCAGTGATTGATCGTTCACGGCGTTGGCCAAGTTTTAGGTCCTCGATTTCCTGGTAAAGACGCTCCTTCTCGCGGTTCCGAGAGGTTAACATTGAAGTCTGCGCGCTGACCTCTTTCCTCAACTCTGCATTCTCCTGCTTCAGAAGCTCCAGCTCCATGACCAATGTCGAACTTGAAGAGCTATCTGCGGTAGTATTGCGGAGCAACTCTTTGTCAGAAGTTCCTGAATAGGATACCATAGAGCCAACGCGATCACGATGCCCCATTTGCACTGGCGCCATTGCAAAGCTCACTTCACTCTTTGCACGCATAACCTCCTCCCGTAGTCGTTTATTCTCGTCTTCAGCCTGCTCACGAGCCGCAGTTTCCGCCTCAAGCATGTCTTTCCACATATCCTATGAAACTTTTAGTGTGAATTCCCAAAATCCTGTCCTTCTTGTTCAGGGCTTACCCTCTCCTCCCGAGCTCCCACGTCTGACCCCATAAGTCTGCCGTCACTCAGAGACTTCACCATCTCCGCCAGTCTGCGCTTCTCACTTTCACGAGCGATGCTTTCTGATCGTAGCCGTTCGATTTCAAGCTCGTAAGTCTCAACTCTCTCGCGTAAGTACAACAATTCTTCGTCCTGAGCTGGGTCACGATCTTCTTCATCAGAGCCTTCAGGGTCGTGGTTAAGCATCGATTCCTTGTCCGACTGCTGGTCTTTGACTTGCTTCTCCAGATCACGGATCTTTCGTTTCAAGCCCTGGTTTTCTTTTTGCAGCTTCAGCTTATCCGATTTCAGCTCGACGTTCTCAGAAATCATCTCCTTAATGCCCTCTTCAGAACGCCGATTCAACGCTTCATTTAGGAAATGGATCCTCATCTTCAAGTCGAAGTTTTCTTTCGAAAGACGGTCAATTGTACTGCTTTGCTCCTTTAGGGTCATAGATCGACCACTCTTAGCAAAGCCTGGAGTCATACCCACACGTTTTTCGGGAGACAGCCCATGGCCCCCAAAGTCCTCTCGAAATTGCTTCACAAATGTGCTCGGAACTTGGATATCACGGACTCTCTCGGCTATAACCGTATCAGTTGGGAAAATGTGCTCATGAGACTTGGCTTTTGGAGTCATCGGCCCAGAAATGTCTTCAGGTGGTTGCTGTGGTTGTGGATCAGACGGCTGTGGTTGTTGCGATGAACCAGGACGTGAATGCGAAGGGCCTTCCTCCTCATCTAATGTATGTAAACCACTATCCGTCGTCCCGCTCGGATTCCGTTTATCCATGAAGGTTTCGTCGCTGTAGCCCGAAATTCCTGATGCCATGCTCCCCAGGCTTACTGACCTAGCCAAATTGTTGCGATGTCCCACTGCGCCCAGACTCGGGTTTCCAGGCACGGCGCCTCCCGATTGTAGCGCATAGTCAGCTCCTAAGGTCGCATCGCTATTAGTGGCTTCAGTTGCGTTGCTAGTAGCTGAAGAGTATGAGAGACGGTGTGCGGACTGGCGACTAGTTAAATACTTAGGTCGATTGCTCCTCTGGCTACTTGCGCGAGAGGCAGCATCCGTATCCGCAGTATTAGTGTCAGAAAAAATTCTAGGATGTGATGGAGATGGCAACGGTGCAGTTTGGATGTCCTGGTTTATCGATTGCACGGAATGGTGCCCGTCTGGTGCCAACGACTGGCCGAGGGAGAAGTCTTGGGAAAATGGACTGATATCATCAGCGCTTTCGTGTAGGTTCGACTGACTCCGACTTTCCAGTCGGGCAGCAGCCGCTGCGGCCGGTGAAGAAGGCATGGTTTCCAGCATTGTAGTATTGTCTCCGTAGCGCTCCCCCGAGGCCGAGGGTGTAGCATCGAGATTCAACGTGGAGTCCTCCGTAGGTCTCATGATAGGACTCTGAGGAATAGGCACACCGTCGTTCGTCGACGCAATATCGTGGCTAGACTCATCTGGCGCCACCCAAGATGGCTCTCTGAATTCTGGCAGTTCTCCCCTGGTTACCCCAACCACATAAGTATCATCGATGCCCGTAGTGCGATTCGCAGCGGCAACTTCGATCGTTGAGGGTTCGGGTAGAAAGCTAGATTCCATTTCCATCAGCTTCCGGCGCATCTCTCTCTCTTCCAGAAAGGTCTGGTTCTCCATGCGGTCACGGTCGCTGTGCTCTTCAAGACTGCTGTCATCGTGGTCGGGTAAAGGTGGTAAATTCAAGGACACAATCGAATCGTCCTGGTCAAAATCTTGATGGGTGAGCGCCGTCGTAATGGTTGGATTATCGTCGAAGCTCATGCTGGGGGTTGTTGCTGGCTCGGAAATATGGTGATTGTGATGATCGCCGTCCTCCGGAGCGGTCGCATCCATGTTGTTTGGGGGGAGTACTCCCCGCGTATCCTCCTCCTCCACAAAATCAAAAGGATCACAGAACTCGTCTTCCAAAGCCGAGAGATCAGCGGCCAGGTCGAAGCCACCGGGGAAGGAAAAAAGCGATAACCTGCGCAGCGCAAGCGCGTTGTCGTTGAGCGCGTCCAGGGTCGGAGATGGAGAAGAGGACGGTTGGGCGGAACCCGTCGACATGGTGACGGGTTCAGTTACAGTTGTGCTTTTTTCCTTTCTAGTCTGGAAACAGTTAGGCTGTCTGGCTGAAACTCTCGAGTTCTTTTTAGCACTCACTGTTCTTGATTTCTCCACATTCTCCCAGCAGTTCTGGGATGCCGAATGGACGATATGCCAACTGGTCATACCCACTTGGTGGGCAGCGGTAGCTCCAGCGTCCTATGGCAGGCCAGCGGCTAGCCAGACTTCGCCTTAAAAAAAAGGTGGTACGGATAGAGATCCGAAAAGTGACAACAGCTTTGATAAATAATAAGGGGAAAGGGAAGAAGAGATGACGATAATGAGGATGGGTGTGGTAGAAAGGATAGATGGAGCATTGAAGTGGGAGGTTGTTCCTGTACTGGTTTCTTGAACCCAGGGGGTAAGATTTCCTTCTCCAGCCAAACTGCTCCACGACGCTGCTGCAGATATGCACAGGTCGACTTGACTGATCAATTGAATTCAAGGGTAAAAATTCCTACTACTCTATAATTAAAAATAAATATATACGTGCTTATGTTAACCAACCATTTTGTACAGATCACAATCAATCGCTCATGGTCCCTATCACATAATCTCATCATAACCCAAAAATGAAGAAGTAGTAAACAAAAGAACAGGGAAACCCAGCTTAAAAACGCTTCAGAAGACATGAAATAAGAGGAGTATCCCAAATATAGGCTGTAAAGTGGAGTGGGACACCCTCTTTATGTGGTATAGGGAGATCACCGAGGCATTGATAAATACAAATACAAGACGGAAGTTGCGCCTAGTAACTCCCGAACCGCATAATAGAAAGAAAGAAAGAGAAATAAAAAGAATCCCGGGCAGCCTTATTCCTCAGAAGGTTGTGCTTCCTCCCGCGATGAGTAAATTTTGTTCTTCTGGTCGATGGCGTTTTGAAGGGAGTCAATGTAGGTTCGGAATTTCACAATCTCCCGGAGAAGGTATGACGACTTCTTCTCCCAGTTGGCCATAGCCTTTATAGCATTCGGGTGACGCGGTGAGAAGGCGAGGATCATAGCGGGGCGCAACTCATTGTGCCGTTGCAGTTCATCCTCAACATTCTTGACGTAGGTCTGCAGGCCCTTCAGCTGATCGGCCTCTCCCAAAGTGGCGGCCATCATGCTCTGTTGTGGTGGAGACCAATCACTGATATTCACTCGGTCGGCTGGCAGTCTGGGCCGTACACCCTGCTGATCCATAGAGCTGCGAATAGAGCTCTGGATACTAGGCCGTGCCCCAGATGAAGATGGGGGCGACCGATTTGCCTCTGGGGATATCAAGGCACTGTTGATAATGGCATCGCTCCATCCATATTCGATGTTGCTAACACCTCCAATCAAAGGTTCTTTGGATAACCTTGCACTCCAGTAATTCGCACTAGAAACGAACTCTCTAACAATTTCCGGGGTTCCCGCCTGGAAAAGATGTACCGCACCAGTGGGCAAACTCAGAGCCCAAACGTGCGGGCGCGACTTGGAGTATCCTGGAGGTGGGAGGGCGCTGGCGATCGACTGGCGCAAAAGGAATTTCCAAGTCTCCTCGGCGTTTTCTGTCCAGTTACCACCTCCCACCACAACCCCACCAGGATGACGCTGTTTCGACTTTTGACGGGCCGATTTGGCAGATGCATTGAACGAGAAGAGACGCATCCAACCTTGCTGAATGACAGCAAAGCATTCATTCCAGTTTCGGTCCTTGGCTCGTTTGTCGAGGGAATCTAGATGGTGCTTGTGCTTCAAGTTTCCTTCCTTGGCCCATGGTGCACCCGCAAGTTGCAGAGTTTCATCTTCAAGGAGAATCCCAGTCCTCTCCGCGTCCTCAGTGCTAGCAATGGAGTGGGCAGAGTCTTCACGAATAATTGCTTGGCTGAGCGCATTCGCGAAACCAATAGACTGTTGGTAATCCCCACGAGGATAATCAGACCCGAAGGAATCAACAGATACTGATGTCAGTTTCCCAAGAGAGTATTTGCTCCAAGTACTAGAACCAGATGGACTCCACAGGGATGACTGATCATCCAGGCTCGTCCGACTGCCCAGAGTGGAAGGAGGATAGAGTCTAGCTCGAGAACGAGGCTTTGAAGACCAGCGCGCTGTACCGTATCGGGAATCAGCGGACCGGCCTCGAGGATAAATATCCGAGCCACTTTTGCTGATAGTGCTTGGGCTTCTGCGAAGGCCACTCTGGCTGGGAACAAGCAATGCACTAGATGCCGGCCGAGAAGCTTCTCTCTCCGACTGAGCGCCGTGTAGCGGGAGCCGTTGCTTTTGAATTGAAGAGTAAAAATCGCGGAGCACCGACTCAACCTGCTGCTCCCAGCCCTTGATTGTTCCAGTAAAGGTAGCATTGACCAAGGGTCCGATCTCGTTGTCAGGATCTCCCATCATTTTCGCAGACAAGTCTGTTCGGGAGAGGCGGTTCGACAACCTTCCAGGTGGATTTGCAGGCTTATCCTCCACGTTCTTGTTATCGGGCTCTACGGGAAACGACAGAGATCGAGAAGGAGGGAGACCGGAATCCGCATTCCAAACCTTTACTTTGTTCCCAAATTCATCTGGGGACGCATCGATTGCCACTCGATGAATCGTGGGCATCGTGTTACGAACAAATTGAGCTTTTGTCATTTTCTGCTCAATATCTGCGAGATGCAAGTCCGTATTCAATAGGAGAATGGAGTAACAGATGGTGTGTACAACGTCTAATTGATGTCAGTTCGTAACCGTTAAGGACGAAAAGAAAATGACAAGGGGGGAAAAAAAATAGAATAAACTGACCTGCGGCTTTAAAGCCATGATGAGGGTTGCACCGGCACCATCTTGTAGAAAAGGCATCCAAAACGCGGTCAACTTGCTGCGTCTCTCCCTTTAACACCAACCGCATACATAGGCTCCGGAGAGCTGCAAGAATATTCATGCTAGACCAGTCAAATAGTTCCATATAGGCAGTTCGAATCTTGGCACGGTCAGGACCACCAAGCCAAGCAGCAGCCGGCTCATTTCCTACAAATTCATCGTGTCCATCAAACACCCTTTGCGCTTGCTCCCTGTCTGTACTGCTCGGCTCATCTGGAGAACTAGCTTCTGACAGTTCAACATTACCTTCCACGTCATCAGGAGGCACCAGTTCGGGCGCGTGCGCGACTATGGGAGTATTGGTCGCTGTATAGTAGTTGGAAACTTCTGACACTGAGGCCCGGGGAGAGTCTTGGTCTATGGCCGGAGTAGATAGCTTGCTAGGTCCGTCCGAATCGTCATTCCAGATGGGTCCATCGTACAGCACCTTGGTGTCTCTCGATTCCTTGGTGAGAGAAGTAAAACGCTCACCAGCAGGGTCAACGGGAGCTGCAGCCGGTAGGGAAGAGCGCTCAACGACTGGAGACACCGAGCGAGGGCAAATATTGTTCTGAGGCGTCGACTCAGTTTGCGACAATTCACCAATTTGCGTAGTCTCCACACTCTTTGCCTCGCTATCCTGTGTTTCAACAGCGTGCCCCATTCCACCACGCTCCTGTGGTCGACGGGTGAGCGGGGTAGCTTCCAGGTCGCTAGATTTGGCAGCTGACTCTTCATCACAACTGCTGGTTCCCAAAAAGGAAGTATCATGAGCATGGTTGCCAGTCGAACTGGCGGGGTATAGGCTATATCTGGTTTTCACGCCGCTGGGGGGAGACAGGGTGTTACTCTTCGGTTTCTGTGCTGGTCCATTCTCTGGCTTCCTGTTATCTGGATCATTGGCGACAGTGCTCCAGTCTGAGGATTCAGTTGAATAATCCACTGCCTGGTTGCTATTATTAGGGCTAGCATCAGCCAGATACGGATTCATAACTTTCCTCAAGCTGCTCACTGGGCTGGGTTCTGGCATCGCGATTTCCCTGGCCCTGGCTACGAGATCTTGGGGTAAAATAACCTGTGGGGTGTTTTCGGCCACGGACTTCTTCCGTCGGCGAAAGAACGACGACTTCTTATTCACAACTTGAGCACCCTCACGAGTAGTACTAGAACCACTCGCAGCGTTCTTCGCTGGCTGCCTTCTTCCTTTTACATTAGGGCTGATGCCATTCGTATCCACCAGATCGCGTTCCGGGGAGAATGGACTTTCTGATGGACTGCTATCCGATAGTAAGGGGATGGGGTTCTTCGAAGAACCAAACACACGACGAAAAAACCCAGGTCGCTCCTTGACAGGAGTCGGATCAGGTGGCGGAGGAAATATTGGCTTGTGAAACGATATCGTGGGGCTTGGTGCTGGTGGATCTAGAGAGGCCGATATGGTCGAAGGAGGGTCGAGACCTGTATCAACTAGAAGTGGAAGGTCATGATCCCGGGTCCGGATAGCTGTAGTACCGATATTTTCGGGGCGCTGCTGTCGACACTGTCCTGCTCGTGAGGACTTGATGCTATTTCTTCGCGAGGCTGCAGGCGTGCGAGCAGGCTGAGTGTTGAGCTGGCCAGCGTATTCACCTGGTGATGACGGATGGTACTTTCTTGGGCCAGCAGGGACACTGGGGGTGGGCGCTGCATCCATCCCTTCATACGACAACGGGTCGTAGTCTGTGGGAACATTGGGGAAGGTCATGAATGGCTTTCTGGAGGCATATTCGAAGCTCGAAGAGCGCCTCTCGCTACCCGTATCGGGCCGACGCCTGGAAAGAGACGGCCCGAAATCCATGTTGGAAGAGGTACTTCCCTTACTGCTTTTCCTCCCAGCACGGGTTGCAGGGGCGGTAGCACTGGTCCCAGCTCTATAATCATAGATCTGACCGCGAGAACCCATACCATCCCGGCTATGAGTGCTCTCGAATCTTCTCAGGCTAGAATGATAATTAGAGCTGCTATTGCTCCGGCGATCCCGCGCTGTTTGAACTCCATAGCGACCAGTCGCTTCGTCATAATTGTATTCAACATCGGAAGATACTGACGAAGAGAAGGTGTGGCCTCGATACCGTCGTGGAGCCATGGAATCTTGAGATGTGCGGGTATATTTGTCGGGCTCGAAGACAGTGTTGAAGAGGCGGTAATCATCCAGTAACGAAGTCCCGGACGAAAACTGATCTAGCGAAAGCAACATGTTATCCACGATCGAGGTGCGGGCAGCATGCTTGGGGGACAGCGACAGATCATGCGGATCCCGCTCGTCCCCAGACTCGTCGCTATGATTTGCATTATCGGTGGGATTCAGGTCATCTAAAAATGTCTCGCGCACGGAGGGTCGTCGATGACGTCCCCTCTTCACATTTTTGTAACTGGAGGCTTCGGGAGGGGTTCGGGGAGGCGAGTCATTCGAGTGTGGATCGGGATGCTGGGAAGTCGCTTTAACATTGCCTGGTCGCATTGTTCGATTCATATTCGATAAACTCAGACTTCCAGTTGCTGCAGCATTGAACCGCGACGTACACGATGGAAGTTGTAGATATATAAGAAAGAGGGTCGTAGAGTCCTGTATCGTTCGCGGGGTGAAGGCCCAGTTAAACGACTACCCAAATCAAACGAAATTGTCTCCAAAAGTACAGTTCAAGGGTGGTCTCCGTATCACCTGTTGGGCATGGCGTGAGGGGGTTCCGGGGGAGGGAGGAGTTCACGATGCAGCGCAGTGCAAGGGGCAAATAATCAAATTCCCAGACTGACGACCAAGGGTGGACTAATTTCCAATCAATTGGAAGGAACAGAGCGGTCTTTTGATGAGGATAGTGTACTGCGCTCCTCAACGTCAGACAAAAGGGGGGGGGAAAAGGATGAAATAAGGCGTCGTCGGCAGCAAAGAGCTGACAGGACAGCAAAAAAAGGCGAACCAGGGGAAGGACGGTGGTGGTGCGGTTAAACCAGGAACCAGGAACGAGGAAAGGAACGAGCAACGGTACTCCCGGAACTTATTATTAGAATTATCGTTTAGTTAATAAAAAAAAAAGATACAGTAAGAAAGGAGATTAGGGAAAAGGATGAGAAGTCAGTTCGTTAAGAAGAGAGAAGAGGTGGATAGAGAGTTAATAGTTTCAGTCTCAAGTTATTTAATTAATTAATTTTTGGACCTCACCTTTTTTTTCTCGTGCTACAATCATCGATCACTTGTTTTTAAGAAGACTCCAGCCATTATTAACAAACACATCATGATCAATTAAATTCCTAATGATCCTCTTCCTGATGAATTATCATTTCCCAATTCATTACTCCGGTAAGTCACAACCCAAATCTTCGGAGACAAGCGATGACAGGACTACTTAGTACTCTGTAGGTACATCAGCTAACTAGTGTCTGCTAGTTTGAAGTGGAAGGTGTACTCCTGGTACAGACAAGTACACTATTCAAGATTATTCTCAGACTCTTACTCCGTACGGAGTGCCAACTGCTCAACAAAGAAAGACCCCAATACACAATTATCCGCATAGCTCCTTCTAGTCTCTCCATCCAGCTGGCAACACTAGACCATCCCGGGTCTAGACATTCGACGGTCAGGGGCAAAGTGGAGGCCTGGCGGAATCTCTCATCCTCAGTCGACGTTTCTGTCGGGCCCAGAGTTGGAGGCGATGTTGAGGCATGCATGAATCATCGGGCGTTTAGTGTTCGAGAATCTGCGTGGTGGTGCTGGGGGGAATCCACCTTGGGAAATAATACACACTTACTATCTATCTACGTACCCTGGACTTCTGGAGATCATACGGACGCATATACTGGCCAACCCTCCACAGTCCGTTCTCGCAGCAAGATTATCCAGGCGCTTGAGCCTTGTCTAAGAATTTCCGATCGCCATGATCAAGTGGAGCTGATCCCCAGAAATGGTTTTGGATAACAGAGTGTAGGGATTCTTTTCCTTTCCTTAAAGTTATCCTCTCCCCTTCCGGTTTCCCCCCCCCCCCCCCCTCTTGGATCGGAATCATTGCTACTAGTCGCAAAAACTGACAGGTTCTAGTAAATCGTCCACAGTTGATGCTGACCACCACGGAGAATTATAGTGGAGACCCTTTCATGCGAAGTTTGGAACCTTCATCTGTGCGAGGCAAGGAAATCCATCTACAGACGCTGATTTGTTACCAGTTCCCTGACTACGAGCATTTGAATTCAGACTATTAATCTTGTTCTACCCCGTAGCTTGCCCTATCGGCAAAATCTCCCAGCATGAGTCTTGAGATTACGGAGTAATCGACGTGTCCCAATCTATCTACAAGGCGATCCATTCCAGGAATCCTATTCGTATGGCTGGGACCTATCAATTGCTAAATCCTTTATGGCTTGTCTAGGAAGAGATCTACTCACTATCTAGGTAAACTTTGGTAGTGTCCATCTTTCGGTTTCTCTTCGCTGTGCTTCCCCCTCTTCCAAAGACGACACTCAGGAGTATAGGATCAACAATCAGCATGAGAGAGATCATATGCAATGAAGAGACACAGAATGATACAGTCGACTCGAAGGTATAACACAGTACCACCGTTATGTCGAAGGCGGGGTTCTCTTGAAAGATCTCGTACCCACTGAGATTCTAAGCATCGCCTTGTCATAATTCTACGGAGAAGATTTTGGATTCCTAGTGTTTCTTGTAGGACGAAAAGAGTTATGCGATTTCTTGACAGTAAATCAACCCTCTGTGCAGCACGACCAGTGGACATCAAACGATATATTTACCTCGACACATGCAGTTCCCATTCACGTCAGAAAGACGCTTAACCCTCGACAACACTATTGCAAAATAATGTAAAAGGGATAGACATCTTTCAAGCCTCTACAGATTATATATGTGGAACGATCTCATTGAAACTCGAGTGTATCAGAATAAAGAGATGGAACGGCTCTACGTTAACCCGCGCCAGTTGGTGGATGACATAACCAATTGGACAGGATGGTTGTCAATTCCACTCTTCACAATCACAATGCCTAGGTAGTTTCCAGCTATTCTTAGACAGCGACAATAGTTACAACCTATTCCCCCCCCCCCCCCCTCCTCCGGTTGGTTGTATAAATACATGAAAATATCACCATCTTTGCCGATATCCTAAGCTTGGGACCTCCCCTCACCGTCATAGAAGATGAACCCTCATATATCCGTCCCACGTCAACATGGCAGCTCTCCCAACTTCGGTGGCACACCCGCAAACCGGGCGTCAAGTATACGGATGCCACGCTTTTTCAAGAGGTAGCGCCCCGAGATGGACTGCTCGGACACAGAACTTTACTAATTTTACTGCAGGATGTTCAAGTTTCCTCAAATGGACTTCGAGATGGCCATTTGGGAGATGACATCACTTTTGATCGCGCCGAAGAAGGTCTTCAAGTCGATATATTACCATGTGAGATCTTCTCCTGCCTTGTTCTGTTGCTTGATAATTGCTAATCCAAATATCTCCTTGTAGAAACGTATGCCACTTGCCCCTCCAAGTGCGAGCCCTGACATCACTAACTGGGTTATGATAGAGACCAAAAATACGTGGCATCGACCTGATCCCTCCTTCGCATACTTACTCTCATTCTTCCTCCTCCTCACAGCCCTCGCATGGGGCCTAGCATACGCCCCGTCATTTGGATCCATTGTCCGCCTTTCTTTATTGTTCATATTCGTTCATTTCATCGGGTCCTCGCTCCTAGTATCGACGATAGGATACTTCGTCATCGGCCGACTCTTCGGCCCTAACGGCGCAGCAGGCTCTCTTACCGGGCTACGGGTTCGGGGACGACGACGTGGTGCTGCTCAGGGCCTGTTTACGCAACCAGGTGAAAAGGACCAACTTGAATTTGGATATTGCTTCGATGTAAGCTGCCAGCCCCCGTTTCCTGCGATTAGGAGAAAGGCGCCTAACAAGATAGGTTTCAAACCGCGCATTCTTCCCCTTATACTTCCACCTCTACGTCATTCAATTCCTCCTCCTCCCGCTTCTTACCCGCAGCCCGAGCAACTTTCTCGCTACCTTCCTTGGCAATACGCTATATCTCTCTGCGTTGACCTACTACACGTACATCACTTTCCTCGGATATAACGCTCTCCCGTTCCTTCATAACACCGAGCTTCTGCTCCTCCCGATCCTCGTCTTTGCAGTCCTGTGGTTCGTGAGTCTCATTGCAGGATGGGGGATTGTTGCACAAGGACGCAGTGTGAAGGCACTATTTTGGGGAGTCTAACCCCTCCGACCTGGACCAACTGAGGCCCCTAGTAATGGGGACTCTTTGCCGAAGCTACATACAATAAACAGTTTTTGTGTAGATGTCCGGGCGTTGGTGCATAGTGATTGGGGTATGATTGATCATGGCTTGTTATGTCTCGTCTGCAGTTCAGCAGGTTGCACGGTGCATGGGGTCTTCTTCTTGGGTTGTGTTTGTTCGTTTTAAATGTTCGTGTACAGTATGCGGTATATAACTCTAGCATTTTCCTTCTATACCTGACGAGTTTATATTCTTCAAGTAGCATCCCAATGTCCAATGCATCTAGGGCTTGTAACCAGAGTTGCTGGTCCCGATTTTATATAACCAATATGTATCACGTTTCACATCCCAAGACAAAAAAAAAAAAAAAAAAAAAAAAAAAAAAAGCCAAAGGGAGAAGAAAACAAACAACCCACCAAACCAAATAAATCTATTTCTTTCCCTTCTTCCCTCCCTTCGCACTAAACTTGGCCTCCCTCTCCGCCACCTTCTTCTTCGCGAGCTCCAGCTTCTCCTCCTTCTCCGCCTCCTTCCTCAACCGATCCGCCTCCCTCTTCTCCCTGACGATCGCCAATCTCGCCAGATCCGCCCGCGCTTCATCTGTCTTCCCCTCTGCATGAAGCTTCAGGTACCTCTCGCGCGCCTGCTGCGCCTCAATCGCCTCCCTCTCCCTCCTGGACAACTGCGACATATCCCCCGTCGCCACTGCTGCCGCCGCCGTATCTCCATTCACCCCAGCACCCGCACCCGCACCCGCACCCGCACCCGCACCAGCACCAGAGGCAGCAGTCTGCGACCTCGACTTCGCCGTATGGTTGGGGTTCGCAGGTAAATCGTCCTCGTCGTCCTCGGCGTCCGAGTCCCGGTCTGAGCCCGAGGGCGGCAGATCCCCCGGCTGGGCGGCGACGGTGTTCTTGCGCGCCATGGCAGCTTGCTTTTTGGCTTTTGTGGCGGCGCGACGCTCTTCGCGGGTCATTTCGGCAGCAGCAGCGGCAGCGGCGGCGACGGCGCGTGTGCTGGAGGAGGAAGGAGGGGGAGGGGCGAATTTCACCCCGCTGGCTCCGGGGCGGGAGGAAGAGGAGGGCGAGGAATCGGACTCGGAGTCTGAGTCTGAGTTTGAGTCTTCATCTTCATCTTCATCTTGTGTCGATTCTTCGTCGTCGGAGGTGGAGAGGTGGTCTTCTTCCTGTGTGTGTTGTGCAGAAGGTTTGGATTAGCTTTTTCTTTTTCTTTCTCTTTTCGTTTTCTTCTTTCCTTGATATCTGGAAAGTAGAGGAATGAAGGTGATAATAGAGGGGATTATTTACCCTCCACATGCCAACGGGGTTGCCATCTTTATCGACGGGTTGTACGTCGCGACTGTAGTGTTTCCCACCTAAGCGAGTCCGTTAGGTTAACCTTAACCATAGCTTTGAATGGATATATATTCAGCAATATACCTCCTCGACTGGGTTTGGAGAATTTTCCACGACCGCGGGGCGCCATGATGCTTGATTGCTGGGGATATGAGTTGTCACGCGGGTTGACGTTGGTTGTTGCGGTCGGTTGGGGGTGCCCTTTTTTTTTTTTCGTTTTCTTCTAAGCTAAGGCGGAGGTGGAAATGGAGACTCTCGAGAGCAAGGGGGGGAGTCTATTCAAATACCACTTAGGTTAATATCGGCTGTGATAGGAAGGAAGAAGTGGTAGGTAGTTGTTGGCAGGGCGAACTGACGGCGCGTTTACATATGTATTGGAGGGGCAGACAGGGCGGGGAAGAAACTTACGTTGGTGGAGGGCACAGTGCACACACACTACCTTGGAATAGTAGAAAACTCCTCAAAATGAGAAGATGGACAGAGTAAAGACTGGATGGGTATCCTGCGAGGATTGCGACCTGGATATGAAGGGAAGAGATGTGGGTTGGCAAAGGTGGACTGGTTTAAATTTAGGTCGAGATGAGTCGAGTCAAGTCAATCCCAATCCAACACCTTCACTGTCTGTGGGATGAGCAACTATTATTATTATTACTATTACTGCAGCCGTAGGTAATCAGATAGAATTTGAATCGGGATCCAAATGTAAAAATATTCCAGTCATAGTTAATGGTATTGAGTATTATTATTAAAACTACCAATAACAAAGAGATGTCCACTTGGGTACTGGTGCAGATGTATATGTACCGTATAACCAACGCCAATGATCCCGAAATAATGCGTTTCGTCAAGTTCTCGTCAGTCCTGATCATTCCCCAACGATACCGTGACTTCTCTCCATCTTGTAGAGGGGGATTTTGTCTATGCGCGTTCCCATGAAAGTCCGAGTTTGGCAATCCTCGCTGCAACCAGGGTCAAAGTGCCAGCGACAATCACAGTGCCCATGAACATCTGAGCATACAGGTAATCCCCATTATCCTTTTGAACCAATGCACCTGCAATTGGAGATCCAATCAACGCTGCAACCCCCACCACACTGAGCACCATGCCCATCCGCACTCCCGTCTTCTTGAGGTCAGTGGTGAGCGTGCTCAGAGTCGCTGGGAAGAGAGACTGGATACCGGCGGCCGAGAGACCGTAAAATACGCTAAAGGCGTACACGCCGTTCAGATTATGCACCCCCGCCCAGCAGAACGCAACCAGTCCAGTTGCCAAGCTGAATGGGATTAACATGTTCAGCGGGCCAGTAAACCGGTCAGCCATGAGATTCGGGACCAGTCGGCCAAGTATGCCAACGCCGTTCATGAGCAGAAGAACGTCGATAGAGGTAGAGGTAGACACGCCGATGATATCACGGCTGAAGCTTCCGATATAAAAGAAGCCAATATAAAGACCCCAGAAGTTGAGGAACATGCCAATGGCAAAGAACGAATACGATGCCTCCTTGAACGCACCCCATTCTACGAGAGGTCCACTGCGTCGCGGAGGCAGACGCTGTTTCAGGAAGATCAAGGCGGGTAGCAGCGTAACCAACGAAATGAGACCCAGCGTGCGCATTGTCCATCCGTAGCCAACCCGGGGGAGCAAGCGCATCACAACAGCGGGAAAGACCAATCCTCCGGTCGCGGATCCAGACGCCACAATGCCGATAGCGATAGCGCGATTCTTTGTGAAGTAAGTCGGCATGAGTGCAATGGTAGGACAAAACATGAGTCCACACCCAATACCCTGTCCAACACCCTGCGCAAGGAACAGCTGCCAGTATTGGGTACACAAGGAGGCCATGAAGATGCTAAACAACTCCAGCAGCGCTCCAAGTGTCAGAGTAAGCCTAAAGTATCCAGCATCTGTTGCCCGGCCAGAGAAGGTACCGATGAAAAAGAGCAAGAAGATTTGAATACTTCCTACCCAAGAGATATCGGATGGAGACCGCCCCAAAGCTTCTGTATAGTAAGTTTGGAATACACCAAAGCTGTTGATGTATCCCCAGGTGTTGAAAATGACGAAATGAGCCAATGCCACCTGGGACCAAGCCAGGAATCCACCGTCTGGGGGTGGCCCGATATCCTTCCCCGACTCTCTAGTGCGGACGAGGGAAAGTGTCTTAGCAGCGAATGCACCAACATGGCTCACATTAGTAGGTGTTCTGGAAAGATCTTTCTTTTCCGTCTGGTCAATGCCTAGTTCCTCGTCACCGGGGATCTCCCTGATAGATAACGTATCGTCACTGGAGCTGTCCTCCGTAAGCTCCGTGGGATGAGGGTTCTCAATATTGCGAGGTACCCCATACGTCGGCTGAATGCCACTGCACTCCTCAACCGGCATCCCGTAATATTGGCCTGAATCCTGATATTTAGTTCAAGACACTTCCTCCACACTGCAATATACAGGACGGCAATTGATTTGGGTATGGAGTATCAGGCAAACCGCGAAGCAGGTACCGATAGTATAAGCCAGGCAGGACAGAAAACTCGATATTTCCAAGGTGATATAACAATGTATCATCCACCACAGACTGAGGTCGGGACAAAGTAGATAAGTCTTAGAAACCCCCCAGACGACAAGGATGTGAAGGACAAAAGTTTTTTAAGATATCGAAAGCCCTAAATTCAGAGACTTTCCGCCGGACCTTAGAATACCAAGCTCGGCAAGATCAACGCTAGGCGAATTGACTCTATGACTCAGAGAATTTCTTCTTCGCTAGTACTTGTCAAGACCTAGAAAAAGAAGCCAAAAGTCAGGGAAAGCGTCGTTCTTCAATTTCGGAAGCGACCGTAGTTGCGGGGGGAGATTAATAATTGTCGAAAAAGAAAAGAAAAGAAAATATAGCGCTGGGACCAAACCAGAGAAGAGTCATAATAATATCACTCGCACAGAAGGCCGAAAGCCAACAAGAGACCATCATGATTGACTCCGCACACCGGCGAGTTGGCTCCCCGAAGTTCGAAAGAGCTAGGTAATGGAATGGATAAATGCCGAGGGTGTCCAAGGCTGATGCAGCTGTCTTGATAATCTGGGTTTGAATATTCACCGGGCCATTGGAATCTCAGCTCTTCCACGGTAAATCTGTTCTGTTCTCCGTATGTATAGACAGTTCCTCAAGAGCCAGGGAACTCATTCTGGATCTGGGTCAGGCGTATTCGAGATACTAACTCCACTGGTAAGCAGGTGGTCCAAGGTAGAACGTGATAGAGCTCTTCCTCACCTCCAGAAGACGGACGCTCTTCCCTCATCTGATTAAGGTTCAATTCAAAAATCCGGCCCTTGTTGATTGGGCTGGGATTAAACGCCTCCGTTGGCGGGATTTGGAATGAAAAATAATTACCAGTTAAGTCATGCATAACTTCCCCGAAGATGCAGGAAATTATGCAAGTGAGAAGAGATTTGGATTTGAATTTCTACAGGCAGAAGAAGTTTGACCACGTGCTTTGATCAACCAAATCAGATTGAAGGAGAAAAAAAAAAAACAGTATTATTCCAATGCTATCAACTAGAAAAAAGGCCGTTGATGAATGTAAAAAGATTGTCTATTCTAGAATACACTCCCAAGGCAATCTATCCTAAGGGGTTATATAGTCTGGCATAACAAACTATGTAGAGCAACCTGGTGCTCTACTTCCGGCAAAATACGACATACCTCGCTAATAAACAATCAAACAGCAGGAGTCTAGGCCCAAGAATGAGCCTCGATACTATATATGGAATATATATATATAGCCTAAGCTTCATCGTGCAATTCTTTTGCACATCGCCTGTCTTTCGAGAAAGTCTCCCTCATCTACCAACACTGAAAAGCAAGTATGGATTTAGTACTCCTGACTGGATGAGCTATTAAGAATCGAAATTGCCTCGATAACGTCGCTAGGTTCAAGAAGATGCCAACTGGCCGCAGTCTGCTTGGAACTGGCTCCAACAGTGACCGAAAATACGTGATCTGGCGGAAGGTTGGAATTTTGCAGAGCTCGAAACATATCTATTTTTATGTTAGCAGCCTGAAGAGGAAAAACGTTCATATAGCAAAGGGATAAAAAGGTTACCTTCATCTGTGAAATCATCCCCTAAGCACAGAACAAATTCAGGGGCCTTGCCGTTCCCATACTCATTGACCAACCTAGTTGCGATGAATCCCTTGTTCACAAATGTTGGTCGAACTTCCAGATTGGCTTTCCCAGCCATGACTTCAACATCCCACTTCTTGCCGACAGTATTCTCGAGTTGCTTCCGGCATTCTCGCGCCTGAAACGCACCATATTCTGGATCCGCTCGGCGGTAATGCCACGTTAGAGCCACCCGCTTCCTTTCAATAAAGGAACCTTGAGTCCGCTCGGTAAAGTGCTGAAAGGTATCCATAACCTCCTTCTGCCAGGCCATATTACTTTGTTCTGCTAAATTTTCCCAATCGTCCGAGCGTGGCATCCGGATAAAACAGCCATGCTCAGCACTCAGACCCAATTCTGGTATATGTCCCATCCACTCATCCAGAAAGGCTTGGTCGCGTCCGCTGATAATCCAGACGGCATTCCGGGGATCTGCCGCCAAGCTTTTGAGGGTCCGTAATACCCTGTCTGAGGGGATGGCGGCCTGGGGGTCTTTCACAATGGGCGTGAGTGTCCCATCGTAATCGAACATGAAGAGCCTCTTCCTGGCTCTGCGATACTGCTTCACCAACTTGGCTTTATCCAGGGCTGGGGTAGCCACGGATTGATCAAACGACGACAAGTTTGTTACCAGACGATTAATGAATTGCTGGGACCAAGCTGAAACCGTATTCGTGGTGACATGTTTGTAGAGCATTAGATGCTGTGACTTTTTGTCCAGATAAGGCATTGTTAGCGCCTTATTTATTGCCATGGCCACGCCGACTGTGTCCCATGGGTTGATATGGATCGCACTAGACAAAGTTCCTGCTGTTCCAGAAAACTCAGAAAGGATCAGAGGGCTGTGGTTGTTTTGCTGGCAGATGATATACTCCAAACTTGTCGTGTTCATTCCATCTCGCACCGTTGTAATCAGACCAACATCGGCCACGCGTAGCAGCGCAAAATACTCGTGCTGGGAGAGATATTGAGGGTAGTACTTGACGGGAGAGAAACTCAGTGATCCAAACCGGCCGTTGATCGTGGAGACCAGGTTTGAGATCTGGCTCGCGATTTTATTCTCTTCCTTCTCTTCCTCGACACTAGTGGGACTGGTAACCTGGATCAGGACGACCTTGTCACGCCATTCCGGGAATCGTTCGAGGAACACCTCAAATGCCTGCAGCTTCTGGGCTACACCACGGACACTATCCAGGCGGTCGCGACCCACGATGATTTTCTTCCCCGCATAAAGCTTGCGTAGCCCAGCTACAGCTTTTTCGATGCCCGCACCTCCAAAGGCAATCCTTTGGATCGCGCTAGCATCAATACCTATTGGAAAGACATCAACGGCTACATGAGCACCGTACGCATCCACTCCAGCGGAGTTGGAATCAAACCCTAATACACGGGTACAGCAGGATGAAAAGTGTCGAGAGTAGGAGAAGGTCTGAAAGCCAATCATGTTCGCGCCAAGTACGCCTGTAAGCACTTCCTTGCGTTTAGCAAGGCATCGCATGAATTCGCTGCTAGGAAAAGGCGCGTGTAAGAAGAATCCAATATAGATGTTGGGGATTTGCTGCCGTAGCATGCTGGGCAGAAGAAACAAGTGATAGTCGTGGATCCACACGATATCACCATCGTTATATTCCCGGATAATACGGTCTGCAAACGATCGATTCATTCGGACGTAATCCGCCCAAGATTCACGCTCAAATCTACCATCTGTGGGTCCGTGCTGTTTATAATGCAGAAGGGGGTACAACTCTCTCTCGGCATATCGTCTCCACCTCCCCTGGTCCTCAAGCAAAATCGTCTCCTCGGGGGTCTCTGATTCGGCTGACAGCCAAACTGGAACAATCCTACCGTAACGGCTGGAGTTTAATTGCCCGTCAAGTTGTTGCCGGTCGTCTGGGCTTACAGTAACGCCCTCAGGGAAAGCATGGCTCGGATGTTGCTGACTGAGGTCAACAGGTACTGGGGAAGACCCCTTATTTAGAGGCCGCGACGTGCTGCCCAATGTGGGAGGTGAATTGGCCTGGGTATTTACCGGAAGTGGGACACTTTCCTCCAGGAGAGGCTCCACCTCTCCAGTCCAACCAACAAGTGTATGGGACCAAGTCGACTCATCGGAACCAAGATATGCAAATGAATCAAACAGGGCAGAGGTGCCGGGACGAGGTTTGAGCTCCTACAGGATCAATCAGCATGTTACTCTTCCATTTTCTCGGGCAGTGAATCCACGGAAACACAAAGTGGGATATACCCATTCACCACCTGGTCGGTAATAAAGCTTGTACGGAATGCAAGAGGCAGCACTTATAATGCGGCCGGTGAGGTTGAGATTTGGATGCTGTGCTCGAATATCGGATGCCCGGAGGGGAGGTGCTTGGCTTAAACTTAGACGACGCAGAAGATCGCTTCCTGATTTTGCATGATTGGCTGCCTGTGATGGAGTGGAAGGCGAAGCGGTATCAGACGCTCTTGATATCTCTTTGTCTCCGGCAACGAAGACGGGCGAATCGGGGAGCGCAGGCTCCCGCTCCTGGCTTCCGAGACCTAAAGGTATTCCCTGGATTGTCGTAGAGTCATCTTGAGCCACGGTTCGGGGATCCAGGTCAAACCGAACCTCTCCCGGTTGTTCCTTGGGGATACTGGCGGGGGGTTCTTGCTGCAACGACATGGCAGGCGATATTCAGGAGGCGTTCAACAACGGCGTAATTGGGCTTGACCAATGAGGTCGCTCTGAAAGTTCCAGCATTAATCAGTTATCTTGCTCATTCCCTTTTTCTCCAACAAGTTGGTTCAATTCAAAATCATACTTAATAGTCTCAACGCAGGCAATCCCTACTGGTAGCACCTTGGACTCTGCAGGAGACGAAACAAGCTCGGTGGGAGAAAGAGCTGACGAATCGGTGAGCTATTCCATGTAGGGGGGCGCCGGCAAACACCTGTAAGAATAGATCAAATGAAGTTGAAGGCTTCCCCGTAACAGAGAGAGGGAATCAAAGAGGTGAGGCTGGAGGTGGAAGGTCGATAACTAACTACTTCTTGGATATTGGTCATATAGTAGTCACAAAGAGGGGCAGAAAGCAGTTGGGAGGCGGTGAGAAAGGCCAAGTACTTTATGATGGATCGGTCCACCCTTTCGATCGACTTCCCAATAGACTCTCCGAGCAAAAAGAGGAGAGTTTCTACATAACTGAGTGATTATTGTTCAAATAATTTTAGAAGCGTTGCAGCTCTGGAGACCCCGGGAATTGTTGCTCCTGCATGTACGTCATGTTGTGATCCGCTGCAATCTTGATTTAATGTCCTAAGCTCGAAGTTCGCCTGCGACTCGAAGCTATTCCTATTCTATCGAAACTAGCCTATCCCCAAATAGGACATTCTACTATTCTACTATCCATGCCTTTCTGCCCACCTAAACCGCTACCCGCTTTAGGTGCGCCATACATTCTTCGCGATCACACATTCTTCGTGATTTTTAATATTTCAACTTATTTTTATTATTATTACAACATAATATACCTAAATCTCTAGATTTTAATAAATCTTACTTGCTTAAAGCTATTGCCATAGTTTAAAAGTAAAAAAAACCAAATATCACGAAGATTATATAAGAATTTAATGTACCTAACTCTATACTCTAAACATGTGTCACGGCGCGAAGCTGTAGTACCTATCTAGTTAGATTCTGCCTTGACTATCCACTCTTATTCCTGTATTTAAGCCATATTATCCTTAATCCTATTATAGTTCTTCAAGCTATATCCTGTCTATTACTTGATACCTATTATTCTACTATTCTATTTAGTTAGCTCCTAATTAATAAATATCTAAATCTAATTCTACCTCCTAATATTACATAGCTTCTCTCTACTAGAAGTTAATTATTATTATCATGCCTGCCTTGCTATTTATATTATCTAAAGATATAAAAATCCTTCTATATAATACCCCTAATAAATTAAGATAGTATATTATTAAGATATACTAGTTCTTTACTATTATTATAGAAGAATTCTATAAATTATTTATTTTATATTTTACTATTATTAATTTTTTTAACTATATTTAATAAAAAGATAGTATAATTAAGTACTAGAAAATATAAGCTAAAAAAATTTAATAAAAATTATTTAAAATACTTACTTAAAATAATATATTTTTTTAATTACTATTTTTTTTAAAAAAAAATACTAATATTACTACCTTTTTTATTATTATTATTATTCTTACTATATTTATTCTTATTATTTAAATCTCTAAATAACTTCCTAATCTTAATAAGTTTAATAATTAATAAAGTAACTTAAGATACTTTATTTCTTAAATTTATTAAAAAATAATTATAAATCTTAATTATTTTTTAACCTTAAATAATAAAATAACTTATATAATTAATTATTTTAAAGAAATCTTATATATTTAAATCTTATTATATATTTAAGATAAAATCTATAAATTAAATAATTATATTAAGATTTTAAAAATCTTAGAAAAAATTTTTAAAAATCTAAATCTAAAAATTAATATTTATACTAATTTATTCTATTTTTAATAAATTTATTATAAATTTAATATTTTTTTTACTAAATTTTAATATCTTATATTAGAAGAGAATATAAATAAAGATATCTTACTTATAATTTTAGAATAAACTATTAATTAAGAATTTTAAAAAATATTAATATACTTTAAGATTCTATTATAATATTATAATTTTACTAATTATTTATAAAATTTAGAAAATTACTACTACTATTATATAAATACTACTCTATCCTTATCTATAAAGAATTTCTAGCCTCCCTAACCTATCTTAAAGCTAACTCCTACTACCTAAATTCTTATAGTCCCTATTAATCCTATTATTACTATTACTCTTACTAAAGACCTAATAGACCTATTTATTACTTATTACCTTAATTATTAAATCTAATACCTATATTACTACTATAGCAGTACTAATTACCTAATAGGTAACTATTTATATCTTAATTAAAAACTAACCAGCTATATTTCTATATTTATTATTAAACTAGATCTATACCCTTTATTAATTAGAATCCTGCCTGCTAAATACCTTATATTCCCTAAATTAAAAAATAGAGTATCCCTAATCTAAATTATAATTAAGGATATCCCTAGTACTTCCTCTATCTATTAAAGATTATAATAGCTAGAATAATAGTAGAAAAGAAAAATTACTAATTTAAATTAATAATCCTACTTATTAACTTAGAAATTCTTAATAAAATTCTACTAATCTTTACTATAATTAACTCTAGAGCTAAAAATAAATATTTTATAGATTATAATTAAATTATAAATAATTAATTAAAGATACTATTATTAAAGAATCTTATTTTATTAAGAAGATTTAATAATACTTTAATAAAGTCTAATAATATTATTTATTTTATTTATTTAACTTAAAAAATTTATAATTATACTAAAAAAAATATTATTTTTCTTATAATTTAACTTATATACTTTCTTATTATTCTTAATTTATTTTAGTTAAAGACTTATAATCCTTAGATTAAATTTATTAATTATACTATTTTATTTAAAAGCCTTTATTATAAAAAATACTATAATATATTTTTAAAGTTTATAAAGATTTTAATATTATATAATATATTATTAAAAGTTTCTTTCTAATATTTTAATCTCTATCTTAAATCTTTAAAAAATTAAGATATTATTAAAGTCTTAATTACTACCTATATTATATATACCTACTATAAATACTAGATATTTACTATTATTATTACTAATATTAAAATTACTTTAAATCCTATTATTATTATTAAATCTAAGCTATAAGAATAACTACCCCCTAAATTTATTAAATTCTATAATATATTCTTACTAAAGAAGGCTAAGTATCTATTATTTTACTAATTTAATAATTATAAGATTAAATTATTATCTAGAAAAATCCTATTTTTTAAGAACCTATATAGTATATTCTAAGATAAATTAAAAGTTTTAAAAAAATAGATTAAAAAAAATTTAAAAAAAAATTTTATTTATTCTAATTTTTTTCTTACTATATTCTTTATTCTATTTATAAAAAAATCTAAAAAAAATTTATAATTTTATATAAATTATTAAGCCCTAAATATAATTATTATAAAAAATTATTACCTACTATTATTAATAAAAGAGATACTAAATAATCTAAAAAAAATAAGATATTTTTTAAAAATTAATATTATTTTTACTTTTAATAATCTATAAATTAAGAAAGAATAAGAATATCTTATTACTTTCTAAATTTAATTAAGCCTATTTAAATTTTTAATAATATTATTTAGACTTACTAGAACTCTAATATTATTCTAGAGATTTATTAATAAAGTCTTATATAATTATTTAGATATTTTCTATATTATATATTTAAATAATATTTTAATTTATAGCTAAATCTATACTAAATATATTTATTATATCTAATAAGTATTAGAATACCTATAAGTAATAAGACTTTATACTAAATTTAATAAATATAAATTCTTTATATATAAGATAAAGTTTCTAGAACTAATTATAAGTAAAAATAGCTTTTAAATAAACCTTAATAAAGTAAAAATAATTACTAAGTAAGAAATACTAATCTATTTAACTAATATTTAAGTCTTTATTAACTTTAGGAACTTTTATTACTAATTTATTTATAATTTTTTAAAAATTATTAAACTATTAGTTAATCTAATTAAAAAAAATATTAACTTTAACTAAATACTTACTTATTAAAAAATATTTAAATAATTAAAAGTTACTTTTATAAATATCCTAATATTAAAATCTTTTAACTAGTTAAAAAATATAATTCTAGAAATTAATATCTCTAATTATATATTTACTAGAGTATTATTATAATATAATAATAAAAATATATTATACTTTATTATATTTTTCTCTAAAAAATATTCTATAATAAAATATAATTATAAGATTTATAATAAAGAATTATTAATTATTATTTATTATTTTAAAAAATAATATTTTAAACTAGAAGAGACTTTATTATTTATAAAAATTATTATAAATTACTAGAATCTAGAATATTTTATATTAATTAAGTTATTAAATTATTAATAAGCCTACTAGTCTAAATTTTTATTAAAATTTAACTTTTAAATATATTACTACCCCAAGAAGTTAGATATTAAATCTAATATACTAATTAGAAGGTTAGAGAACCTATCTAAGAAGAGAGATAAATAACTTCTTTACTAGAGCTAGATTATCCTAAAATCTAAAAACCTGCTACCTAAGATTATTACTAATTTAAGACTAAATATTAATAATTAATATTAAATATACTTTATTAAATAACCTACTACTAATAAACTAATCTCCCTGCTATTAATATTATAATTACTATTTAATAAAACTTATTTATAAGATAAGAAGCTCTAATTTATTCTAAATATTTTAAAGAATAGTCTATTAAGATACCCTAATATTATACTAGCTAATTATAAATATACTAATTTATATTTAAGATATTAAGACTAACTTTATATATTTAATTATAATAAAATAAAAGTTAAAATATTAAGATTTTATTATAAAAATCTTGCTATTAAATATTCTAAAAGAATTAAAATATATAAATTAATATTATATAAATATTTCTAGCCTAGGATTTATAAATATATTAAT